GGTAACTTCTATAGTCTAGAATTATACTACTTAACTAACTAGCTAGTAGTTAAATAAATAGCTCTAATTAGCTACTAGATAGAAAGTAGGATCTAAGCTTAATATAAGTATCCTCGTTAGGAATAGGGAAGATATATATACTAGCCTAAGTAGAAGTATTAGATAGTATAGTCTAGATAGATAGGCTAAGATAGATACCTAAAGTATTAATACTAAGAGTTATATAACTAAAGGGAGCTTATCTCTTCTTAGTCCTCCTACTTCCTATAACTAACTAATATAATTATACCTAGATTAGTTTCTAGTATTATTTATTAATTTAGTTACTTCTACTATATTCGATACTTATATAAACCCTATAGAGTAGTCTTAGCTTAATAGTAGTAGTCGTTAAGATACTCTAACGCTATCTTAAATAACTCGATTTTATTATTTTCGTTAATAAATAGCTTAAAGTTATTTCTCTATAGCTAGCTATCGAAGGAGATAATATACTTAATACTAACGACTCTATATATATTCTTACTAATATCGTCCTTCTAACTCTATATCTAGATAATAAACTCGTTCTATAGCTAGCTCTTAAGACTATATTAAAAGTATAGATAGATATTATAGCTAAGATCTCTTTTATTATAGACAATTTATAATTATAAGTAGTAGTAATAGTCTAGCTACTCTTACTACTACTCGTTATTTTTATTATTATTCTTTTAATCTACCTATTACTCGTCGTCTATAGCTAGACGGCTACCTATTAATTAATCTAATAACTCGATATCTATATCTCTTAAATTGTCTAACTACTTTTACTTTTACTCTTATAGCTATACTTTCGCTTTCTCTCTACTTTTAGTAGTTTTCGACTTCTTTATAAGCTTCTTCTACTTTATAGTAGTTTTATATTTAGTAGTAGTAGAAATAGTAGTAGTAGTAGCGGTAGTAGTAGCTCTATTATCTCTAACCTTCGAAGACTCTTATATAATATAACGACTTCTAAAAAGCCTAGATATAAATATAGATTAAAGCTAGCCTACTATTAAGTCGCTACTAACTATAAATAATACTATAAGTTAAGACGAAGGATATAAGTAGGATATAATACATTTAATCCCGATATTCTATATAAAAACGCGTGTGAAGCTAGGAACGCGCCTTGCGGCTCCTGCCGCGGGGTTGGCATGCTTTATTTGCTGCGGTAATAATGGAAGCTAGCGGCACAGACCAACCGACCGAAGAGCTCCTAAATTGCGTTGACAGTGGCCTCAGCTTTCTGGCCAAGTCCAGTCTGACAACATGGTTGCAAAAGAGGGCTTGAAGATAGTTCGTGGACTTGTTCAACAGCATGGCACTTTCACCTCCAACACGGATGAGCCTTGAATCATTCATCATTTGAAACGTATCTGCAGGCTTAGTACGACAGAGCCCCCGCCAACTTTAATAGGATCTCAGGCTCCTCAGGCTCCTCCACTGGCCGATTTCTACCATATGGCTCTCCTGCTGTCCGCTCTGGATGCTTTTCACCTGCTCTAAAGATGTTGGCGTGAGGCCAATGAGTCTAATGTCGTCAGCTGAGTCCTTCTTTCGGCCAATGGGAAGGTTCTTACAGTTCCAGTCCTCTCATGAAAAAGCGTGGCTTTCTCTTGCAAGTCCTCTTCTGACGCGAAACGAGCAGGCGAGTAGCAAATATCTGGACTGGTCAGCTGGCAGACCATACTTGATCAGGGGATCTCTCTTACACATCACTGCTCTTGTGTTGTCGGTCTCTGGCAGGACATTGTAATGGACTGTTCTCGAGTCCCAGAGTACGAGATCACCAGGATCAGCGCAGACTTTGACCATCTCACAACCCTTGGCTTGAAACCACTCAACGTCTTCCTGCGAGAAGCCGTACCAGTCTGCCGGACTCCACGTACTGCCCTCTTTCATGGTATGAGTCTTGAAGAACAGCTCGTTGAGTTTGCTAGACTTCTTCAAAACCACCAGTCCACCATCTTTTGGGCCATTTGGTGCCAGATTTAGAATGCCCTGGACACACTGCATGCCTTTGCGAAGCGGACTCTGGTCCACATGTGGCCAGGGCGCAGATGTTGGACGAGGATTTACGGGGAATGTCAGGTTCATGCCATCAAACGATACCAGCAGGTCTTCGGTTCCCCAAAGCTTCTGGAACGGTTCGACAACTGAGGGTTCGCAACGAGCGTCCCACATAAACTTCTCATGCTGCACGGCGTAGTCATGGTACATGCCGCCCCTGTGATCAATGTCAGCCATGGCTTTGGGACGAACGAAAAAGATGTTATACTTCATATTGTTCGGCAGGCATTGTGGCTTCCAAGTGCTTGGGTCGTCTCGCTTGAAGCCAAACGGAAAGGACTCCAGCCATTTGTACATGCGGACAACGTACGACTGCGCTTTTCCTTGCGAAAGGACTCCTTTCAGCACCACGAATCCATCCTCAATCAGCGTGTCTCTCCAGTCTCCGAAGGTGTCGTCAACGGCGATCGTTGGCTCGTTCTCAAAGTGAGGCATGGCGATGGTGGTGACAGCTTGAAAACGGCGAGGTGATCAAGGGTGATAGGGCTTCTTGAGACTTCCTGCTCAGAGACTGTTTTCTTAAGTGTTACGATACGATCATGCAGACGCATGGGCTATGTCCGGATCTCGGCGCACATGAATGGGCAGGCCGGGCGAGTCACGGCCGAGTTTCTTGGTGGTCAGTACAGCCCTTGGCCGCGGCGAGATAAGGTCACAGAACCACAAGGACGAGCAACTTTACAAATGTTTACCTTTCGCTCTCACTTGTACGGCTGCTCGACTGTTGCAGCACCATAGCGTCCTGTCCAGAAGCAACACAGTCCTACAAGGACTTGGAAAACAACACCAATGCGCGGTGGTGGCGAGACCCGGGCCTACGTCGACTTGTTTTCTGGCAGGCATGTATCCTGCTCTCCCAGGTGACCGTTGGCTACGACGAGAGCGTCACTGAGAGCCTGCAATCGATGCAGCCGTGGCTCGATGGCAAGTACTTTCCGCTTCCCAGTTGTCGACAGTCGCCTAACTGACCTTGCATCACAGCCATGGGAAACCCGACGCCAAGCACGATTGGACTCATCACAGCAACTGTGTTCATCGCGGGCTTCGTTGCGGCCTTCTTTGTTTCACCCTTCGCTGACAGATATGGGCGCCGACCTGCTCTACTCCTTGGCTCTTTCCTATGCGTCGCTGGAGCAGCTATTCAGAGTGCTGCCCAGAGCAAAGGAACGTTCATTGGTGGCCGAGTTTTTATCGGCTTTGGTATCAGCTTCACCACCAATGCTGGGCCCAGTCTTTTGAACGAGCTTGCTCATCCGAGAATGCGAGGGCGTATTGGCAGTTCGGTAAGCCTTCTTTCAATGCTGTGTCCTTGGCCAGAGCTGACCTATGCATACAGTTCAATGTACTCTGGTATGTTGGAGCTATAGTCAATGCTTGGCTGTGCTTCGGTACTGGCCATTTATCTTCTAACTGGTCGTGGCGTATTCCTTCTTTAGTCCAAGCCTTGCCGGCGCTCCTGCAAGTCATATCAGTCATCTTCATGCCAGAGTCGCCACGTTATCTCTACTCGCGTGGGAAGCACTCTCAAGCACAGGCGGTCCTTGCGCGCTACCATGCCAACGGGGTCATGGACGATCAGCTCGTGACGTTTCAGATGGCACAGATCGCCGAGACTCTTGAACTGGACGCTGTCAACCGGCAGAAGACATGGAGAAAAGTTCTGCAGCCAAAGGCCAACCGGAAGCGATTCGCGATCTGTTTTGCGGTTGCGCTGCTCACGCTTTGGAACGGACAAGGCGTCATCTCGTACTACTTTCCACCTATCTTGGACTCCATTGGAATCACGTCTACGAATCAGCAGACCGGCATCAACGGCAGCATGCAGATTTGGAACCTCCTATGCTCGCTTGTGGGCGTATACCTGGCTGAATCAATAGGACGAAGACCCCTCTGGCTTGCCTCCTTCATCGGCATGATATGCGCCAACGTGCCATTGACAATCTCTTCCGCGCAATACACGAAGACTGGATCCAAGGGCGCCGCATACTCGACGGTGGTCTTTCTCTTCCTGTACAATGCCGCCTTCAACATCGCCTGCAATCCCCTGTTGTACTCTTATACAACAGAGCTTCTTCCTTACAGTATTCGCACAAAGGGGCTCGCCGTCCAGGTCGCTGTGGGCCAGGCAGTGTTGACGGTAAACCAATATGTGAACCCCATCGCCTTGGACAGCATCGGGTATTGGTACTTCGTCTTCTATCTTGGCATGCTCTTGATCGGGACTGCGGTCATCTACTTAGGATTTCCAGAGACCAAAGGCTATACGCTGGAGCAGTTGGCTAATTTGTTCGAGGAGAAAAGCCCATTTCCTGTCTTGGAGGCTGTTGCTGTGTCTGATGGGTCGGATCTACCATCGGCGGACACGAAGTCGGCCAAGCTTGAGGTCAAAGAGACTGATTTTTGAGAGCTTGGAGCCCTGGAGACAGAAGGCAGAGCGTTTCGCTGGCCATGATAGACGACAGTTTTTAAAGAAGCTTATTAGATCTATGAATCACTATCCCTTTGCTAGCAATCCTATACCTTTCGTCAACTTCGAGAGAAGTGCGCAGACAGCTCCAGCAAGGCAAAAGACTCCACTTAAGATAGACACTTGCACGAAGCCATGGTAACTCGCAATCAGCGCGCCGTCTATCGGAGGCGCGATGAGAGTAGCGATTCCTCCTACTCCAAACGCCATGCCGATGTAGGTTCCAATGTTCTGCGGATTGCTGGGCATCGAGGCGAACGCAACCATGCCGGCAGTCAGGACACCCCCTGAAATGAGACCGAACATTGCCGAGAAGACGATGATGCCTGCATGGCTGTGGACCACCTGCCAGCAGAGTAGAGTGATTCCTGTACCCAGACTAACGAAGGTAAGAGTGTTAAGCGCTCCAAACTTGTCAGCCAATACGCCGCACAGGAGACGACTCGGCCAGCTGGCAGCATTCAATATCGCCTGCAATACATGTCAGAGCTCGCAAATCATGTAATTCCCACCCATCTCGTTGCATCACTTACAATGAGATAGTTCGCCAACTCCACACTCATGCCATTCTGCACAGCGAACGTCGGCAGAAATATCGGCGGCGTGAAGATTGCCATGAAGATGCAGAAGCACGCGAACAAAATCCAGGCATACGGTATCTCCAAGAATGCCCTGGGCAGGAAGAACTTTCTCTTTCGTGGCGGTAGACGTGGTTGGATCACGAGGCTCGACGGGACCATCAAGCCTAAGATGATGAAACCACAGATTCGCACTGACCAGCCGAAGCCCAGGTTCGTGTTTTGTAGCATTCGTTCGAGGGCGATGGGGAAGACGACGCCGTCGACGCTGGAGCCCGTGAGGGCGAGGCCCATTGCTGCTAATCACCACAGTTAGCATCCCCTCCGCGCTGACTCCCTGTTCTTTGGTCCCAAAAGGGGCTGCCACGAATACTTACCTGCACCTCGCTTCTTGTTGAAGTACTGCGGAGTGGCGGCGCTTGACGGCCCCAGGAGGAGTCCTAAGCCAATCCCTCCTAGCAAGCCTTGAGCCTTAACGCCCAGTATGTCAGCCTCATGTCTTGTTGCGAACCGCCTACTCTTGCTCACCAGGATGAACTCCCATAGTTTAAGACAGATGCTTGTCATCATGATGGAAAACACATAGACCAAAACAGCCGGCAGGAGTATGATTGTCCCGCCAAATCGATCGAAGAGCGCGCCGCCGAATAACATGCCAAGACACATGAAGAAGAACTGCAGAGAACCGATCCACGCGATGTCCGAAGGAGAGTGGTCTCGAAGCTGGTGCGTCTCGTAGTATGTCTGATATACACTTTCGACATGTCAGCATTTCGAAGACCAGCAATGTACGCTTCAGGTTCGTACCCGAAAGCGTAGAGGTATCCCCAAGTCGTGAACATGGTCATCGTGTGTCCTGTTGCCACCAGCCATGCTTTTGTACCTCCTTCTGGGAACGAGGGAGGAGTGACGGGTGCTTGGACCGAATCTTTGCCATCTGAGCCTTCTTTGTCTTGACTAGATGGTGTTTCGGCGAGGGGCTCATCCGTTTTGTCCATATTCGAGTGCTCGAGAGAAGAGACCGATAGCGACTGGTGTCCAGAAGCAGAAGCAAGGGAAAGGAAGGCCGAGGGCGGCGACCGATATAAAGGTATTGCATCAATTCTGCGCCGCTCATGGCGCAGCTGATCGCCAGGCTGCAACACTTTTCTTCATCTCGTCGCTGACTATGCATCTTCTACGTATTGGTATAATGCACTAAGATCCTTGGTCTATTCTTCTCTTCGATGCGAACAATCAAATTCCGGCAGCAGATCGCCTACCGTTAGCTTCGGGAGCGCAGCCTCGCCGAATGTGCTCTCTAGGGTATATGTTCTGCCAGAAAATCGTTTCTAGTGGATGATACCAATTCCCGTAGACAGTCTTCAGCTCACTTTGGACTGCTTGGGTATGGTACGGTATGGCGATAATCCAACTTCTCATTGAGTGTTGCGTGTTCTCGGCCGGATATTCGCCCTACGGATCCGTCGGGGCCGTTCATGAACGCGCTATTTCGTAGCCTTTTTCGCACAGCTCGGAAAGGGGTCCACATATAGAGCGTGTCGGTCTCAGCTGGCGTTTTGCTCGCGAACCATACCACAAAGCACATTCCCTAATGTTGCTGAACAAGCAGATGCGTGCGGATTTGTAACCGCCATTCGGCTCCGATCGTCCTTCAAAAGCCTCAGGTCTTGCTGGTAAGGCAATCTCTCATTCCATGTGCAGAGTACGCAATGCCCGAATTAATCCAGCTAGGTTGGAGAGGTGCTGGAGTCTTTGAAGAGGTTAATGAAGAAGTCAAGACAGCTGGGCGGGCAGAGTTTGGAATGAGAGAATTCCTCTCGAGTCTTTGAACCAGTCGATATCTCTGAACGTGGTGCGACTGCTGCAGTGACTACAAACTGTCAGCGATGCTGCATGAGCTCATCGACTTTTGATCCTGGATCACCTACTTCTTCGAAACTTGGACTGGCGTTTCGTCGTCAATGACAGTCGAGTAGCGAGAATAGATGCCAACAATCAAGAGCTTCATCTCCAGAATGGCAAGACTGTCGAACATCAGCAAGGGTCCCGAAAGAATGGTCATAGTCACCTACTGCCTTCCTATGCATCCTCTCCCGCCGCTACCAAACGTCCAAAGACGTCTGTTCATCTCAGCGAGTGTGTCAGCATCGGCATCGAGCCATCTCTGCGGTAGCCACTGCTCCACGTCGAACGTGCAAAACTTGTCGAAGATACTGACATCGCGATTGATCGTGGTTGGGATCCCTCCGATGATGGTATCACCAGATACAAAGTGCCCTTCTAGAGTTCTACCTCCAGTAGGTACAACTCTCTGAAAGGCAGTCGTAGACGCGGGAAATGCTCGAAGGGTCTCTTTGAGAACCGCCTCCACGTACGGCGCTGCTTGAACGTCTGCCAATTTTTTTGATGAAAGTGGTTCGTGATACTCCCGTGGCAGACCTAGAGATGAGCACTCCTGGATGAGTGCTTGTTGACTCTGACGATGTTCTGGCATGGACAGTGTTTGGAGCACGTAAGCCAAAGTGTCTCCCACAGTGTCAAGGCCTGCGAGGAACTGATCCATGCATTCGCTGGCACAGCCTTCGTTTCGATAGAAGCGAAGCATGCTGCCATCCAACTTTGGTGATTTAAGCTGTCGAATGCCCGCGTCTTGAACAGGCGCACCAGGGATCAGGTTGGACCTTTCGCCTTCCAGGGCATTAGCAGCGAGTTTAGCACCAACAGGCGACTCCAACGAGGTGTCGATTTGAGCCTCTACCAGCGCATCTCGAGTCCTGAGGAAGCGCTTCCAGCCCCAGTGTCGTATAGGCGTACCACCGTACCACTTACTCTGCTCGAGACTGACCTTTTTTCCAGACGCCGTTGCAGGTCTCGACCTTCCAGTAGACTTCTGCTCCAAGCCCAGAACTCTCAAGATCAATACCTTGGTCTGCTTGATGATAGAGTGGAGCGTCTCAAACTCCATCTTGAAGTACGACATGACATCGCTTGGACCTTCCGCCGAGTCCTCAATGATACGGCGGATCTCCTTGTCGCCATCGAGAGCATGGCTTCCCTCGACGAATAGATGGGATGTGATGTTGTCAGCCGCATAGAAACGACAAGCACTGAGGAAGTCCATCGATTTTGCCGGACCTTCATCTGGATTGACACCCTCGCGTTCAACCATTTTCACGAAACTTCCAACAGTCTTCCACAACGTCCCATGTTTGGCTTCCTTCGCCACAATTGCCGTTTGAGCATAGTTGCCCGCGACAATCTTCCGCCGCCAAGAGTGGTTGTCCGAATCAATGCTAGAGAAGGCATTTCGAGCGCCGTAGTGTTGGAAGATGTTGAAGATGGGCGCTTTCGGATAGTATCCAGCTTTTGCAGAACCCGTGAAGACATCTCGAATCGACGCTGCTGAGGATACGGAAACTTCCTTGGGCGACAGCCGCACTACAGGGCCATATTTTCGATGGAGCTCTTCGGTCCATTTGGTTCTGTTGCCAATGTGGTCGTGGTATACGATGGGGAGGACCGTAAACTTGGTAAGAAAGGGCCCTGGTATTTTGGCTAATGGCGATTTAAATTTGTCGACGATCGCTGTAGTCAATGCCAGAAGTATGGACGTGAAGATCCAGACAGTTAGCGGTATCTCGTGAACTAGGACATATTCCCTCTGTACGCCTGTCGTCATGTTATTTTTAGGTGTGTAGACCTTGGTCGATATCGGCCGTGTCGTCTGTCGAGGGGCAGATGATACCCTGGGTGGTGTTGTCCTAGATCGTCGGGTTGAGGAGTGTGGTTTGAAGCAATATTTAGCATCGACCAGCGAACGTGGGTGACGAGGTCTGCAGCACGACTACTGTCCAGTGAAATGCTGCCATTTCCCAGCTTGCTCGGAGTTGGTTGAAGATCGGCGAGCTCCCTTTTCAGGATCGATTCTCGCAAGAGCTCCCAGTTCAATCATTAGTGCATTCAGCAAAGTCTCCTTCTACACCATGGCCGATGTATTATTACTCTTCGGAACATCAACTCACCACCTGCGTCGTATGGAGTGAGGTCTCGACGATTGCCTTCACGACTTGGCATGTGCAATGCCAAGCACGAGATAGGCCAAAATCCGGCCGGCAAGGGTTGGTGAAACCGACCATGCTGAAGGCGGCAATTATAGCAGCTTCCAAGGCGCCATGCACGATAAGACAATACAAGCCACGAGATATCAATGGAATGGCCATTGATTGAGGGTTTGTATCCCGGCGCCATGGGTGCCAAGTGATCAAGTTTTCCAGACGTACAAGACGTTCACACGTCCTCTGTACGAAACACTCGCAGCAGTCTCGTCGTACACAATGGGGGTCCTGGATATCGAGGCCACCATCTCCAAGGCGCCGCAAGCCAACTCCGATTCCGAACGAGATGTCGGTGAGGTCGTCGAAGCCAACGAGATAACGAGGAAATATGGCACGACTCAGCGAGGACTCTCCGGTCGACATGTCCAACTCATGGCCATTGCTGGTGCCATTGGAACAGGACTGTTCGTCGGAATTGGAAACTCTCTCAGCAAAGCCGGGCCACTGAGTGTGTTGCTGGCGTACATCATCTATCCGACATTGTTCATCTGGCCGTGCAACATGTGTGTTGCAGAGATGGCAACCCATTTGCCAATTCGCGGAAGCATATACGAGTTTGCGTCCAGATACGTGGATCCGGCTTTCGGCTTCGCTCTTGGATGGACGTAAGGCTGACATTAATGTGTTGGGCGCGCAAGAGACTGATCCGAAGACAGGTACTTCTTTGCCTCCTCCATGCTCTACTGTGCGGAAATCTCTGCCGTGGCCACCGTCATGGAATACTGGAATCTTGATGTCAATCCTGCAGTATGGGTGGCCCTGGTTATCGTTGTCTGTGTGTTCCTGAATGTTTTTGCTGTGAAGTATGCATCCCCATTCAGCAGAGAGAGATACAGTGCTGACATGTCGCAGATGGTATGGCGAGAGCGAGTTCATCTTCGGGTGCACAAAGTTGCTGCTGATCATCGGTCTCTGCCTCCTTACGTTCATCACAATGCTGGGCGGCAATCCGAAGCACGACCGTTATGGCTTTCGATACTGGGATCATGGCAATGCCATGCATGAGTACTACACCACCGGCGTAACAGGAAACTTCCTCGGTTTCTGGTCTGTCATCACTTACGCCGCGTTTTCCGTCGCCGGCCCTGATATGATTGCACTGGCGACTGGTGAAATCAGAAACCCAAGGCGCAATATCCCAAGGGTCGCTCGCATGGTTTTCTTTCGAAGCATCGGCTTCTACGTGATGGGCGTCCTCGGCGTTGGCATTATTTGTTCCAGCAGAGATTCTCGACTCCTCGGTGCGATTCAGGATGGCGCTGCCGGATCTGCAGCGTCGCCGTGGGTCATTGGCATTACCAATCTCGGGATCAATGGCCTCGCCAGCTTGGTCAACGTCCTCATCCTGCTGTCTGGATGGTCCTGTGGAAACGCCTACCTCTACAGCGCATCCCGGACGCTGTACAGCCTGGCGCTTGATAGACAAGCACCGAGATTGTTCCTCAAGTGCACCAAAGCCGGAAACCCCATTTACGCAGTGATGACCGTCAGTCTGATCGGATGCATCACTTTTCTGGTAGCCAGCAATGCGGCCGTGACGGTCTTTGACTGGTTCGTGAGCCTGTGCACTTGCGGCTTCGTCATTTCGTATCTTTTCATGATTTGCACGTGGATCGGCTGGAACAGAGGCTTGAAAGCTCAGGGCATCTCGCGAGACAGCCTGCACTGGAAAGCTCCGCTGATGCCTTACGCAGCGTATGTCGGGGTTGTGATGGGGTGCCTGGTCTTGCTATTCCTCGGCTTCGATGTTTTTGTCCCTTTCGATGTCAAAGGCTTTGTGACCAGCTATTTCGGACTGGCATTTGCGGCATTTGTATACATTCTGTGGAAAGTGGTCAAGAGAACGAAGCCTGTGAAACCAGCCGATATGGACTTTTGGTCTGGTAAAGAGGAGGTCGATGCTGAGTGCTCCATCTGGGAGGTAGATGGCGTGGACAAGCCGACCACTTTCATGGGTAGAATCTGGGACAAGATGTGGTAGAGTAGAATATAGAATGATTGCTCCAGGAAAGCGTGTGCTGCGTGGTCATGTTAGCTTAAACATGTGATGCATGCTTGCCTTCCAAGTTCAACTCCTTGAGACGATTTAAATGTGATGATGGTGAGGACGCGATGTTGTGAGCAGAATCCCGGAGGAAAGTCTCAATTCCAGCCCCCTCCAGCTGCGATGACCCAGGCCCATCACGGCGAGGTGGCATCTGCACTGAGATTGCCGCTCGGGCTCCTTCGCTTTGACTCACGACAACAACCAGTCAGGAACACGCAATGTTTTGCATAGAAATTCCAAAGTTCCATACCAGACGTTCCTTTCTCTTGTTCCGTTTCCCAACCACAGACATTCAACCTGAGTGTGTGCGCTTGTCCGCTATTTTGCTGCTTTTCTCAGCCCCTTTCCACTGCCCATTACGTTCAGAAGTCCCAATCTTTCGACCGAGAAAAAGCATTCAAGATGGCGCAGTTGTCCAATGACTCTGTCCAAGTTGCCAAAGTCCAAACAACGGAAGACCTAAAAGCTATCATCTCCCTCTTCGAGCAATACGCACAATCTCTCGGTATAGATCTCAGCTTCCAGGACTTCGCGACAGAGATGGCCCAGATGCCAGGCAAGTACGCGCCGCCGCGAGGAACCTTGCTACTCGCCAGGAGTGACAAAGGCGAGGCCATCGGATGCGTGGGCTTGAGACCATTCGCAACACCAGGACATTGCGAAATGAAGCGGCTCTACGTTCATCCCAATGGACGTGGGCTGGGACTTGGTCGCAAACTGGCTGAGGCTGTCGTCGCGGAAGCGAGAGAGTTGGGCTATGAGGCTATGTTGCTGGATACGCTGTCCACGATGGTGTCTGCGCAGGCGTTGTACAATTCTTTGGGATTTGTTGAGGTTCCGCCTTATTATGACTCGCCACTTCAGAATACCACATTCTTGCGGCTGGATTTGAACTCATGAAGACAGCTGCTGATGCCAGGAGATTTGAAGAGTCCATTGCAAAGCGCGATGGTCAACATATGTTCTTCATGGCGGTGGTGAAGTCTGAAGAAACCGCGACGCAACAGCGGCTTACAGCATCCACCGGAATACAGGCGAACTTGGGCAATGACATCCTCCTTCAGCACCGCAATCCCACAGCACTCTTATTCCCACGACCAGAGCAAGGATCCAAGCTGCACGGCAAATGGCACATCAAGAAGATCTACACGACAAGCTTCGGTCTTGGCGGAGCTTAGAGTTGCGATTTGCAGCCTCTGAGCTGTGTGTGAGCAGACGTAAGCCCAGTGCTGCTACGAAGGATGGATTGTCGTATGTGGAGAATATTTTCTGGGGGAAGTGTGGAGGATTGCGGAGAAGTGGCCCTTTAGCCACGGTAGTTGTTTGGTGAGCACCGCACGTGGGATTTTTGAGTATACATATAGTGCGGCTAGTGTGATTCTCTTGGTTTGGTGGTCGGTTTGTTGCTATGTGTTGACAGAACACTTCGAGAACTTATCGTTGAAATCTCACGATCGACATGGCTCGCTATTGGGGCCTCAGGGGCAAGAAGCTGAATGCTGCGATATGGCTGGAGAGCATGTGGGCGAGTACGTCCATTCGCCACACTATAATATATCGAACCACACTGACATACCGAAGTCATAATCTTCGGCTACAACCAAGGCAGCGCAGGCGGCGTCCTAACGACAAGATCATTCAACGAGCAATTCCCCGCCATGGACACCATCTTCACAACCGGCTCCAAACAACACAACAACTCCACAATCCAAGGTCTCAAGCCTAACACCTTGCCCTCATTCGATACACACCACTAATACCTCCCAAGGTACCGTCGTCGCGCTCTACACCCTGTTCGGCACCTTTGGCGCCCTCTCCTGTACTTTCCTAGGCGACCGCCTCGGCCGGCGCTGGACAATCTTCCTATCCAGCCTCGTGCAAGGCATCGGCTGCATCCTCATGGCTACATCCTTCCAATTCGCACAATTCATCATCCCCAGAATCGTCCTCGGACTAGGCACCGGCGGCATCATCGCAACCGTCTCCGTCTGGCAATCTGAGCTCTCCAAAGCGACGAGTCGCGGGAGCCATGTTTCCGGCTTTGGTACATTTTGTGGCATTGGCCTGTCAATCGCGCTATGGCTGAGCTTCGGAGTCTCATTCACAGATCCAAGTTCGCTCTCTTGGAGGCTCCCATTAGGTTTACCTTTACTCTTCTCCCTAATCGTCATGGCCTTCATCTTCACCCTACCCGAATCGCCGCGGTGGTTGATCAAGAAGAACAGGCTCGACGAAGCGCGGGATATCCTCGCGAGGATCTACGATGTCGAGGAGACGCACGAAATCGTCGCCAAAGAGATTCTTGACGTCCAGACCTCCCTCGAGCTCGCGGGGACGTTCAAACTCTCTGCCATGTTCAAGATGGGTCCTCAGCGGACTTTTCACCGTGTCTGTCTTGCCTGCGTTGTTCAAATCTTCCTGCAGATGTAACAATCCACCCCTATCATATCCTTTGCACTCCTCTCGTTAACACACTCCTAGGTCCGGAACCAACGCCATCTCTTATTACACAACAGCAGTGTTCGAGCAACAACTCCACTACACCCCCGTGACCGCCAAAATCCTCTCCGCCTCCATCCAAGCCGTCCTGATTCTCGGCTCCCTCGTCTGCAGCTTCACCGTGGACCGCTTCGGCCGGCGCAAACTGATGATGTTCTCCGCCAGCATGACGGCCATCAACATGGCGTGCCTGACGGGCTGCACGTCCTCCGCGACCAACACCTCCGCGTTGAAAGCCGCGGTGTTCTTCATCTTCTTCTTCCAATTCTGCTTTTGCATTGGGTTTTTGGGAATCCCGTTTGTGTATGCGAGTGAAATTGCGCCTGTGCATATGCGGGCGGGTGTGGCGGGCGTGTCGACGGCGGTGTCGTGGCTCTGGAATTTTTTGGTCGTGGAGGTGAGTACTGCAACCCCTTCACGTCCAACCTACCTCAAGATCTAATACTTCCTCCTTGCAGGTCACCCCCATAGCCTTCACCTCCATCGGCTACAGATACTTCATCGTCTACGCAACCTTCAACGCGGCGTAAATCCTCCCACCCCCTCCCCCAAAAACCACCCCAACTAACCACCCACCCCACCCTCCCAGCGTCGTCCCCCTAATCTACATCTTCTTCCCGGAAACCTCCAACCGCAGCCTGGAAGAACTCAACGAGATCTTCGCGTCCTCCAAATCCCTCTTCGACGTCGTGCCGAATGCGCGGAAATTGCCCAGGAGGAACCTGGTGGAGTTTTTGGATGAGGAGAAGGAGGGGCGGGAGGGACGGGTGAGGTATGTGGAGGATGTTTTGGAGGAGGGGGAGGGGAAGGGGGGTGGGGAGTGAGTGGAATTGGGGTTGGGAGGGATGGATGGGGGTGGAGGTGGAGGGGGCTTGTGTTGAGGTAGCTATCGAGTCGACTTACCAGATAGCCAAAGTCCAACTTATTAGACCTCGAGGTGTCTGTCATCACCCAAACAGGAACACCACACCTACATGTATTGTCAATCGATACAAATACCAGGGAGGAGGGCACCAAACAGCACAAAATACAAAAAGCCATATATATCGGGTATCAAAAACCAACAAACTTCTCGGGAAGGGGAAAACAGCGGCCCTCACACTCCCTTGTGGTGTAACAAAAACGCCATGCTTCTTCTTCTGCTTCAAGGAGATATGTATGTGTGTGTGTTCTTGTTGTTGTTGTCAGGGGAGTTTCTATTCTCGCGCAGATATACATTCAAAGGAAAATAGTAGATGCGTCATTATTTGCTTGCTTTGGAAAAAAGAGGGCTGCTCGGACCTCTTCTTGTCTCATGCCTTTTTCTTCGCCACACGTCACATGCTCCATGTTCGACTTCGCTTAATGCATGAACTTGTTCTGGTGGGCGCACGATGCCTGGGCGCCGAAGGCGGTGGTTGTGTATGTGTTGGTGATGCTATAGAAACCGATCAGTTCGTGTGGTCAGCAGAGATGGGTATATTGAACGTACGCATATGTAGACCAAACCGTGGTCGTCTCGACCGCGAACGGCTGGTAGACAGTCCAAGTGAAAGTAGGCACAGGGGCAGTGGTAGTAACAGGAACAGTCTGGTTTGCGAAAACAGTTGCGGTGCCCTGGCTGACGGTCGTGGTGGTGGAATCGGTATTAGTGATGAAATCGGTCAGAGTGGTCATGTTGATGGCGTGGCCCGTAGCCGTAACGATTTGGGTCGCGGTGGAAGTGACGGTCCTGTTGTCGGGGTGGCGCTTCTGGAGGTTCACGACACGGCGGGCCATGCGAGCCTCGCGCTCAGCGACGAATCCGCGCTTCTCCTCCTCGGTGGGCTGGCGGCCCTCGATGATTGCACGCTTGTACATGGCAGAGGCGGAGTTCTCGTCGCGCAGACCCAGTCCACCGAGAACGCCGCCGACGGTCTTGTCTACGGTGTCTTCAACGCCCTCGACAACTTTCTTCGCGACATTGTCAAGCTCGCCGAGGATCGATGGAACGATGTTGGCGATCTTGTCCTCGTATCCAGGCGCGGTTGGTGCAGTGCACTGCGCTTCAACAGCGTGGAAGGAGGCAGAAATGCGCCATTCGGTCAGAGTCTGCGTGTATGTGTGCATAACCTTGGTCGTCTTGACGTAGCTTGGGTGGGGATGCTCGGTCCAGCCGTGAGTTTGCGAAGAGACCAGAGAAGAGATGGTGTGAGTCGCAGTAATCGTAGTCTTGGGTACTCTTGATGTAATGGTGGTCTCGGTCTGCTTCGTGGATGTCTCGACGGTCGTGCTGGATGGGTCCACGGTCACGGTCGGGTAGACGTAGGTAGTCGATTGCGATCCAACATCGAGGGAGAAATCACGCTGGTATGCGATCGGGTCGGCATTGCCGTTGTTGCTGATAACAAGAAGGGACCAGTTGCCGTTGTAGAGGGTGTCTTTCGGGTTGTCCGAGCAAGTAATCAACTGCGTCTGCTTGTCCGGCTGCATGTTCGTGTTTGAGCATTGCGCCTGGTTGCCTTGAGGGTCGACCAGGACGTTGTTCGAGGTGTCGTTCGTGCATCCGGAGAAGTATTGGAACGCAGTGAACGGATCGGATGAGGCATTGTTTTGGAAATAAACTCCTCCTTCTTGGAAGTCCACGCCGAAAGATTTGCAAGTGTCAGCAGCAGAAGCGAAAGAAGAAAAAGAAGCAAGAGCAACAGCGAAGGTAATGAGTGACTGAGCCATTATGGCCAAAAGAGTGACTTGAGTGAAAGAATACGAAGATGGACTGCTGCCAAGCGCGCGAAAGAAGGTAGTCAGTAGGCGTAGGTCACTCCAGGACGTCGCGCGTATAAGAGGGAGATCGAAGTCCGCCCCGTTATAGACGAAAAGAGTTTACTGGCGTGTGTACTTAGATTTGACACCGTTGAGCCGCCCGAGATGGACGAAGCACGCTGCGAAAGATGAAGGATCAGCGACCGTTGTAGTTGATTCTGTGTTGGTGTCTGTCGTGGCATCGCCACGCACGGCAAACGCTGTGACAACAATCGACATGACGAGCTGGCCGTGACGCCGACGACTGAAAGAGGTGCTGCATGTTTCGTGGGCGGGCGGAATGGTTTAATAGATGGGCGCATGTTCGCAGCATCCGGTCCGACTTCTGATGTTCGCGGCTGGTACGTCTCCGCTTCCCCTATGCGCCTTTGGCGACAAAGGCCACGCCTCCGGACGGCAACCCGCAGAGCCAAGTTGGAGGCCCGGTGGTGGCTGCTCACGGCAGCTGGCAACTCGTCCGAGTGCGGGCGTGGGAGGTGTAAAATGAAGAAGCAGATCGGTCTGACGGGAGTTTTCAAGATGTCGTCCAGGAGCTCTCACGGCGCTCAAACATGACTCTAGACAATGACATCTGTATCGACTCTTTTTCTCTGCGCTTCAGACGTCTTCTCGACCTCACATTCCTCCATTCTTGGGACTGGAATCGTGCTTGGTCGAGGTCAGCGTTTGGTCCGCTTGGAAAGACGTTGGAGGAAGTTGAGCGCAGTGGGGAAAGATCTGCAGGGGAGAAAGCTTGCTCCTCGATCTCACAACCTAAAAATGGCAGAGACACGTCGGTGGCACGAGTCCAATGCACGTCACGGTGGTGGTGTCCCGAGATTCGACGACGCGCCGTGGAGTACAAGACGGCGCTCTGCTGCTGTTCCATGTGCCGTGAGACCCGGTGCGTCGATGTGCGTCGTCTTCATGATCGAAATGAAAGGGATGTCGTCAAAGGCGTGTCTGCTCGCCAAGTGCTTTGTGGTCCATCATTGAGAGGGTCGGTTCTGTTGGTGCACTGCTCAGAGAGTCCAAGAAATTTCTGCTGCTCACGCCAAGGACTCACAGCCCTTGGATGTACTATACTCCGGAATAGGCTGTCGCACATATTTCGTTCGTGGCCTTCGATCTGGACAGCGACCACGGCTGTGATGAAGCCCTAGCTCCTCGAGCTTGCAGGGTCTTCGCCAATAATGGTTGACCATTTCTGGCGAGGTCGCACTTCCATCACTGTCGTCCAACATCGAAGTGTAGTCGTTACTGAAGCAGTGAGTAATAGCCAACATCGGATAGGCCTCCCGAGCAATCGGCATACCAGCCATCGCAGACCGGCTCAAGACCGGTTCAATCTGGTGGGGCACCTCAAGGCCGCGATATCGCAGCCATCTCAAGCCTCCAAGTCTGGTCAGCAGCAGACGTAAAGCAGCATCCGCACCCTCATCACCGCCGTAGCCGCTTCGCGAAGCGCTCTCACTCTCACCATCTCCCCCAATTCTTGGCCATGTCCGCGCCATTCGTACGAGGAATCAGCAGGCGTTCGGCCTTCGCCGCGAGAGCTGGAGCAGGAGGAGGAGCTTCGCGCTGCAGCTTCTCCACCGGAAGCGCATCGCGGCAGAGCACGCCGAAGCGCTCAAATATTGCCAATGATGGCCGGAGAACACACCCTTCGTTTTGTTGCACTTCGCGCGCAGACGTCTCGCAGATTGTTATTCCTAGCGGTCGGAGGGGTTTTGCGAGTACCAGTTCGAAGAAGATGGCTTCGTTAGATCAGATCAAGAGGGATTGCCGGAAAGTATGAGCATTCATTCATTCACTTACTATAATCCATGTGCGAAGACTGACGATGTTGCTCGACAGGTCATGTGCATCGGCCGCAACTACGCCGACCACGTCAAAGAACTCAACAACCAACGCCCCAAACAACCCTTCTTCTTCCTCAAACCCCCCTCATCCATCCTCCTCCCCAACGAAGGCCCCATCCTGCGCCCCGCCGGCGTGAACCTCCACTTCGAAGTCGAGCTCGGCCTCGTCATCGGCAAGACCGTCAAAGACCTCGATGAGAACGATACCGCCGGCTGGCTAGATGCCATAGACTCGTATCTCCTCACCATCGACATGACCGGCCGCAACGTGCAAGAAGAGGCGAAGAAGCGGGGCCTGCCGTGGAGTATCGCCAAGGGTTTCGATACGTTCCTGCCGGTCGCGGGACCCGTGGAGAAGTCGAAGATTGGGGATCCGCATAATGTGGATTTGTGGTTGAGTGTGAATGGGGAGGTAAAGCAGAGTGATAATACCGAGTTGATGTTGTTCAGGATTGGGAGGCAGTTGAGTGACATTTCGAAAGTCATGACGCTGGAGAAGGGGGATATTGTGTTGACGGGGACGCCGAAGGGTGTGGGCACTGTGGTGACGGGCGATGTGATCGAGGCTGGGGTGAAAGTTGGTGGGGAGGAGCTTGCGAGGATAAAGGTTGATGTTAAGGATCGGGAGGGCCCGTATGAGTTTACTGAGACGTATTAGAGGGGTCGATGAGGACTTGTATAGAGCTAGGATGATGATTCAGGGCACTTCCTCATCATCGTCGTCACCACCAAATCCAAAAGAGAATCCTCCAGCTTCTTCATCATCTTCAGCACCCTTGGTGAGCTCTTCCCATCCCCTGCCGATCTTGCTGAGCCTCTCAAGCTCTTTTAGGCCTGTTTCCAGCAACTGTGGATCTTGCTCGCGTAGTCTGTCGACGAACAAGCCGTACGGATCTTCAATCTCGTCGCTAAAGCCGCTGATACTCTGCTTCTGATCTCGAAGGAAGTGAAGTACCGCACCAACTCGGCTTTTGGGGACAAGGTTCTGTGTGATGGCGATGCTAGCCTCGAGATTCAACACCAGGTGATACCAACCGGAAGGCACGTACAGGACTTCGCCTTCATAGCAAATGCCTTCCTTGCAGCCTGCGGTCTTGCGAGCCTCAGCGTGGAACCCTAGAAGCCATTCGGGGATGCTGAGCGGGCTCGTGACTTCGCTCTGATCTTCCGAGACGAAGACGCCAGGAGGTGGAGGAATCGAGGGAGAGGATGGGAACATGATCCAGTATTTCGACCCTTTCAACACTGCATTCCATGCGCTCGTAGCATTTGGATCCTTGTGAAAGGTGCTGCCGCTTCTGTCTGGGCCGATGATGAGCCATCGATGGTCAGGTCGTTGGTCGCCGAGGACAGAGAATGCGTCAGGTCCATATGTGGGAGGTGGCCAGTAGTCGGCACCCTTATCTGGATTTGTAGATACACTGAGATCCATCTTCTCTGCGAAGGCGCGGTCGAACAGATAAAGCGGACTTTCGTCTTGACTGTTGTTCATGTATTCGACATACGTCTTGAGCGGCCAGTCCACGGCCTCTGCTCGGAATGTCACGTCGGCGTATTTCTCCAAGAGTCGCTCCGTAGACCAAGCTTTGTACACAGGCCATTGCTTGACAGGCTCTGTGAGGATGAACGGTTGGCCGTACCATTCTGCTTCGAAAGCATCGTAGGAAAGATGTGGGAGTCGTTGAATTTCATTGGCCTTGGGAATGTTGGCAGCGAATGGATGCAGATCGACATGAGAGCAGAAGAAAGGACGGTGCAGCACGTCAGAAAAGAGGTTCGAGCAGTCAACTCGTGGCTCTTTGCTTGAAGGCTGGGAAAGGTAGGTAGAACGCCATGTACCTTGCCAAGAGAAATTCTGAGGAGAAGACCTACCACATGACACTCAGCGTACTGCTGAGAGATGCACGGATTCCTGACTTACTCAACGAACAGCGTTCTCCATAGTTCCTCGTTTCTTGTGAAAGCATGCAGCGCTCGACAAGTCGCCCCTAGCCTCAACAGACTTGCAGCTTCCAGGATCTCTAAGAGCTGAGCAATGAGTTCGTCCGGTAATCGTGCAAACCCTCCGCATGAGTCTTTCAGATTGAACGTAGATGTCAAAGCATTCCCAGGAGGGCGAACACCCAAAGGATGTCTTCTGACAAGCGTGCTGTCATTGTCTTCTTTGGGACGAGCTGCTGGGGCCGCAGCCACTCTCATTCGCTTGAGCGGTCTGTCATCCGGTGACTCGGCCTGTGCCCCGTGGTAGTCGTTGGACAGATGCATCGAAACGGGCGTAGGCTGGTTTGTCAAAGCTGAGATAGTGAATATCAGCGACGTTCATGTGCTTTCGCCACCATGTGACTCAGAGATTGATGGTGAAGATTGATTTCGCCTTGCCGCCACAATGCGAAAAGGGAAGACCAGATTTAGAGTTTTGAGCCCAGACCATGTCCAGAATTTCAGAGCGGCTCATCATCAAGTACTGCTCAAAATTTCCTTTGACGCTCCTCTCTTTCCACCACACATCCACCACCACAACACCCAGACACACCACTCACCACTAGAACCGCACGACTGTCACTACAGACAGTCAGGTATCTAGTTTTTCCACCACAACCACCGAACTCACCGCGGCGGCATCCCACGAGGACCCCCGCCTCACCACACACCGAGACTTTCTCCAGCTCACTGCCCAGCGCAAGTGAGCTTCGTGTCTGACTCGCAATCATGGCAGACAAGGGACTTGATGACATCGATGCTGGTAAGTAAGAGCAGCGGTTTGGTTTGGCGGTGCTGGAGGATAGCGCCGACGACGGCGGCGGCGGCGATACGGCAGAAAACGCAGACAGCGAGCGGCGGTGGCAGCGACACATGCACTCTCATGTGCGCACTTGACATCCGATTCCTAACACCTCGCAGGTCAGATCGAGTCCAACTACGATGAGACCACCGACTCTTTCGATGCGATGAACCTCAAGAGCGAGCTCCTCCGTGGAGTCTACGCCTACGGTTTTGAGCGCCCATCTGCTATCCAGCAGCGCGCCATCATGCCCGTCATCAAGGGTAAGTACTCGATCCCCTCGACTCGACACGGAGGACAGCGCGTCCTAACACATGCACAGGCAACGATGTCATCGCCCAGGCCCAGTCCGGTACCGGCAAGACTGCCACCTTCTCCATCTCCGTCCTTCAGAAGATCGACCCCAACCTCAAGGCCTGCCAGGCTCTGATCCTCGCCCCCACCCGTGAGCTGGCCCAGCAGATCCAGAAGGTCGTCGTCGCCATCGGTGACTTCATGAACATCGAGTGCCACGCCTGTATTGGCGGCACCAGCGTGCGGGACGACATGAAGGCGCTCGGCGAGGGCCCACACGTCGTTGTCGGCACTCCAGGCCGTGTCCAGGACATGATCCAGCGCCGTGTGCTCAAGACCGACAGCATGAAGATGTTCGTCCTCGACGAGGCCGACGAGATGCTGTCCCGTGGTTTCACCGAGCAGATCTACGACATCTTCCAGCTCCTCCCTCAGAGCACCCAGGTCGTTCTTCTCTCGGCCACCATGCCTCAGGACGTGCTTGAGGTCACTACCAAGTTCATGCGCGACCCAGTCCGTATCCTGGTCAAGAAGGACGAGCTTACCCTCGAAGGTATTAAGCAGTTCTACATTGCCGTCGAGAAGGAGGACTGGAAGCTCGACACCCTCTCCGACCTCTACGAGACCGTCACCATTACTCAGGCCGTCATCTTCTGCAACACCCGTAGAAAGGTCGACTGGCTCACCGACAAGCTCACCGCCCGTGACTTCACCGTCTCGGCCATGCACGGCGACATGGACCAGACTCAGCGTGATGTCATCATGAAGGAGTTCCGTTCCGGTTCTTCTCGTGTGCTCATCGCCACCGACTTGCTTGCTCGTGGTATCGACGTCCAGCAGGTTTCTCTCGTCATCAACTACGACCTTCCGGCCAACCGCGAGAACTACATCCATCGTATCGGACGTGGTGGCCGTTTCGGTAGGAAGGGTGTCGCTATCAACTTCGTCACCGCCGACGACGTCCGCATGATGCGTGAGATCGAGCAGTTCTACAGCACCCAGATTGAGGAGATGCCAATGAACGTGGCCGGTATGTTCAGAAATAGCCTCTAGCGTCGCATGGATTTCACTGACACGCAGAACAGATCTCATCTAAACACATCACCACATCACACATCACCCGTCTCCTGTTCGACTGAGTCCGAGCCCTCGCTGGTTTTGGATTTCCGAGTCGGACGGGGAGGCACATACCCGCATCGGTTTCTGCTTACGTCGACCACCTGGGCGCTGCGTGCGCATTGTTGCGTGCTCTGAGCGCAAATGACGGCGGAAATGCATAGACCCGGCGGAGCGCAGCGAGATGATTCAAAAACGCTTTCCATCATGTTTTCTATCGGGGCGTCTTCGGGCGTGCTACATGCGATCAAAATGTTTCTGCTTCGGTTGCATTGTGATTTCGTACGTAGATTACCGCGTACTTGATTCTTGACAGTGCAAAAGTTCCACACCTTCCTTTCAATCTGTAAGCTGAGGCGTTCCTTCCTGATTTGCAGGGTTCGCATGTGATTTCGCGCTTTTCGAGTCTTGGCTTTTCAAGTTTCTTTGAACGTCACCTCGTCTTTCTTTCTCTCGGAGAACACCCGCCGCTTTTGTCGCGCAGCACTTCAGCGACAACTCAAGCGGCAGTACTTCGGTGAGTACAAGCATCACACATAAACACCCATGCTAATGAGCTTCAGCATCGCCACCTGACCACTTCATCACCATGGCGCCAAACCGCCCAACCTCGCCCACGGGCATGCTTTGGGCGCACCAGCTGAAGCGCGAGCATGGCTTCCTACTCGACCGGATGAAGAAACTGGAGAGCGAGATCACCAAGGTCGAGTCAACAGCCAAATCGGCCAAGGACGCAACCGCCAGCCACGACATTGCCGCCATTGCCAGCAAAGTCAAAGCACTATCTGAAGATGGAGGTTCAAAGGCCACCGAGCAGCTGCGTGAAGAAGTCATGGAGCGACTTGAGAACATCGCCGCCGAAATGGAAGCCATCACTCTCAAGGTCGCGGCGATCGATGAGGACTCTGAGAGCGTGGAGGAGGAGCGGAGACGGGCTTTCAGCAATGAGAAGGCGCTGTTGAAGAGGGTGAAGGAGGTCGAGGAGCATCTCAACCAGTATGAGAAGAATCTCAATCGGATCGGTGATCAGGTCAATGAGCAGCAGATGGATGTCATTCGCGCTCAGCTGGCTGATCTTCTGGACCAAGTCAAGGGGGAAGGTGCTGAGAGGGGGGCTTTCAAGGACAGTCTGCAGGTGCTGGAGCAGGTGACCCGGGAGCTGAAGAAGGACAATGAGAAGCTTGTGAAGGAGATCAAGGCTCTTAGGAAGCGACCTGTTGCTCCGACTGTTGCTGTGCAGCCAACTGCCATGGTTGCGTCCGCACCCAAGTCTGCATACAACGCACTGCCGGTGATCGACAGAGATGAGCAAGCGACCACCAACCGGATGCCTCCTCCGCCGCCGGCGATCCAGAAGGGTGTCAAGAGAGTATTTGGCACAGCATGCAGTGCCTGCCGCAAGTCTCATCTACGCTGCACGCATGGTAGCAATGCAGCAGGTGCCGTTGAGGAGGATGCTGAGGAAGAGGACATACCCGAGGCACCCGCACCAAGACGCACAGGAGCCGCCAATACCAAGAGCAACCCAGCACCAACCCGGAAAGAGAACACCCGTACCGCCAAAGCCATCAAGCAAGAAGCTGCCGAGGCCCAAGGTCTTCAGGCCACGACTAAAGCACCAGCAGCGCGTGGACTGCAGCGAGAGATCCAGGACCTGAGATCAGCCAGTCAATTCATCAAGAAAGAGGCGGACACTCAACGTCCGGTGCAAAAGCAGGTGATAGCCTCCGGTCGCGGATGGGTCGTCGAGCGCACCCCAAGCGACGGCCAAAACGCAGAGCCAGCCCAGACCTCGCAAGACAGCACCAAAGGCCTCACAGCCGCCGAGAGAGTCAAGCGAGGACGCGGCCGCCCCAGAAAGAATCCTCAAGAACCACCCCCACAAGCCTCCGCCGCACCAAAGCGTGGCCGCGGCCGTCCACCCAAGAACCCCTCCCAGATCTCAACCCAAGTCACGCAGACCTCGCAAACCGACACCCCCAAGCGCGGTCGCGGCCGTCCGAGAAAGGACGCAACCCAGCTCCTGAAACTCGTCGAAACCCCCAAGCGCGAGCGCGGCCGTGGCCGACCACGTAAAGACGCCGCACAAACCCCAGCCGCTGTGAGATCCTCCCCTCCACCTCGCCAGATCAAGCAAGAGTTCGTCGAGTCTCGCCAGCAGCCTCTGCGGGATGTCACAGCCGCGCAGACGACGGAGAGACCGATGCCGGTGAAGAAGGAGCCTGGTAGGGAGAAGAAGCAGTCGGCTTTGGAGGCGTTGAGGGAGAAGTTGGCGGCGGGTCGAAGTGGTGGAATGGGGAGTTCTAGCTCGGTGCTGTCTTCTGCGCAGCCTTCGCCGCCGAAGCGCAAGGCCGTGGAGCCTCCGGCGCAGCAGCGGCGGCCGAAGAGGCGGACGATGGAGCAGGATGTTGATGACGATGATTGAAATGATGCGAGGAGGAATTGCTGGCGTTGCAAGTTGGAAGCTCAAACCTGTCATGGAAGGTAGACAGACAGTACTCGCTCAATCCAAACACCTACATACCTACCTACCCCCTCACAGTCCCTCCCTCGCCCTGATCCTACACGGCATCCCCTCACAAGGTTTCGCAGTCCCTAACTGAATCTGATACGCCCTCTCCCCAAATTGCGTCTGGATCCCCTCGGTCGCACACGGATACCCACTACCATCCCCTTGCAGCTTCTCCAGCTCGTCGTAGGCCGCGGCGAAGTCGAACTTGCGGATGATGGTGGCGAGGATGACTTTGGTTTCGAGCAGCGCGAGTTCTTGGCCGATGCAGTTGCGCGAGCCGCGCGAGAAGGGGATCCAGGCGGCGGTGTTGTTTTCGGTGTTGCTGGGGTGGAAGCGGGTGGGGTTGAAGGTGTGGGGGTCTGTTGAAGTGTTGGAGTTAGTTGGGGAAGAGGGGTGTTTTGTTCTGGGACTTGATTTGCGAGAGGATGGCGGGTTGGTTTTGGGGAGTCGTTTCGCGAGTTTGGGGGGTGGAGACTTGCCTTTCCAGTATTTCTTCTGTCGATGCATTCCTACGTCTGAACCCTCACGTCAGCAACTGGGCCCGGTGGTTTCTCGCAATCTGCGTTTGAAGCACTTACTGGCAGGCCAAAGCATGAGGTTATCGGTAGGCCAATTGGTGCCTGTCTCGGGATCATGAAGGGTGAACCTAGGATGACCTTGTCAGCATGGCAATGCTCAGGAGTACTACAGCATCTCATCGGTTCCGGTGCGAGAGCGAGAAGACGTACCCTGGTTCTGCTGCTCGAACGGTGCTGGCTGGGGGTTGCAGGCGTAGGACTTCTTTGGTTACGTTGAGAGTGTCTGGGTTGAGGTTAGATTGCTAAAACGTTCGGAGCGGGTTGTCTGACATACAGTCCAACTTGTTGAGAAGGAAAGGATCTTGCCTCAACTTCTCGCCCACAGCATCTGGATCAGGGCCAAAGACGTCGTCGTGTTCTTTGCGTATCTGTGCGAGCATTTCGGGGTTCTGGCTGAGGTAATAGAAAGCGTAGCAGATCGTCGAAGAGGTCGTGTCATGGCCGGCAAAGATGAAGGTCTTCATGTTGCTGATGCAGGCTTCTTTGAACTCGGGATCAAGTCCTTTCACTTTATCCGTGTCGCCGGTAGTGCCCTTCACTTCTTTGAGGTATGCCTCGAGGGCGAGGTCGACGACATGCCTCGTCTTGCCTCTGCCCTCGCGCGAGGCAAAACGCTCTTCAATTCGCGCTGATAGGTATCGATCCATCTTCCAGTTGTTGTACCGCTGGATGATCGGGCGTCGAATATCCCACAGCTCACTCGGTTGGAACTGTGCTCCGGTCTTCTGCCATCGGACCTGTGATTTAAACGCTTGCAATAGAGGATTTTGGCCTTGCCAGGCCTGAAGATCGACATCCAATACGATCTTGCCGATGATTTGTACGGTCAACTTGGTGGTCGCTTGCTCCATCCTGAAGAGGTCGTTGTTCTTGGCATGTCTCTCCATCTGCTTGCAGAATCTGTCACACTCCTCAACGATCATAGGCACGGTCGTCATGAGGTAGCTCGTAGCGAAGCCTGGATTGAACGCTGAGCGCCATTTCTTCCACTCCGCCGCCTCGCTGCTGACTAGATTTCCAGGACCTCCAAAGTTCTTCATAAAGTCGGCAATGACGGGGTGTTTGGGAATTTGAGGTGATCGCATCGTGACCTGATTGGCCATATCGACGTCGAAGATAGCCATAATGGGCGGTCCCATCGGCCAAGGGTCGAAATAGAAGTAGTCTCCCAGATTGTAGTATTCTTTCACACACTGCATATATGTCTGCGGAGCGGCACCTTGCGGCTGCTGCATGACGACCTTTGTAACGGCAGGCAGACTTCCAAAGAGGTAGCTATGAGGCGGGCCTGGCAGGCCTTTGACGAGACTTCTCTGGAAATGGAGACGCATGAAGAAGCGGACAAGCCAGGTGAGGGCCAGGAGCCCAATGGCCCACGCCACCTTGGTCGTAGTCAATGTCTCTAGCATTTTGATAAGCAGAGGAGGAAGGTGAAGAGGAGTGGAGAGGTGAGGTTTATGTACGAGAAACGAAGAGAGTACTTTTCGATCAAGCTAGCGTGATCCTTTAACTGGGGAGCAATATCGTTGCCCTTGTGAGTGGCTCGCAGTGGGAGATGGGTAGCTGGCCCTCGTCAGCCGGATGGCCTCTGTCCGCGTAGAATGAGGGCCATGCAAAAGGTTCGCTGGAGGCTGGAGGCTCATGCTGTGTGAAGTTATATGCGAGGTCCAAATATCGCTGGCTTCCCCCTAAATTTGAAGCCTACCATGACGTCGTCACTTCCACAAACGCCCAGCTGCTTTGGACGGCCGTGAGTGAATGCAACGGCTCGTGCGAACGCCAGAAATTAGCATTTGAAGCCAGCTGGCAGCACGCGGGCTTCCGCTTCTCGACAACATCGTCGCCAAGACATGGAATATCGATGTTCGTGGTGAATGAAAGAGTGCGATGGAGCAGCAGCGTCACGAATCGCCGGAGGATCTGGCCCCAGCACTAGCTCCCCGCCATCCCGATCTCGACGACGGAGCTGTGGTATGGGGGCAGCACCTTCTCGACACCACCGCCGCCGGGAACGCAACACCGCCACCTACCATTGACCCCCTCCAAACCCCACCATCCTCCCCGTCGTCCGGCCACAGCTCGATCATCGACCTGTCCCCTATTCAGCACCCAGATCCAGACTCCGACCACGACTTTGAAGTAATCGACCACAGCCCATCCCACGAGGCGACATACGAGGGCGCAGGCGAGCAGAATCTACCAGGGGACGACTACCTCGCCTACTTTGGCGCTCAAGCGCGCAATAGACTGAAGCAATTCAAGAAGAGGTATCGTCAACAAGCCGCTGGTCCCAAGTCGAAGCCTGCTCCGTCAGGCACCGATACCATCTCTACCATGGAGGCTGGCACCAGTAGCAACGACTACAACAGCTCGGACTGGCAACAAGCCGGTCATGCGGCAGACGCTCAAGATCTAGCTGGGCCTGGCGAACATGGCAGACTCGAATGCACAGTGTCCAAGCCGCAAAAAGAAGGGGAAGGCACCCAGAACGCATACGTCTCCTATCTTGTCACCACCGAGACAGATTTCAAGTCCTTCCAAAACTCGCATTCCTCAGTGCGACGGCGCTTCACCGACTTCGTGTTTCTCTACCGCACCCTCGCCAAAGAGTACCCGCAATGCGCGGTACCGCCTCTCCCGGACAAACATAACATGTCGTACGTGCGAGGCGACCGCTTCAGCCCGGACTTCACTCTTCGAAGAGCCTACTCTCTGGGCCGGTTTCTGAAACGACTTACTCTACACCCTGTCCTGCGAAGAGCGGCTATTCTTGCCCTGTTTCTCGAGTCTACCGATTGGCATGGTGTGATGAAGACAAGACCGAACCGCGGTATGAGTGCGAGTGAGCCGGGAAGTGGATCGGTACTTGAAAGCTGGACAGACAGCTTCTTGAACGCCTTTACGAAACCCCACAAGACCGACAAACGATTCCAAGAAGTCAACGACCGCGCTTCGAAGCTCGACAATGATCTCGGCACGGTCAGTAAGACGGTCGCGAGAGTAGCGAAGAGGGAGGGTGACCTTGAAACCGATTATGCGGACCTCGCAACGCAGTTCCAGAAGCTAGCAGCATTGGAGCCTGGGGTGAACGACGAGTTGACCAAGTTCGCAACGAGCGTCCAGAATACAAGCGAAGGTTGGAAAGGATTGAAAGAGCATACGGATCAAGATTACCTAGGATCGCTGAAGGACATGGAAGCCTACATTGCTTCGGTCCAGGCCTTGCTCAAGACGCGTGAGCAGAAACAGCTGGACTTCGAAGGTCTGACCGAATACCTGAACAAGGCGGCTCAAGAACGTGACACCCTCGCTAGCCATGGTTCAGTCGGCGCATCCGGCTTCCTACGGCAGAAGATCGAAGACGTTCGGGGCGTGGATCACGAGCAATCAAGACGAGAGCGACAGCGAAAGCTAGAAGTACAGATCAGTCGCCTGACCACCGAAGTTGAGAATGCGAAGAAGACGACCGAGGCCTTTGACGAAGAGGTGGTAAAGGAGGTTGCCGACTTCGAACGCATCAAAGCCGTCGAGTTTCGCGACACATTGGGCGGACTCGCCGACGCAAACATCGACTTCTTCAAGGGAAACATCGACATCTGGGAGCGATTCGTCAGCGATATGGAGAAGCAGCAGGCTGAGACGTCTGCCAATACCGCCACGGCCCAGGCTGCATAATTATGCAGTCTGCATGTCTTGTAAAGCAGTGGTGTGGTTTAGCTAATAATGTAATACGCCCTTTCAGCCTTACGTCCGCTTCCAACACGCGACGAAGCGCCAAGTTGACCAAATGCTCTTTTCAACTTCACGCCCCCTCCTCATCCAATGACGCCTATCGTACCCTTCTCTACACTCCCTTCGATTCGCCAGCTCGCATCCCTCCAGATCTTCACTTCCTACAAGGCCAATTCCGCAACGATATCGAATCCGAAACCGACATCTCTCAAGCCGCCTAACCAAGCTGGGGATTCTCAGCGCTCGTTCTCGCAGCTAGCCGCACGAAGGATGCAAGCACATGGTTTTCGGTGCAAAGTTGCTCCTTACGTGGCTTGCACGCAGACCTCTTATCACCATGACCTTCTAATACTTGCGGCCGAACGTTTGTCCTTCGACACTTTGACTCGTGAGGTTCGTGGGCTTGTAGGATGGGGCGTGTTGAGTAAACATCCTGTGGGGAGGCGGCGAGATTCTTTCTGGCTTGCTGGCTGGGTGGCATGTGCCGGCCGGTGGTTTTGGGATGCGTGAGGATTGCTGTGCGTTTGATTTGAGGACGAATGTTGTTGTTGACTGAGGACTTGGCGGATAGGATGAGGATGCGTGTGTGTTCGGGGTAGGCTGCCATGATGCGTCGCCGGGTTCCGCGCAGGGCTGCGGTTGGGTGATTGATGATGTTGTTGACTGTTGACTATTGACGGATAGGGGCCTGAAGTTGCGAGGGCTTCGGTGATATATGAAGGTGGTGAGACGGGGTTATGGTCGTGCCTTGTTGCAGGACTATATCAACTATCGAAAGAACGACAGGCATACCAACCTAAAGACCTACACACATCTACACATCACATCGACATCTCGACCCGAACCCATCAACCAAATCTCCAACCAGTCTCCACCTCCACCAACAAAAATCCCCAACCCAAACACACCCAACCACAAAATGCTCCCTCTAGTAGCAACCGCCGCGGCCCCCAACCCCATCGCCCTCTTCACACCCACCACCACCAAGCACAACAACGACACCTCTTCCGAAATCTACCCCCAAAGGAACCTCCTCGGAGGCTTCTCGAGAGTCGATACACATTCGTCCTCATCTCAGCCGAGTCTACGGAGTTCGAAGCAAGCGGACGCCGCGTCGATGGGGAGTGGGAGTGGGAGTTTGGGGAGTGAGGAGCGGCGGAGGAGGGTTTGGAGGAGGGTTTTGGAGGGGCTTGTGCGGTAGATCCAAACGATACACGTCCGAGCTTCATTGCGCGCTACGATGGTTGAGCGATTGGGGTTTGTGGTTACACGTGATGGAGTTTGAGCAGGCGTGGAGCGGGAACTGAGGAGGTTTCAATGCTTTGCTGCGGTCTTTCGATATTCTCTAAGGCGGTCATTTGGAGGTTTGTTGCTTGGGAGAATCATTTGCCGTGGTGTCGTGTAGCCATGCAATGCATCATAATCAATCAGACAGTCTGAGGATGTCTGCGTCTTTCTCCAGTAAGCCAATTCTCCCTCCACCGACGAGTTCAGAGCCTCCTCGTCGTCCAGAAGTACTGTCGAGCTGTTGCTGAGAGACAACATCTCACCCTCCAAAGCCTTCTCGTCCCTCGTCATCCGCGCACAATCGAAATCAATCAGAAAAGTCTTATTCCCAACGACGAGAAAGTTATGCCTGTCTATATCCCCATGCACAATCTTCATCCCATGCAGCCTCGAAAGCACCTTCTCGCACGCGGGATAGTCGTCTGCTGAGGAATGCATGCCGCGCGCCCTCTACGCGCTCGAAACAAAGCCGATGACTCTTTGCTCCTCGACGATATTTCCCAGGAAGTTAGGTCCGATCTCGTGGCTTGCGATCCACTGGTAAGCTGCGCACTCTTGGTCAATGTGATCGATCTCCCAGCTGAACCTCGCGAACTTGGCGATTGCATTTTCAGCCAGCGATGGTACTTTCGCTTCGTATACATTCGTGCGGAGCTTCTTCACTAACTCGAGGTTCAGGTAGCTGAACGATTTGGCATGTCAGTTGCTTTGTACCGCGGGGAACTGCGTTCGCACAGCGCACTTGAAGTACGCTCTCCTGGAGTCGGGGTGTTTGGTTACATATGTATCGTTCCAGTTGCTTGGTGGAAGAGGAGGGAGAAGAGACAGGATGAACGGGCCAAAGCACATATCCTCTTCTTCGTAGGCTCCTGATTCGATGGTGATTTACTTGATGTGCTGGCCGTGGAATAGGGGTCGAAAGTAGCCATCGTCGTCTGCGTCGACGCTTGCTTGGAGCAGCTGGATCTCGCCCTTTGGCCATGGCCTCGTTCAATGCCGTGCATGGATTGACCGCGATTATGTCCTTGAAGGCAGATGTAACACCCGTAAGCCTCCTCTTGAAGGTAAGAGACAATGGATCGTGCAAAGTCTCAGTGGCGTGGATCGTGCAGAAGGCCCGGGGAAAGCCTTGTGTATATCAGAATGAAGGAAGTGGCTGAGCGAGACTTCCTAGCTCATATCGTGAGATCAAGTGCTGGCTGTTCATGGCTCGGATGCAGGGCTGCTGGGCTTGAACAAGGGACAGGTGTGACCAGCAAGCAGCTGACAGCCTGTGCGAAGCGTTGACGTATTGCGATGCAGCCTTCAGTGGGGGGTACAAAGGGTCGGGGTCTACTCTTGGTCGGAGAATAATCAGGTTGATTGTACGTGTGTATTATTGCGAACCGTCCCGCATTGTTGGATGTGCTCCTCGAATGTGTCGTGATTAAATTTCTTTCTCCAGTGCATCACCCCATAGGTTTCTGATTGGCAGCCAATGCAATGAAAGCCCCAAATTGGAATGCTTGTTGCAGAAGAAATCGATGGCGCGCGTACAATGCCCATGAAGCGGCGGGCATTCCCTGACAAACCATCATGCTCTTCCCCAGCACCGGCTGGTCTTCGCGGCTTTCGGCCAAAGCCTTTTTCGAAGTACTTGTGCTTTCGATTCTCATACTCGTCCATGTGACTCGAGAGGGTACTTGCTGCAAACTCCATCATCGCTGCCTGTGAGCCATGCAATGCGACTCCTGCTCGGTGGGCTGAGTCGGGGTCATACAGGACCACACGCTTGCGACAATTCTTTTCATTTGGCGAGTAGCACCCGGGGACACTCCTGAGACGAGGCAGATCCAAGAGAAGAGAGGAGTCGAGGCCGAACTTCCGAAAGACTTGGCGCGCCGTGAGCGGAAGAAGATCAGTTCTTTTGGTGAAACATAAAAAGCAGACGCGGCGACAGTCTAATGCGTAGATGTATCCAGCGAAGTCGCCGCAGTGCGTACAGTTGGGGGTTTTCAGTGTTTGAAGGAGCTGTATGCAGGAGATGCGAGAAGCCACTTCGATGGCGAGTACTGCTCGGATGACGACCAGATGGTGCTTGACGATCTGCTTGAATTCTGGTATACCATCCACGGCTTGCATTGCACGCTGGTTAACGCGGCGGAAATCGAAGAGACAGCGCAGGTAGATCTGGGCTAGAATCTGGTCTATGAGCTCGCAGGGCAGTCTGTCAAGGTCGCCTAAGTCGTGCACCGGCTCCAGCTGATGTCTGCCAATGTCGAGCGGACATGTTTGGTCCAAATGATTTTCGTCGAGGCTATTGTCCTTCAGATTCGGGTAAGGATATGTGAGATCTGCTCGCGATGGCCTTGGCTCCGGCGATGTCGACATGTCAGTAACGTTGATGCCTTTCAGATAGCTGATTGAGGTTTGACGGCCGGGCGGGACGCGGAGTAGTAGTCGTCGACTGATCTGTCTACGACCGGTGGAGGCAAGAAGATGCTTTGACAGACGGTACTGACATAATCAAAGCCTCGGGGGATCCGGTGTGATCAACGGCAACGGCAACCGCGCTTGTTCACTATCGTTCCATTGTTTCTTAACGTAGCGTTTGCATCCGAACATCTTTTGGAAATGTTGCTCTCGTGGTTCTCTTACGAATTCTGCTCTTGATCGACAGGAATTTGTCGTTCGATCTGGGAACTTCGGCTCATCATCGGCTCATGAAATAGAAGCAATATAAATGGATTAGAATTTTCCAGCCCCAACAAAATCAGCCGGAGGTCACAGATCCTCCGTGGCGCAATTGGCTAGCGCGTTCGGCTGTTAGTACTCTCACGAGTAAGCAACCGGGAGGCTGGTGGTTCGAGCCCACCCGGTAAGTGAATTGTCACTTCTGCCTCCCACGGAATCAAGACTAACGATAAACCAGGGGGAGATTGTACCAAAGCTTGATTTCTTTTTTTGCTATTTCCAGTTGAAACAACCATGACTCGGCCAGCATACCCAGGTCATTAAAATTTTTGTCGAAAAAGGGTTTCATCATTTCACACCGCCGTGACAAGTCGACCAACGACCGACATGTGCTTCCAGCAGCATTACTGCAGCCTTGTATGTGTTGGTTCTGAACGTTGGCTGTCTTCACTTTTCCATCAGAGATTGCTATTGCGAGTTTTTGCGCTCTAGGAAGTCAATCTCAGTCCAGCTTGTCCAGCTTGCGATATTCAGTCTTTGGCCTCATTCATGGTCTGCTCCATCATTCCAAAAGTCGATCGGATCGGCTTGCCAAGTATCAACAACTACACCGCAGACCAGTCTATATCGATGATCGACCAATCTACACTACTGATCAGATCGCTGAAAGATTGATCAGCCGCCTCATGGCCGAGGGGACTTCTTTCGTCCTGATCTCCCGGGGTACGAGACGATTGCGGTGTAGCAGTACATGCCGCAGCAATGGTATTGAAAGAGACATCTGATAGCACAGATCCTGCAGCCATGTGAAAAGAGCTGGCATCATCCACGATGATATGGTCAAGCGCCTTTGAAAGCAAAGCCGACGCCTCACTCAGGAGCTTGTGATTCGGGCCACTGGCATCAGTAAAGTGGTCTAGATGTTCGACAAACACCGACAGCGTTCGAACCACTTTAACCCGCATCGGGGACGGACGAGACACGCCTTCAAGCAGAGACGCTGCGTTGGGAAGACCGTAATATATAACGACCAGTTCAAAATCATGCCTCATGGTGGACGGCGAGCCGACTGCCATCCCGAAGTCGTTGACGACTGTAAGAATATCGAGAGCTACTGTTGCAGGGGCGACAGTGTCATCCTGCCCGAGAAGTCTCTGGATCCGCGCCAGGTTCTGCAAATGTGCCAGCTTGACGAACGCGAGCATCGTGACCGTGGACGCTCTGAGGCCTGGTAGCCAACAGGTATTCTGGTATTGTAAGTGATTGGGAATGCTTTGCCAAGCAAATTGTGCTCGTTTGCTCAGGCTTCTGCTCATGAATCATTTAGTGACGAGATGGTATTTTCGTCGGATACTTTTGCACTTACAGGAGGTCATCGTGCTTACGAGATTCGACGGTCGTAGCTTCCCAGTCCAAGACCTCTTCTCTAATGATGTTGATGCAGTGGAACGCCCGAAGCCACGAGGCCGTGTTGAACGAAGGCTGAACATTCCAACCGTCGTCGCTCATGAAGTCGCTAGTCTTCGGGATGATGGCGGTCTCTTGGAGCAGGTCTTCGTCAGCCAGGTCAAGAGGCAGCGCGATATCGATGTAGCGATGACTTAGTCGAGGTGCTCGGTCCAACACCAACGATATCAATTTATCGGCGTGATATACCTTCAGGAGCAGACGTCGTCTCATTTCGACAACGAAAAAGGGCACACCCCGACCTAATGAAACCTCCCGATTGAGGCCGGCCGACAGTGTGTCTGCCACGAGTTGACTGAGCAGGTGCCAAGTACTTCTGTCTGCAGCAATACATCAGTACATTACCACCGCTCAGAGGTTGCGTGTGAGTGACGAACCATACATGCCCATGACGGCGATATTGAACTTGAGGTGGTCATATGCTAACCACAGGAAGATATCGTCTTCAGCGGCACAGATCGTACGAGCCGTCGAGAGGCAAAGGGACGCCCAGCTCAGCAGCCTTGACTTCGTTTCCTGCTGTGAATCAGGCTCCGTCGGCGTCGATACCGCTGCTCTCCCAGCTATTGCACACAAAAGGCCAATGGCTTGTAAAGACACTACCGGCGTGGTATGCTGTTTGATCCATGCCTCTGGATTGTGGGCGATCTCGAGGGAACTGGATGGCGAAGATGTGGCTTTCGATATGGCCCGAGCCAGCAGATCGACGGACACCTGACTCGAAATGCAGTCTTGCTCAACACCTTCAGCAAGCAGGAACGTGAGCTGCTTCGGCACCAGGGGTGCTAGACTGATCTCGTAGTATCCATGCAACCGCGTGCGTAAAGCCGGCCAGTATGGACGAAACACTACTAGGAACTCTGCGATTTCTGCCTCTGTCTTCGATGGCCAAGGCGCATCGCTACCAAGGATAGGATTCGGTATCAGTGTCGGCGACCTGGTGTTGGCAGGAGGCGAAGGAAGACCAACCAAGGACGATGGACTGTCCGCAAGATTGGGATTCTGATACAAGCTGAACTTGGTCCTGGTCAGGGGAGATGGGTGGTAGTAGCACTGTGTCTGGATCCCCCGGCGAGTACATGGCCCACAAACGTCCTGGACATGGTCACAGCGTGACTTGGACTTCCGGCAAGGCTCACAGGCGGCTACTTTGCCATTGCGGCGCCGTGTGTTCATGACCGCCCTCTAGAAATGTACCCATATGAGATCTAGGTACTCGCTCGATGCTCGTGAGGTGTTTCGGAGTTGATGCGTTCGTTTGGATGGCATCTTTGCCGGTCAGAGTCCATTTCTGAAGTGACGACGTAGCCGACGGAGTCACGAATCCTTTGGACCCACACATACTCCGGCATTCACTCACGCAAAAGAAATCCCCCACTCAACACCCATACGAGGTAGACGAAAACGATGTGGCCCCGTGTAATGTCTCAGCACCTCAAGAATTACCAGTCATAAATTTTGCAACATGCGCATAAAGTATCGTCCTGCGACCAGGCTCTCCCTTAAGCAAAGCTGCATCTTCTTGCCAACAGCACTTTAACCGGGCTCAACTTCCTCGTCATGGCCAAAGACAAGACGATGGAGGTCCATGGGCGGCAGTACCGAGTTCCCACCAAGCCCATCGCCGTTGTTTGCGTCGATGGGTTCGATCCCGAATACCTCGAGGCTGGTATCGATGCCGGTGTACTTCCAAACCTCCAATCGTGGACGACGCACGGGTTTCACACAACGGCCAACGGAGCCATGCCATCACTTACCAATCCAAACAATCTGAGCATCATTACAGGGCAGCCGACCAAAGTCCACGGGGTGTCGGGGAAGTAGGTGCTCGAAAGGGATTCAATCCTTGCGACCCATCTAATACTGATCTGACTGCTCCCCAATAGCTACTACCTCGACAAGAAGACGGGAGAAGAGCGCATGGTGCTGGACAGCTCCACCATGCAAGGCACAACAATACTAGAGCACCTGGCGAACGCCGGCGTCCGCGTGGCGGCCATCACAGCAAAGGACAAGCTCAGGAAGATCATCAACCACGGCCTATCGCCCAAGAACCACGCAATTTGCTTCTCCTCACAGCGCGCCGATACATGTACTCTCGAAGAACACGGCATCACCGACGTGCCGGCATGGCTAGGCCAGCCCGTGCCAGAGCAGTATTCCGGGGACCTCTCGATTTTCGTGCTGGACGCTGGAGTCAAGTTGTTGCAAGAGGGGAAGGCTCAGGTTCTGTACCTCACCTTGTCCGATTACATCCAACACATGCATGCGCCGATGTCTGAGGAGGCGTTGCGTTTCATGCAACAACTCGACGAGCGCCTGGGTATGCTGCACGACCTGGGCGCCACTGTGGCCGTGACGGGCGACCATGGCATGAGCGCGAAGTCGCTGGAGAACGGCGATCCAGACATCCTCTTCCTCGAGGACTTCTTGAATTCGGAATTCCCAGAGGCGAGGGCTCGGGTCATCTGCCCCATCGCAGATCCATTCGTCAAACACCACGGATCCCTTGGCGGGTTCGTTCGCGTGTATCTAGGTGCTCCAGATCTGGTGGATATTGAAAAGGTGTTTCAGGTTTGCACACAGCTGCCGCAGGTGGGTATTGCCTTGACTGGGGAAGAAGCGGCCTCGCGGTACGAAATGCCCCTGGAATGCGAAGGCGAGATGGTCGTTATCTCCACGAAAGGGGCTGTGATTGGTAGTCGGAAGGATGAGCATGATCTCTCGCAGTTGGGCAGTATTCGTCTTCGGTCACACGGTGGGAATACGGAGCTCGCTGTGCCACTTATTCGGTCGACTCCTCTCAGTGTGCCTGGGTCTGGAGATGGCAGGGCATGGAGGAATTATGATATCTTTGATCTTGCTTTGAATCATTGAAGATGGGCCATGGGGTGTGACAATGCAACGAGTTGTCGACTTATCATGAAGAAAGCGTCTCAAAATTCTCGCCTACATCTCTTATGCAACACTTACTACAAGCATCCTCTGCTGTTCAAAGTGTGCTGGAATGTTGATTGACCATGTCCCCCACAAACTTAGGCCCGGCACATGATGCATTTTATCTCTCCGTGCGACCCCTTTCCATCAATTCGCCCTAAGAACTCAAAGCCGCAACATCAGGCTCCGGCCTCCTAGTCTCAGCATGACTCGAAAGCACCAGCTCAAGAGCCTGCGCGACCTCTAACAACCTCCGATCGTTGAACCTCGTCCCAATCACCTGCAACCCGAAAGGCGTGCCATGTGGATCCAAACCAGCCGACAGGGATATCGCCGGATGACCCACCAGCGAAACCGCATACGTGATGCTATACCACTCCGCGTAATGGCGGGCGGGTCGTCCCTCGAGCGTTGTCGGGTAAGACTGGGCATGCGGGAAGGGCAGAACGTTGACCGCCGGCGTGATGAGCACGTCATACTTGTCGAAGACGGATTGGAAGTCGCGGTAGATGCGTGTCTGGGCTGAGAAGGCTTCGGCGTATTGCAGCGGGGTGGAGTGTAGAGCATCCTCGATGTTCCAGACGAGGTTGGCATCCAGCGCCTGGCCGTGTTGCTTGTACCTCGCGTGGTGACCGGCGAGGAGATAGAGGCCTCGCACGCCCCAGTATGCCTCTTCTGCATCTGTCATTTGGACATCACATTCCTCGCAAACTGCCAGGGATGGCGAGATGATTTCGAGCTTGCGGCGAAACGTCTCTCGTACGATTTTATCAACTGGCGCAAAACCTAGGTCCTCTGAGAAGCCCACTCGGAGTGAAGAGGCATCGACAGACTTGAGCGTCAGAAACTGTTTCGGCTCCACAGGCACCGACATCATATCTCGAGGGTCGTGCTTCGCCATCGCGGCGAGCAGCAGAGCAACATCCGCGACCGTCCGAGCCATCGGCCCTTCGACCCCGTTCGTCGACATGCCGACTTTCCTTTCAGGAGACGAGACCAGTCCAGGGGTCGGTCTGAGGCCCACGATGCCGCAGAAAGCCGCAGGGTTGCGAATGCTCGCCCCTGAATCCGAGCCGTTGACGATTGGAGCCATGTGTGTTGATAATGCAGCGGCGGCACCGCCTGAAGAGCCGCCCACCGTCAGGTCCGTAGCAAAAGGATTTCGTGTTGGTCCGAATACACGATTCGTCGTGTTGGAACCGATCCCAAACTCAGGCGAATTGGTCTTGCCGAAGACGATGGCTCCGTGCTGTCGCAAGCGCGCCACGACGGTGTCGTCGGCATTGGGAATGTGGTCTTCGTACAATGGGGAGCAGTAGGTAGTTCGGATGTTCTCTGTTTCGTTCAAGTCTTTGATCAATATTGGCAGGCCATGCAAGATGCCTAGCGGCCGGCCGTCAGCGACGTCTTGGGCAGCACGGACTGCTTCGAGTCGGGCTCGTTCGTATGCCTTTGTCACGACGGCGTTTATGCTCGGATTGCTTGCTTCCACACGTGCGATGCACGACTCCAAGATCTCTACAGGTGATATAACGCCTTGGCCGATGAGCAGGCGAGCTTGGGACGCCGTAAGGTCGCACAGCTGCCCAGGGACAGCTGTGTGAGACAGGCCATTCGTCTTTCGTTGTGACCCCATTGTTGATGATTGTCCACAGCTGCCCCAGCTCGTCGAGATGCGTCGGTTGGCTTGTTTCGAGGGAGAGCCAATGAACCTGCACGGTGTTGATTTCAGGCTTCTGCTACAGAAACAATTGTAAAACGAGATGGTAGACTCAAACGTGGGACGCATCACGCCTAGGACATTCATGCTGTAAACAAGATGAAAACAGTGACTTGAATCACGTGTATATTTCGCCAACTTGAAGTCGCTCCTCGTCATTTCCATGCACACGCCGAGAGGATGCGCCAGCTGTCGGAGTATGTGTGGGTCTCAGCCTGCTCGACTCCGAAGCCCATCCCAAGTGAAAATCGACGAGGCTGCGTCATACAGAGCTCGCTCCTACCTCCCTCACGCCTACCACGTGTCTAAGATGATCGCTGCGGTTGGCACGTCGATGTTGATCAGATGCTCTTCTGACGGGTCGCTGGAGGAGAAGATTGCGCGGGTTTGTACACTCGAGCAATGGCAAGCTGCGTTCTTTGTCGATGGCTGCCGACTCCACGTGCGAACGTTAGAAGATCTGGATGGCTCAGTCAAATGTACCTGGCGGATCCTGGCTACACTGCTGGCTTGTATAACTATAGAGGGCCGAGTCCATTGCCAGGAACGTGTAATTGAACACATGTCGACCGACGAAACTGAAGATGAGCACCCAGTCCGCCGATAACCAGCCACAACCATGGGGTTTGTGGTCCAAGTTGAAATTCTTATTTGTTGCCGGAGGAGGTCTGTTCGGAGACGGCTACCTGAACACCAACATTGGTTTAGGTAGGCCAGGCGTACCACTCCTGCATTGCAAATCCTTTCGCCCTGACCTGTCTCCTAGTCATACCAATCTTCGGCTACCTTTACTGGCACGACGAGCATGACAACATGCCAGTGACCGACGGCGACGTCTTGAAAGGCCTCTTCATAGTCGGCGTCATGACGGGACAAATGCTGCTCGGGTTCCTTGGAGATGCACTTGGACGCCACCGGGTCTACGGCAAGGAAGTGCTGTTTGCGATTGGGGGCACGCTGCTGTTCATATTGCTACCGTGGAAGGGCCTCAGCAAAGCCGGTATCGTTGCCTGGCTCTGTGCGTTTCGTTTTGTGACTGGCCTGGGGACTGGCGGAGGTGAGTCGAGTGACGCCGTCGAACGGATCGTGGCAGAGGTTACACTGACATGGACGGATTGATGCTGGCAGATTATCCCATGACATCTGCACTTTCTGCTGAACATCGACCTATTGGCAGCCGTGCAAAGCTGGTCACCCTCGTCTTCTCCTTTACAACCCTAGGCAGCCTCGGAGCTGCACTGGTTTACTTGGTCCTCCTCGTAGCGTTCAAGTTAAGTACCGTAGGTAAACTTGATAGACTGGAATGGGTCTGGCGACTGTTCTTCGGAATTGGCATGATACCAGCGTGCGTCACCGCGTACATGCGGTTCAAGATGAAGCAGTCTGCTGCTTTCACGAAATGTCAGTCTCAGCCGGAGATCTGCAAGTCTCTATACAAGCTGATGACAATGCCCCTTCAGACGTCGCTACAGTGCGTGACACGAACAAGCCAAAGTTGCAGCAACAGGCGAAAGATTTCCGAGAATATTTCTCGGATCGAAGACATCTCCGGGCATTGGTGGCAGCTGCGGGCAGTTGGTTCTTCTAGTAAGAAGAACCCTCGTTTCCTTTCAGCACGGCGACGTGCGAGGCTGACAACCACACACCAGCGACATCGCCAGCTACGGCATCGGACTCAACCAAAGCATCCTTCTCGACAAGATCGGGTTCTCCCGCGGCCGCTCACCATGGGAAAGGCTCTGGCGAATAGCCATAGGGAACCTGATCGTCCTGTTCGCGGTACGTGTGGCAGAACCTCTCAGGGCTCATCCTAAGCTGGTCTGCGCACCTCGACTAACCAAGAGTCTCTGCTGCATCAGGGGGCGATCCCAGGCGTATACGTCGGCGTGTTCCTCCCAGACTTGCTCGGTCGCCGCAAGACACAACTCCTCTCCTGCCTGGCGGCAAGCATCCTCTTCGCCATCTGGGCTGGAGTCGCCGACACAATCGCATCAGGAGGTTTGATCACCCTCTTCACGCTAGCCCAGTTCTTCCTCTCCTGTGGGCCAAGCCTCACGACGTTTCTGTATCCCGTCGAGTTGTTTCCGGCGCGCGTTCGCGGGACAGCACATGGGATTGCGGCAGCGACGGGCAAGGCGGGCGCTTTGATCACGGCGTTTAGTTTTGCGCAGGCGGTTGAGCAGATTGGGTTGCAGGGTATGCTAGGGCTGCTTGCGGGACTGCTGTTTCTGGTGGTTTTGTTGACACTATTGCTGCCTGAGACGAAAGACGTGACACTTGACTGTGTGGAACACGATGGGCTGTATGGTCCGACTGTTGTGGGCGAGGATGAATCAATGACGCATGTGCATGAGGAGGTTGTGTCAGCGAAAGACATACCAGGGAAGGACTAAGGGGACTCGCCTTTTGATGACGGCCATTGCTGAACAGGTGTAATGTGCTGCTTGTCATGAACGAGGAGCGTCAATATAGGAGTGTTGAAAGTGATCATGTCAATGCCATTTGACAGCTGTATTCCAATTTCCCTTTCCCTAATTAGACCTGATCCTCGCTATGCAAAGACAATCATGAATTTCCCCATTACAAACGTTTCGTCTGATACAAAGTCCAATCTCAAGTATTCACTCTCTAGAGAGCAGCAACGATGGCACCAAGGCCAAGCAGCGCAGATCCACCGAGCCAGACACGGGCGTTCTCCATGGCACCGGAGTTGCTGGTGATTGGGCTTGGGCTGGAGCTCGAGACGGTGCCGTTCGTGCTGGAGCCGGAGCCAGAGCCGGAGCCAGAGCCGCTGTCGCTGGTGGATGTGCCGTTGCCGCTGCTGCTGCCACCGACAGCGCCAGGAGTCGAAGAGGAGGTGATGGTCGACAAGGTAGCCGAGCTGGAGGAGGAAGCAGAAGCGGTCTGGTAGGAGGTGATACCGACGGCGCTGTTGTCGAGGGAGGTGTTGGTCTCCGACGTCTCAGACCAGGCGCCGGTCATAGTCTCGGTGGAGCTGAAAGAAAGGTCGTAGGAGCTGCTCGATGCAGCCTCAGCGCTGGAGGTCGTCTCAGCGGCGGAAGAAGCGCTGGCGGATGCGGTTGCGGTTGCGGAGCCGTAGCCGGCCAAGAAGGACGGGCTGTAGGAAGCGGTTCCCGAGTACAATGGGCAGCCAGGCACTGTAGTTTTGGGTGGAGCGCGGCCACCACCACAGTCAAGGAACTCGCAGAGCTCACCGGTCTCAGGAACGTACCAGGCGAGGGAGGCGCCAGCAGGGCTTGAGACGTCGGTGGAGGTGCAGCCAGTAAGGTCGGTTCTGGCGAGGGCGAGGGAAGCCAGCGAGGCTGTGAAGAGGACGGTGGAGAAGCGCGACATTTCGATGGTGATGTTGTGGTAGCGAGTGTGTATGCTTTTACGTCGTGCTTGGGGTGACTGGGTATCGTTTGGTATCAAGCAGGTAGAACGAATGTAAATCCTGATGTGTAGTTCAAAAAAGAAAGCAAGCAAACAAGTCCAGGAATGCAGATGAGAGAGAGAGAGCAACAAGCAGAGGGCAAGCAGGGAAATATAGGCGGCCAAAGAAAAAAAGTCTTCTCAAACAAGAACCGGAAGTACGTTCCCTTTTAGACTCAACACAATAGTCGCGATCCTTCGTGCCATCCACGAGGGCAAAAACAGTGTATTTTCAGCCCGTGTCTGGCTCTGGCGGATGACTGAGCCTCAAGGGAATAGGGGCCGTTGGAGACACCGAGCGCCACAAGCGTCTCGCCTTTGCGTGTGAGCCAAGGCATCGATTGGCCGCGGCCGAGTTCCGAATGCTGTGAAACGAGAAGGCTGATGAGAAAGCAATCCTGCCCGTAATTCAAGGACGATGCGACGTGGTATGTCGTATGCGTGGGAAAGGCACAGCTGAGGTAGACTTTTGCAAGTGAGGTCGTGCTTTTGAGGCGAAGCTCTTGCAGGAACAGAATCTCGACCACCACCTGCAAGTCAACAAAGCTAGAACTATTTCCAGCGACCGGACCGGCCTCCGCTCCGCAAACCTTGGCAGCAGCCACCTCACCTCACATCCTCACACGCCTCCAACCCACCACACTTCAACTTCAACGACAACTCCGCCACCGCCAAAATGCACACCAAATACCTAACCTCGATAAAAACAACCTTCTCCCCCTTCAACGCCCGCTCGGGAAAAACCATCCGCAACTTCCTCGCCCTCCTGCCGCCCAACGCGCGCTCGACAATGGCCATCGACATAAAAATGCTGCCGAAAGCCCAGGCGCGGGAACCCGCTGTGCTGGAGCTCAAGTTCAGTACGTGAAACAAACCCCCTCGAAAAAGGCAAAGGCCGGAGGGATATTATATTGTGGGGTTTTCGTGTGTTGAGTGCGAGTGCTAACTGGTTGTGTTTGTGTGTTGTTGTAGAGGACGGCAAGGAGATGAATTTGAATTTGGAGAAGATGAAGATAAGGGATATACAGGTTGAGGTGGATCGGCATTCGAGAGGGTTGAGAAGGGCGGATGATTTGTCGGGGAATTAAGAGATTGGATGGGAGTGGACTAGAGGTCAATATTGGATGGGAAAGATGCCGTGGGATGTGGTGAGGCTGCTTCAGAGTGAGGACATCGATGGGGAAAGTCCAGCACCCAGAGTACATGGCTGAGAGCGTCTCCTCTCTTGCAGCGTGAGAGATCAAGGTCATTCCGCATGGCGCCGCGACTAGAAGAGATGGCAAGGCAAAAGGGAGGAAATGAAGGAATGAGGAACCACCTCACGACAGATTGATCAGTGGCATACGCGCCGGTCTCACAACGGCCACAGGGACCAAATTGTACATCGCCGCCAACAGAATAGGCGCAAAGGCGCTCTCCCAACAAAGATACCCCATGTACAAAACCCGCACATCAATCATCGTCGCTATCATCAGGAATCTCCACAACGCCATCCTCGACCTCAGGAAACAGTATCTCGCCAACTTCGCAGCTATCGGTGATGATGTCCCGTGCTTGAGATGACCAGTCTCCCGTCAGTTTCATGTCTTCTTTGATCAATTGCTCCGCCAGATGAGGCACGAGCACGGCTTGCACGAAGCCAGACACGCCTCCTTGAACGCCGGAGGAGGCGACGAGCTTGTCTTTCTTCGCTTGCTTGCGGATGTCGTCTGCAAGGGAGGAGATGATGTGGTCCGTCCTGTGAAAAGGTTAGCCTTTCCCTCTCTGTGGTTGATGCACAAGACGTACATTATCTTCTCCCCCTTCGGACCATAATACCCAACAGAAGCCCCAGGCCTGCTACCACCGTCCTTCGTCTCCATGGCAGCATTATAAGCCTGACGAATCCCTTTCGTCCTGGGTTTGACTTTATCCTTCAACGTTTGTCGGTAATGTGACGATTTCCGATCATTCAGAATATCAACCAAGAAAGCATTGTGTTTCCGCATTCGCCGCTCCAGACCCGTCCACTCGATGGTTGGATACGATCTCTCCCGCCAAATGTCCTGTGCTTCTTGCTTTCTGTGGAATTTGCAGAATCGACGTTTCCATTTGAAGGATAGGTCCCCACCGATGTTGTATTTGTCTTCGAATTCTTCTACTACAAATTTTTCGATCGGTTGACCACAGTATGAACAGTCGACCATGGGCTTGTATGGCGTGGCGTGTGGTAGATCAAGCACTTGCAGCTCCTCCGGATCAGGCGTAGTTCTTGCGCTGCTGAGTGATGAAGAAGACAGTCTTGCGTATCCTAAGTCTTCATCTTCGGCTCCAGGAACCGCGAAAGGTTGATCCGTAGACACAGAATCATCAGCCCCATTGCCAATATCCAGCAGCTGGAAAGCGGGCGCCTTCGCATCCTTCTTAGGCGATGCCTTCTTTTCCTGGCTGGCCCTCTTCAACTTCCATTCTCTATGCCTTTGCGAACCCTTTCCATACCCTTGTGACGTTCGAGGAGGCGCAAACATGCTCGTTTTAACATTCTCTTTCTTCTGTTTCTTTGGAGTGCCCCCATTCAACCATTCCGGCTCTTGCCCAGTTGTGATATCTCTGAAACCCCTCTTCTTTCCACTAGCAGGACTCTTGCTCTTCTTTCCCACACTGCCGTTCTTTCCCTCCTCTTCAAGCCCAGCAAACCTAAACACCTCCTCCACAACCTTCTTCCCACACCCCTCCTCCAGATCCACATTCGCGGACCTGAACCCTTCAAAGCTCGCACGAACAGGTTTCGAAGCGAACACCTCATCATCGCTATCTATGGGATCCGCATTGACCCAGTCCTCGTCCTCATTCTCCAGATCAATCACATTCGGCTGCAGGTTCTGCGAACTGGCAGTGCTGTTCGTGGCCGGCGGCGTGACCATAGTGCTCTCTGCTTGAGTTCGCGTCGACTTCCTCCTCTTTGTCGCACTCGTTCGGATCGCGTGGGTGGAGTCGGCCTCTTCGTGGTCGTCGGATGAGGCGTGCGGTTTCCCTCCCACTTTGGTGAGAAGCGGCCGAGCGTTTCTTCTCAATTGTGGCATATCGTACAGCTCGAGGTGACGAAGTTTCACATCATCGGTCGGTACATGCGTGATTCATGGAGGTCGGGTGGTGTGAAAGCTGAGGTGACATCGAGTCCCGCGTCAAGGTCATGTCCCTGCTCTTCATTTCGCTCCAATTGGGAAGGCGCGTCGCGCGTGCGGAGTAACACGCCATCACGTGCACACGATTCAAACGACACCCATTCACTTGAAACCGATGTACGAAGGCATGTTCAGACAAACGAAAGTCTCTCTCATTCCGATACTATCATCCAACCATTCCTCCGTGAAAGTCCTGCCTTTTTGTAATCCCCTCGGGTATACCTGAAAAAGAAGAAAAGTATCTTTACAGCCGATTAATCTGCGCGAGCAGTGTGCCGTCTAGTAGAGTCCCCTTTTCTCCCCTCCCAACGTCTGCGCCCAAAGAAAGCAGAATGTACACATAGTGAACCCTCGTACGACCAGCATCACAGTGCCTAGGTCATGCTCGACTTCGAACCATAATCTCTTCCGCCCATGCCATACGCCTGAAGAAGCCAATATCGTTGGAATGGCCATGCTCAAATAACGCCTGATGATAGGAGGAAATGCCGAGGGCCCAGCTCAGGTCACTTGAGAATGAGGTCCTTGACCCATGGCTCAAGAAGGGGAAGTACAAAGTCAATACCGGCCTCGTTCTCGTTGATGGACACGGTAGAATCAGCTGCGGATCGTTGCTGCATATGTTCGCCTGACTCCAGTGCTATTGCATGCTTCGCAAGAATCTCGGCCCGAATTTGGAGTGTGAAATCGTGCCAGCGGCCCATCCTGATCTTTCCAGCCCAGTGTATAAGATAGCGCCCTTGAGCGTCTGTCAACCAACTCTCACTTCTTGCCGGTGTTGGGTCCATGTGCCTGGACTGCGACTCATTTTGCGTCCCAGCTCCAGCATCGGCGTCAGGTCCACGGTGTTGATTCGTTCCAGCCTGATTCGCCAGCCGTTGAAGTTCTGGTTGAAGTCTAACTAACCACTCGCGATTGCTGGCGATTATCCGGCACCATTGCGAGACAGGTATCGGTTCAAGGTTGGTACCGAGTACGGGGTTGCCATTCGTGTCTTCCATTATACTCCCTTGAATCTCCTTTCAATTGTAAGCAAAAGCAAAAGCACAAGCAAAGTACGCAGGCGCCGCAGCGTCGAGCACGCCTAATAGTCGCCTTGACCAGGCGCGCCGTAGCCAAAGTCGGCAGCGCCCTCTCCAGACGGATCCATGTTGAGAGCGTTGTGGTTGGTGTCGTAGGATGGTGAGGTGGTCGCGTTGCCGCCGCTGCCTCCAGCCACTGGCTTCTGATGTTCACCACGTGCGACAAGATTCTTGTGGAAGTCAGTCTGGATACTAGGATAAGATATACAACGGTTGTTGCTGATCCATTCAGCTGATCATGGTCTCACCTCTCGGTATCTCGCCAAGTAGATCTTCAGTGCTTCGCCGTAGTTCTCGAAGCCGAGCGAAGTCATGGCGAACAGGATGTCCTCGCCATTGACGGTCTTGCGCTTCTCTTGCTGACATTTCTCCGATGCTGTCTCAGATCTTAGCGCCGCAAACACTAAATAGCCGCCGTCCGATGGCGCTAGAAGAGGTACGTACCTTCGCTGGTGATGAACGATATGAACTCGCTCACGCACTCCTGCATGCACTCCTTGGCCTCCTTTGCGATTTTGGCATTCTCGGGGAGTGCCGTCTTCATGATCCTGGCGACTGGAGCAAAGTTATGAATGTTAGCATCGTGATCGAAGTTCTTGCGGTTGGGGTTCCTGGCGATGAGGCGCTGCTGGGACTCTGGGGGAGAGGACGATTGCTGCGGGGATGGCGGCGGCATGGTCTGTCTGGTCGTCCAGTCGGCAGCCTTGAGACAGATGCTGCAGATCGTTGGCTGGCGAAGGAGCCTCTGATTCGACAGGACGTGCAGAACAGACGCCAGCGATGCAGCGTTATATGTGGGCAGGAAGCGACGCCAGTCACGGCAGTCGATCGAGGTGCAGGTGTCAAGACGCTGTGAAAGGGCGACGACGAGCGCACAGAGTGAGGGTGTGACAAGGATCGCACGGGGTTGCTGGGACGCAAGGTGCTACAGAGAGGGACTCACCATTTGCGATTGGTAGCCAACGGTCCTGCTCCTTGACCTCGAAGTCATAGCCGATGTCCTCGACTCGGTTCATATCGCCTTCGTTCTGGTCGTCGAGCGGCTGCTGGGGGGCATCGTCGTTGGGCGATTGAGTGGCCGTCGCGTCGACCTCCTCGGGCTCTCTTGGGGACTGCGACATGTTTTTGAATGCGTTCGGTGGATTCCGGTTCGGTGCGAGTGAGCTGTCAATGATTCGTTGGCCACCACGTCAACGGGCACCCCTGGAGCTGCGGTACCACCGTGCTAGCTAGAAAGGTGCAGGTGGAATCGAGTTACCGGCGCCGGCACGCAGGAGCACCAGCGAGGAAGCGTCGTAGCTTGCTGCAGTGGAGCGGTGTGTTTGACGACCCCAGCCGAGGGTGGGAGTGCTGGCAGCGCCGAAAAGGGCGAGTTGGGGAGAGTAGCGTGCGGCGAGACTCTGACCTGATGCAGACTCCCCACAGCGCGAGCCTCAGGGACGGACGGCGGTGAGGCAAGGCACGGCGCACACGAGCGGGCGATGCGATGCGAGCGGCGACTGTGGCTGAAGATGGGACAAACTGACGTATCGACACGCGCGGAGTGCTGTCCTGTATGCACGTCTGGATTGCTGGCCAGGTATGCGGTGGGCAATGCGGCGGCTTGGCGGCGGATAGCTTTCACGAGCTGCGCACAACAACAGGAGCAGCAGCGGCAGCGACAACAACGCGGTCAGGCCACGGGCAGCGGCAGCGGCACTAGCGACGGACGCACGACGGCGCGAGAGGGATCGAGTTCGCGCCTGACTGATGCGTTCACACGCGCCACGGATGCGCAATCCGCGCCAATGTGCGATGCGGTCGTGGGCGAGTCTGGCGGGCGGTCGTCTGACGAGCGGCGGCGTCTGCGAGCTGTGTGTTGTCGCGCTGGGCGATGGAGTGACGTGCGGCGCGTCGCGATCGAACGCTGGGTGACGACAGGATGCGTCTGGTATGGCGGTGCTGTGGTGTTGGAGGAGCGACGGCCAGTCAGGAAAAGCGACGCCAGGATTTTATTGATTGGCCTTGGGGGGAACAATGCAGGCTCGCCCTTAATAATTCGAGCAGAAGCGTGAGGAGCAGCAGCAGCTTCCCAGCGCAAAGGAACGTGCCGCTGCCAGAACCCCACGATCTCTGCTCTGCTCTCCTCCTCCGGCCAATCACCGTGCCGGCTGTCCCCTACGCCGTCTGAGACGTCACCTGGGAGATTCGGCCTCCATCTCCCACTCTCCTCTCCCACTCCCACATGCCCAGACAGGGACATTATCGCAGTGCATCTGGGGCGCGAGTGTCACCATTGCAGCCGCACGGCGAGGATGCCCGGCCATCGATGCCATCATCCGGCCTTCCGCGCTGCGAGCCGCATCCCACGCAAAGGCAAAGAAAGTATGCTGCATTGAAGCCCGACCTACGACTCGCCGCGCCATCATCATACTGTAGCTACCAAACCCTTCGATCCATCTCCCATCGTGCGCTGTTCTCGAACGTCTCCCTCCCTCGCCAAGGGTCTGCATCCTCTTCATCCCTAGCTGCATGCCGATGCGTTGTCGCGGGAAGTACATGTGTACAGTGGTGAGAGCGAGAGAGATGTCATCCATCATCTTCGCTTCCACCACATCCTCGATATAACATCTCTTCTCTTCAGCCCTACAATTCCATACCATCAAGTGAAGTCCCAGCGAGCCAGTCATTACGGGGCTGTCCCTGACATGCCTTGGAAACCAATCGTTTCGCTGGTCTCACCGTGGGCCTCGAGTATTGGGCCGTCAACCATCGGCACTAGCGCATCGCATGCGGGCCAGCGCATCTTGCATACACAGAACGAAGCTACTATTCTAGTACAGAGCTGCACATCTTCCTCTGTAACATCTGCGCCACCACATCTGTAAGAGCGCCTTCCGTCGTGTCATCGAGCAGTAGCGGCGAACAGCACATCCTCGTGGGAGACTTGCTTACCGGGAGTGGGCGAGGCGAGCACCGCGGCCAGTTTTGGGGTGGCATCAAGGTTTTGTCAGGTGACACTATTATCGATGATGAAGATGTTGTGGAATGTGAGGCTGGTTGCGCGGTGCTGCTTGAGTGTGGAGAGCACATATGTTTTGTGACGAGGAAAATTTCTTGACAATAGAGGTCTGCCCTACCGCACTGAAACATTCATGTGCAGATTGAACAGGTTTGGTGGGAAGTACGGCCCGCGAGTCAATTCGCACAGATGCTACCGAACAAGTGAGTACCAAACTGTGAGAGATCATCGACGAGTTCTTCAAGTCGCAACATTCTTCGCAAGTCAACCTCCGCTCAATCGATCTGCTCACTCCTTGTGCCACATGCAACGAATCCATGCCGGCCCCTTTCTTCCGCTTTCGAGGGCAAGTTTCTCAATCCGATCCATTTCATACCGATTGAGAGAAGTGACGGCAGGATGCAGTTGTGCCACAATCCAGACTTCCCACCAGCCGGTCGTGTGCCACGGCTGAGATTTGGATTTGGTAGCTGTGAGTAACATCTGAGAGCTGCCTGTGACACCTCGCTCAACGTCTTGGGTACGTCGCTCGTGCGATAGCGAGGCTTCCGAGCCGCACTTGGGATGCTGAGGCCGAGAGGAGTGCAGAATACCGGCAGGCCGCGTAGTGTCGAAATCCCGGGTGAATTTCGTGCTCATTGCTGCACAACCTGGATATTGTTCTTCTTCTAAACCTGAAGTCAGTGTCTAGAAGTACGCATTGCTTTGCACAAACACATACCTTCCATTTCTCCATCTCAGTCTGCTTGTTCTGGTACTGCTTCACCAGGTCCTCCAAAACTTTCTTCAGCCCGTCGGCGTTGGTCTGCAGAGCCGGCAACACATCCTTCACCGTCCTCTCCAACAGGACGCCATTGATCATCCGGAAGCACTTCCGCTCACCATCCAGCGGCGTGAGCGTCTCTAGCACCAACCTAAGGCAAAATCCTCATCAGCCATCTGTAGTAGCAAAACTCTACCGGGGAAGACGCATTCCTAAAGTCAATGCATAGTCATGGGTCGTGATCCATAATCGCATGGCAGACTGATCGCCCGGTGCTGCGGATGCGATGCAGGTACCATATGAGCGGTTCTGTTCGTGCATGTCGAAGAATGTCTTGCTATGTCTTGCAGGGGAATAGCGGTCGTGGCGGTGAGTGAAGTTCGGTCGCCTGGCCAATAGTGCGAAAAGAAGGTAGAAATGTCCCGATTGGCGGTGAGACACCGCAAGAGTGACTGTGCTGGACGAGGTAGAGGTTGGCGATGGAGACTCACTTGTGCTCTTCTGCTTCCTGCTCGACTTCTCCGATTTTCTGAGCGATGGCCTGGAGGTTCTCCTTGTAGTTGGAGTACTGCGTTTGAAGCTCTGCAAGATTCTTTAGCGGTTGTTCACATTTCAATTCGATCAGAATGTTATTACCCTGCTGCTTCTTCGCCGAAAGTTGCTGCTGAGACATTTCGTGGTTCTTGTTTTCGCGAGGTTGTTCTTCACCTGATCTGTCGAAAGACGGCGAGATTGTCGTTAGTAAGCAAAGCCGTTGCCAAGTCGGCTGACTTTCCCAGATTAGATCGTTCCTTCTGAGTCTGGACGTCTTCGACTTCGTCTTGGAGTATTGTGTTCAACTAGTCACTGTCCTTCTCTTCCCTGCCTTGAATCTCAGAGTGCCCATTATGCATCCACATCTCCATCGCGAAGACCAAAAGGGTGAATACTCAGAATCACATACAATACCTGCATTGACACTGACTCGGCTTCGATAGGTTGCGAGGAGATCATGACTGCCCTAGAAGAATGCCATGCCAAAGGCTTCATGTGGAAAGCGATCGGAATGTGTAGCGATACGAAGCGAGAAGTCAACAGATGTTTGAGGGCGGAAAGACTTGAACGCACCGCGCAGAATCGCGAGGAGGCGAAGAAAAAGAGAGAGCACATGAAGAAGATCTGGGCGGAGATCGACGCCAATTCATGAAGAGAGCAACGTTTGTTTGATCGTTTTGGGACAAATCCACTCTAAGCGCATCGGACGCATGGCTGAGAGGCTGTGCTGGCCCGCGGCACAGTCATGGGTGACATGGGCATAAGGCACTACGATGTGCAGAGGATGGTTCGAGGATACATCGAGCTTGAGGAACGCACAGAACTGAGGCAGAGCAGGGCTGGAAACATATCTCACATTCTCGAGGACGTGTTCAGGGTTGGGGCAACACCATGCAGACGCAAACCCGGTGTCACAGGCCAAGGGACATTGCAGAAGCACGATACAAAGGTTGGAAGAGGATATGAATCGATGGAGTGCACAGTTTTGCCGCGGCGAATGTGCTTCTTCACTGTGTAGGTATAGTGTAAAGTTGACTACGACTACGAGCAGCTCAATATGGCCAGACTTATTCAATGACACGGAGTCGTCCATGTGGCAAGACAAGTAATTTTCAGAATCAATGTACTACGTGCGGTACGGCAGCTTTGATGCGGTGAAGGCTGTGAATGCTGAAGACACGCGAGGATGTAGGCACAAACACGCTCTGGGCGCGGCAGAAATGCAGGTTGCCGGTGGAAACGCAGGCATGGACCTCTGGCAATTCCCGAGCGGCGACGACACCTCCAAACGACAAATCAACATCTCGACAAAACACTTTCAACCATCGCTCTCCATCTGGCAGCGGCGATGGATCCGCGCGAGGTCTTCACCACCGACCGCGGCAAGTTCGATCATGATCTTTCGCTCCTCATCGATACCGCCGCAGCTGCTGCGCAGGTATCATCCTCCTCATCCACCAGCGAGGTCCCCAGCCCGAGCACCACCACCGCCCGTACTTCACCTCCAGTCGTCAACGACCCTCGTCTTCGCAAGAGACTCCTCCCACAGCCGAGACCTGTCTCATCAAAGAAGGCCAGACTAGATGTCTCGGAAGGCAGCGTGTCAGCCCCGTCCCCTCCTAAAGACCAAGGAACTGGGGCAAACACCATCCCACTTGGTTCTCGAAACGACCCCAGCCAGACCTGGAACACGCTCAGGAACGCCGTCCATCGCCAGTGGGACACTCGCAAAGATGATCTGGCTTATGAGCAGCTCGTCGCCAAACGCCGTGCCGAGCGCCTTGTCAACGTCGACCGCTACATCCCCGGAGACGCACCACCCCCAAGCTCATCACTCGTTCGTCGCACTTCCTGGACTGACAAGAAACCCTTCCCCTTCGCCAAACTACCCGACAAGGTTCAGGACAAGATCCTGGCTATGGTCTTGGTGAAAGAAGATCCGCTTGTCATTGACTTCACCTGGTTGCGTCCCTTCATCAACGGTCACTGCCGTGTACCTACCACTACCAGGACGTTCAAGATCGATGATGTCTCTTACACTGCGCCTTTGGATTGGACAAAACTAATCGACGTAAGTATCGCTAGCTATGTCTGCGGCTGCGGCTTTCTGCGACTTGGGAGACTATTTGTGGATGTCTATGCTTTGCTTACGTTTTCACTTCTTCCGCATCATTCTTCCAGATAGCACACTTGCAGGTTCCCTACTGTCATCATTATGAATACTGACGAGTCACAGGAGGTCGGATTGATGCAGAAAGACTGCAGCATGTTCACCGATGCTCTAGAGGTGCGTGGAAACAAGACTAGGAAGCTCAAGTCCCCGTCCCGTGGCTTGACCACTGCTCTTCTACGGTAAGTACTAGAACCATCTTCCTGCCCTTCCTCGGTCGTAGCTACCGTGTAGTGCTCTCATTCACTCGTCTATGATTGTCAAACCTGCTAACGTATAAATAGTGTGTCGAAAGGGATGCACGCACGAGCTGCTCCAGTCTTCTACGGCAAGAACATCTTTCACTTCCCCTGGGCAACATCCGCATGGATGCAACTGGAATCGTTTCTCGCTACCATCGGTCCCGTCAACGTCGGTCACCTTCGTCAGATCCAGATCCATACCCCGTTGTGGCACCGTGGAGTCCAAGAGGACTTCGTCGAGGGCGCGATTCTCGATCTCACTTCTCCCGCATCCCGGCTTGGGGTCGTGAAGCCAGCTGCTAGAGACAGGCTACTCTCTGCCATACGCTCTTCCGTCCAGGCTCTCCTGAAAGCCGGCAAGCTTGAACGCCTGTCTATCGACCTGGAGCACGGCATGGTGACTGATCGCTGGACTGGGCGCTACAGCAATGACCGTCACCTCATCGCCGCCTCAGACGCTGAAGAGTCTGTCGTTCGAAAGCAGCAGGGTATCGAGCTGCTGAGGAAGCTGAGCGAGTGCAAGAGCCTGAAAACCAAGCCGCTGCTCGTCTTCCATCACCCATCGCCCTCGGGCCAAATCGCCAAGTACGACTTGTCTGAGTTTCGTTCACGACTTGCGGGGATCATACGGGAGGCTGAGAAGTATGGATGGAAGGTCGATCAGCATCTCAAGAGTGGGCGCCGCTAGCCTTGTGAGTAGCAAGGTGGTCGAATATCGATGGATTCACACTTGCAACAGATGGATCTATACTACTTAATTGGCCTCGCTCTTTAACTCATGCAGCAAACATAGGCCAGTATGTCGAGTGGTTAGTTGGCTGAGTCTCATAGATCGGCGTCTGCCGAAAAGATTGATAGTGAACTTTCGCACTATTCCGATCGCCAGCCTAGCCTTACAGAATGCATTGACCCTGCATTGGCGACATTCCAACGATTTATATGAGCTTGAAAGACATGTCTACTTTACAAGCATACAATCTTCGACTGCTTTAGAAGATTCTGTTTTCTCTCAAGTTTGCTCACCACTACAAAGTACAGTCGCTTACCACCCCTCCTGTCTCCTCAAGAACCTGAGGTCTTCACCTTCCCTACAACCCAATATGCAACCCTTCCGCATCTCGGCCACAGGCTACAACCTGAACTACCTCCCTGAATACATCGCACTCCGACATGGCTTCTTCCGTGACCAAGATCTCCAAGTTTCCGTCACCGTCCCCGTACCCTGGGACGGCGTTCTTGACGCCCTCGCAGAGAAGACGGCGGATATCGTGCTCGGCGGCATCTGGGTCCCGTCAATGTACCGCGGTCGAGTCCAGAACTACACCGCTTTTGCTCAGATCGCGAACCGCTGCCCCCTCGCCATCCTTCGACGAACAAGCAGCAAGGAGTTTGCTTTGGCCGATGTGGCGAACAAAGCCGTCCTGATGAAATCCGGCGGCGGAGCGAGCGTCGGCCTCTTCTTCAAAATGCTCCTGCGCGAGAACGGCATCGACGCCCGCTCCGTCGACTACATCCAAGACCTCGACGGCGTCATGTTGGGGGACCTCTTCCAGGGCGGCATGGGGGATTACTTCGTCACGGACAACCTCTCTGCGCTCGCGATGGTGTCTCGCAACCCGGACGTCGAGATCGCAATGGAAGCGGTCACGCAGGGAGAGATCCCTTGGAGCGTCTACTATTACCTCTCTGACACCACCACGGCGGCTCATCTCGACGCTCAAAGACGCTTCTGTCTGGCTCTCAACAGAGGTATCGAGTGGGTCCTCGCACACGACGCAGAGACGTTTCGGGACGTCCTTGCAGATTTGTTTCCGAACGTGCCCGTGGACGTGGCTGTGAAGGTGACGAATCAGTTCCGTGCGAACGGTATGTGGACGTCTACGAGGATCCCTCGCAAGGCTTTTGATCGTTGGCAGCGAGGGCTTGGGGATGCCCGTTTGGTCGGAGAGCCGTTGGCGTATGAGGATATCGTCGATGATGGAGCCGCGGCGTCTGCAGAGAATGAGGGACAAGCTGCTGTGAAGAAGATGAAGGGCTCGTTCAAGCCTGGTTGCGAGATGAATAGTATGGGTAGGGATGGTCCTAAAGGGGTCGAAGTTACTACTAGGTAGTCCTCACTGCCTAGTCACCGTCTAGACTGCATATCGTCGTGGTTTTATTCTTGGGGCACACAACAACACTGTTAGCGAAAGGGAAAGTCGTTTTGAGGGTTGAAAGTACCTTGAATTCAAAGATCGTCAACCAGCATCCTGATCGAACTCATTTGGGTCTCAATCAACGTCATCGTAATCATTCTCATCCCCTGGATGCACTCTCGGCCTTTTCACTTGCACATCGACTTTCCTGCGAGACAGGCTCCGCCGTACATGTCTTCAATCTCATCCATGCGTGCTGGTGAGACTGCTCATCTCGAAGCTTACGACTGCCTTAGAAGGAATACGTCTCTAGATTAGTCCCGAAGCCCCTCAGAGCACCATCGAAGCCCATGACATGCTCCAGATCAGGGTACTGCGCGGCTAAGCTTAGCATCTCTCCAAGTGCAAGACCGTCACCACCTAGCATCATCGATATATCATTTGTCGATCCAATCTGAATTCCGCGGGAACTCTGCCTGAAGCCCGGGTGTGTTGCTGCTCCTTTTTCCAACCGCTGGAGGAGATCACTGACTTGCTTCTGGAATCTGTCTTTACTTCGAGTCGTTTCCTCGACATTGCTTGCGCTTGTTAGTAGCCAATCGATCGTTGCGGCGGATAGTGAATCGAAGGCATCTCGGCATCCTATCGCTCCGGGGAAATTCACGGACATGGCGGAGAGGGTTGATGTGCAGGACTTGAGGGAAGCTATGATCTTGCTGGCGGGCTGGGAGAAGCGGATGGAGGTTGATTGCCAAACGCAGAGGATGATGGTGAGGCCGGCCATGAAGAGGTCGTGGACGGATTTCCAAAGGACATCGAGGCGACCATCGCGTTGGAGTAGATTGATATTGACAATGAGGGCATTGGAGGCGTCGAAAGATATGGATAGGGACTCGGCAGAAGAGGTCTGCGTGGTCGAGTTCTGGCGGTGGAGGAGTAGTATGGCGTTATTGTAAAGCACGTCCCAATATGCTTGATTGGCGAAGATGGACATAGGATGGGCGAGACTAGGGTCGGGAATCGTGCTGAACCATTCTTGAAGACGAGGTTGAATGTCCTGGACCCAGGCCGTGTAATTAGGTTTGGGATGGGCGATTTTCAAGGGCCAGTTCTGACTTTGCTGGACATGCTTGATTTCAGACTCGAGCTGTGACATGGCGAAAAGGTGGTTATGTGCTCGTTGGTGGTGAGTGTCGTAATCTTTGATGGCCTCGTGGCTGCTAAGGGACTTCTGAGATACCGACCATGGATTGGGAAGAGGGACTCGGGTACTCTCATCAGTAATTCCGAATGGCCTTCCCAGGGTGATGCCCAAGACGCGGTCGAATTGATACGCTGAGTACCACAAGCGCCGGCGCTCATAAAGCAGATCTTGACTCAGTATTAAGGCCTGTTCATCAATCTCCCAGTGCAATCCCATGTCGACACACAAGCGCAAGGCGATCCCAGTCAAGTGCCACAGACTTCCACGCCAAGGACACATAGATGCGAATTGAGCCAGGAGTAGCACGGCCCGGAGAGTTTCGATATCACTTTTGGAGAAAACAATGACATTTTCAATCCATTTGATCGCCGAGCGGAAGCAGCCCTCACTTTGCAGAGGCCGGCCTGTTCCACCAGTAGGACTTGGAACGTTACAGAGTGCGATTGCGAAGACCATGTAGCTAATAAAGAGATCTTTCTCGGATGAGGCACCTCCGGCTATCACTCCACTATTGTCACGGCTCGTGCAGACAAATGCATTGTCGATGGCTTTCTTGACATGAGCCGCTTGGATGATTGGCAGATGAGGGGTGCGGTATTGGAAGTACACTTGGACCAGGTGGTCTGCTGCGTGACGTGGCGGAAGAGAGGAAGCCTCGGCTACTGTCGAGAAGTGTTCTTGGAGTGAGGACGGATCGCAGGTACCTGCAGATGATGGCAAGGCGTCGATTTTGATCGATGCCATGACCATCCTGGCGAGTGTGATGCCGCTGCTCGGACCTATGAAGCGTGGCTGTATGGACGGATCAACTATCACGTTTCTGACACTTTTGTCCAGATCGCGGAGATGTTCATAGGCAGCGGGCTCTTCGCTAGGCGTGGATGTTCCGTTCGAAGCAGGCGTGAATTCTTGGTGGCTGGGGAGGGAAGCTGGCTGGACTTGTTGGCGTCGCAATTCTTGAATCTCCTGATTCAGCTGCTGGACCTGAGATTCCAGATGGGACACATAGTTGCGAGGAATCTTCGTGGCGTCAGTTAAGCGACTTGTCTCATAGCAAAGAAACCTCTCGTGCCTCTGCTTGCTTCGCCGCGTCGTAGGTCAGACATGGCTTGTCCGCGCGTTTACAATTGGAGCAATCTGGATACTTCAGGTCACACTGGACGTCGCAGTGATGGTCAGCGACTATTACCCGACTGTGACACTCAACGAAGCGAAGTATGTACCTTCTGCTTTCTCCGACGGCATCTGCGCGAAATGCCTTATCAATAATAATGCTTGGCGCATCTTTCGTTGCATTCACTTACCTCTGGCAGGCTGCGGAAGCCCGAGCCATCTTCGGGCTTGTGCGTAAGGGCGATGCCATTCCACGAGCGCTTGATATCTCCAGAAGCTTTAGTGTCCGAGCAAGTCAAGAGGTATAACTTATGATTCTGTGTGGCGATAAGAAGGCGATCGGCATTTGCCGAAGGAACGGCAGCTCGTAATTTACATGGCAAAGGTAAAGTCAGCTTCTTATCTGGGGGTCAATTACTAGGAGACTTACTGACTGGTCGGCTTGACCCGAATGGCGTTGTACGTTGTACCTTTGCTCCCCCAGATATCTTACCGCGTAGATATCTTGCAAGGATGCCAACACCAACAAGTTCCTTGATGTAGATTGTAGCTTCGACGTACACCAGAAGTATGCAACATATAATGACATGCAAAGACGCTACTTTTCAAGCTCCTGGGTCAGACTCAAAAGCAGCATCCCCGATCGAAATCCTTTGAACGTCTGTGCCTTTTCGACAGGGACTTTTGATCATCGGCCACAATGTCTTCTGACCTCGACATGAAGAACAAGGTCTCGAAAGACGTCACTTTGTCCATCCACTCCCAGAGCGGCGAGTTGGGTCCAATCGTTTACGTCGATCCCGAGAAAGAGAAGGCCGCATTCAGAAAATTCGACAAATACGTCCTCCCCGTCTCTGTCATCTTCATGGTGCTCTCCAGTTTGGACAGAAACAACGTCAGTAATGATCAAAATCTTCGCCTTGCCGCTGTATCCAAAGATACTAAGACTACTTTCAGCTCGGAAACGCTAGAGTCTTTGGCTTCGACGAAGAAATCGGCCTCAAGAATGGCCAGTTCGGCAACATACAGACGCTTTCCAGCCTTTGCACCATCCTCTTCGAAGTCCCCTGGGTCCTCGCCGTCCGGCGCTTTGGCGCCAACAAAGCCCTCGGTGCCGCTTTTGCCAGCTGGAGCGCAGCGACACTCGGCACGGCGTTCATCCACAACTATGCTCAAGCCGTCATCGTACGCATGATCCTGAACACCGCCGAAGCCGGTCTCGCACAGGGTTTCGCATATCTCTTCTCGACCATCTACCCGCGTCACCTAGCCGGCAAACGTATCATCACGACGAATCTCGCCATGTGCATCTCCGGCGCTTTCGGCGGCCTCTTCGCGTACGCTGTCCGAACCATGGGGACGAGGAACGGACTTTCGGCTTGGAGGTGGTTGTTCATTGTAGAGTTCTGCATCACCATCATCGTTGGAGGTGTCGGCTGGATCTTTCTCCCTGCCTCTGCGGAGTCGGCCTGGTTCCTGAGTGCCGAGGAAAAAGAGACGATGAGACTGCGAAAGGAGCGCGATCGGATGTTTCGAGGGGCGGATAAGTTTGATAGAAGGTGGATCAAGCTTACACTGAAAGATCCTTTTGTGTATCTGCTGGGGATTGCGTTCTTCACGTCGTCGGTGGCGATTAACGGATTTGGGGTCTTTTTGCCAACGATCCTAGCTGGGCTTGGGTGAGGTCGTGAACTTCTTCTTGGGTACATTTGCTGACTCGATCAAAGCTATGCTTCCCTCCAAGTCAACTACATGACGATCCCTGTCTACGTTGTGGGAGCGATCTCCCTCGTCACGATAGTCTTCTTGTCCGACAGGTTTAAGAGACGTGGCGTCTTCATCATGGGCTGTTGTGCACCGGTGGCGATTGGATACCTCATCTGCGTGGCAACTCCGAATCAACACGCTGGCTATGCGGGAATGTTCATTCTCGTTCTCGGTAAGTCCATGAACCTGACGCACCTGCTGAAAGTAGGGCTGACTAGAAGGCAAAAGGCATATTCCCCATCTCCACCCTGGCCGTCACCTGGATCGCAACCAACCTCGCTCCCGACGACAAGCGAGCATTCGGCATGCCTCTGGCGTACTCGATCGGGAATATTTCCAACCTCATGTCGTCGCAGCTCTATCCCACACAGCAGGGTCCAAGGTACATTGTTGGCAATACGGTTTCTGCTGGTTTGACAATTGTAGCGGCCTTCCTGTATGGATCTTGCTGGCTACTCCTAAAGATAAGGAACCAGAGGAAGGAGAGGCTGATTGCAGACGGAGTGACGACGAATGGGCTGGAAGGGGATATGAGTCTGGACAGTATGTATATTCTTTGAGGAGGTGCGTCATGAAGCAGGCAGGGTTACAAAGTATGGCGAGGGGTCGGCTGAATCTGTCAGCGCGCTCGGGTAGTGTAGAGAATGGCTCGGTATAATTTGTAGTGAATGTGAAATGATTGTTGATTCAAAGAGGCTGTCAAGGAGAGAAATCCGGCTATCTCATTAGCCGACCAAGCGCCAAGCCTGACGAAAGTCCTGGGACAACCTTTGTCGCATCTCTTCCTTCTACCAGCTCTTACAAGTATGTATCGTGCTAAGCAAGATGCCAGGATCAACGAACCGATCCTAACATCTCTTGCCTCGTTCTCTACGATGCCTCGACTTCTCCCGAGCGCCTTCTGTTCTGGTGCTACAGGAAATAACTCTTCTCACGATGAACAATGCCCAGATGCCGCACTAGCCGCTCGTACCCGCATCTCCCACAAACACCTTCCCCATCCACCATTCACAGCTCTTCTCCGGCGGACGGCCGAGCGGCCACGCGAATACCATAAGCTGTTCTTCGTCGATGAGGCCTGAAACGACAATGATACGGAATTAGAGCGTAAGTAAGAAGCTTCAGTGAGGTTTACCAGAGCCAAGACGTCATCGGGGTGAGGAGTACAACAGGTGTGGTCTAGAGCTTCGATCTTTGCGTTTTCACTTTCATCTTTCTCGATATTCAATCCAAACTCGCAAGACATTCTTTCGTAAAAGTCCTCATCTATACTACTCACTACCCCTTCAACATGGCATCCGGAAACGCACCTCGCCTCGGCTGGATAGGCCTTGGCAACATGGGCAGAGGAATGGTCAAGAACCTCGTGGAGAAGGGCAAATACTCCGGCCCAATCGTCATCTACAACCGCACATTCGCTCGAACAGAAAAACTCGTATCAACACTCGAAGCCGGCAAAGCGAAAGCCGTCGCCTCAATCCCAGAAGTCGTCAAGGAAGCCGACATCATCTTCACCTGCGTGGCCAACGATGCCGCCATCGAGGAGTCAATCGACACGGCCCTCAAAGTTCCCGAGTCGAAAGGAAAGCTCTTCGTCGACTGCAGCACCATCCACCCGGACACCACCAATAAAATTGCCAAAACGATAACCTCCGCAGGCGCACACTTCGTCGCCAACCCCGTCTTCGGCGCTCCAGCAATGGCAGACTCAGGCCAGCTCGTCTGCGTGCTCGCGGGTCCCAAGAAAGACGTCGAGTGCGTGAAACCCTACTGCACGGGCGTGATGGGCCGCGCGGAAATCGACTTCTCCGACCAACACCATGGCCAAGCCTCGCAGCTCAAAATCATCGGCAACACCTTCATCCTCTCCATGATCGAGACCCTCTCCGAAGGCCACGTCCTCGCCGAGAAGTCCGGGCTGGGAACAGACAACCTCCACAAGTTCGTCGAGACCATGTTCCCTGGCCCATACACGGCGTATTCGAACCGGATGCGGTCGGGCGATTACTACAACAGGGAGGAGCCTTTATTCCAGGCGAAGCTGGCGAGGAAGGACGCTGGCCATGCGCAGAGTCTGGCGAAAGCCAGTGGGTCGAGTCTGAAGGCGGTGGAGGTTGCTGATGAGCATTTGAGGCAGGTGGTGGAGCATGCGGGGGATAAGGGGGATATTGCGGGGATTTATGGGGCTGTGAGGAAGGAGAGTGGGTTGAAGTTTGAGAATTAGTGAGGATGGAAGGCATCTTAAAAGGGATTCATGGGAGAAGCAATTAAAAATTTGAGTATGGTTGAATGATTAGGCGATGACTGCTGGAAATCTATGAGATGGAGGCAAGGCTGAGCGTATATCTCAATCCTCACAGTATACATCTCAAAGCCGATCCCCCGAAAGCATACTCCTCACTCCCTCCCACCCAGTAACAAGCCCCACTCAAGTGAATGACCAACCCGCCCATTGGCTCGCAGATTGGCGCTCAAAGCAGCCTAGCCCACGCGAAGGCGAATGCGAGCTGCATCCACACTTCTTCGCCTCAGCCTCCCACCAACGAACCAAACCCAGAATCTCCCCATTAAAGCCCCCCAACCCAGCCTCGTCGACAATATGTCCCAATCCAGCTCCAATCTTCCTCGCAATGGTCGGAGTCCCACGGCGTTCGAGGGCTTGTGCGACGTGTAAGAAGAGGAAAGTCGCTGTGAGTTTTTAGTTTTACGTTGCAGATTTCATCGATATTTGAGAGGAAGAGGGATACTGATTGGAGTAGTGTGATGCGCAGAGTCCTTGTGGACAATGCGTCAAAGCCAAGTTGAAGTGTTCGACACCGGGAGGGTTTATTTTCGTGCCGAATGAAGCGGGTTCGCATAGGACGGTTTATAAGAAGGGGTTGGGGAGGGGTGTGCTTGATGATGGAGAAGAGTCTTCGAGTGACCTGCCGACTTCGTCGAGCACGAAGCAGCAGCAGGGTAGCACGGCCGTTCCGCCACCGGCTAGATGTTCGAGAACAGTCGACTCCAATGGACCTGCTCTCCCTAAGCAAATGCCAGCCTTAAAGGCCGTCCGCCAACAACTCGTCGCCTCCTTCATCTCCCGCTCCGACCCCACAGCAATCGCCACCGCAAACCCGCACAACGAAGCCTCCATGCTGCACTCCTGGTACAACTACCTCTTCGCCTGCTCCACAGCCCACGACAGCCTCGGCCTCTCCTCCGGCGCCCTCGCTTGCTACACCGCGTTCTTCGGCCGGCGCGACAATGACCTCTCCCTGATAGACGCGAGTCGACGACTCTACGCAGAAAGCCTTGGGCGGACGCAGCGGGCGCTGAGACGAAGGGAGACGGCGCTGAGGGATGAGACGCTCGCGGCGTGTTTGAGCCTTGTGACGTATGAGACGTTGGAGTGTCCGGCGGAGGGTTTGAAGGGGTATTGGTGGCATAGTGAGGGGTGCTTGAAGTTGGTGGAGCTGAGGGGGCCGGCGGCGCATAGGGAGGGGCCTGGAAAGGTGTTGTTTGAGGAGTTTAGGTTGCATGGGGTACGTGGGCCTTCTTCACAATGTCGAGGATTCGAGACTTACATGCTAGTTTTTAGACACTCGACGCCTTCCGTCGACATCGACCAAACTTCCTCTCCTCGCCAGCCTGGATGTCACTTTCTACCCAGAACGAGTCCCGGAGCGATACCCAGAAGATCCTCGACATCTTCCTCCTGGGTCCTGCAGTCCTGCAGAAAGCCGACAACTTGGCACTCCTCCCATTGGAAGAGCGCTTCCCGCTAATGCTGAGCATGATCGACGACCTCTGGGACATCGATGATCGGTTAAGCAAGCTGGAAAGCGATATCAAGATTGCAAACCAGCATCATCTGAGGCCGATATACTGGGAGCAGCCGGCCAAGTCCGAACCCATTGGGGAAAAAGACGACGACGCTGCTCTCTCCCACGCCAAAACCATCTCCATCCACTTCACCTCCGTTCCCCTCTCCCGCATAATATCCTTCCTCTGGGCAATTCAGTGCATGGTCTGGCCAGGCCTCGTAGACCTCTACACCGGCATAATCGCCATGGGCGGCTCCCCCTTAATCGGCACACGAATCCCCTCACTTGGCCACCGCTCCAAGTGGATCGAGCTCGTGTGGAAAATCACCCAGAGCATGGAGTACTGGGAGTCTACGGCGGTGGAGGCATATGGGCCCGTCCGGGCGGCGCTGCAGTTTAATGTTGTGATTGATGTTATGAAGGGGAGAGAAGGTTGTGACGGGACGTTGAGGTGGGCGGAGGAGTGTAGGGAGAGGATTGGGAGGGGTTGGTTGAGGATTTTGAGGTTCGAGGAGAAGCGTCCAGGGGCGGGATGATGAGTTGAAGCGTGCTCGGTGGAGAGATGAGTTTGTGTCATGTTCTTGTGATCGTATCCTACCGCATCTCTCTCCGCAATTTTGGAAGCGACGAAGCTTTCGACTGCAGCTTCTGTCGCTTGGACCTTTTGCTCATTACGGGGAAAACGTGAGATGTATCAATCCGCCACAACATCGGCCTTGAAGCTGTGGGTCTTCTGTCTGTCGATTTGGAATCTTCCAGGTATCAATCCTCTTTTATCAGATGCGCCAAATGCTTTTCCAACATCCTGAAAACATCTTCTCTTTCAAAAGGCTTGGGCAACACATCCGACGCGCCATGTTTGAAGTACGAGCTGATGGCGTCCGAGCGTATGTTGGGAGTCATCAGGATGATCGGGATCGACTTTGTCTGTTCTATCTGTCGTATGACGTTTATCGCTTCCGCCCATCTCAAGATTCCCACGCTGGCATCTATGAAGATCAGATCGTGAGGATCAATGGTACCGGAGCCCAAATATAAGACGATTTCCCGGGCAAAGAAGCCTGTGTTGACAGAACAGTCGAAGCCGCTGAGGATCCACGACACGACCCCTTCGCGCTCCTCGACCACGAAGATGCGTGGCCTCCGGGTCCACATAGTTTCCTTGATGGCAAAGAGATTGGTCTTCACCGGCAGTTGCTCTCTGAGTGATGTCTCCATTGGCACCAAGTGAGCCGGGAAGTCAGCGGCAGAGTCGGTTACCGCGCCTTGGGAATCCATTGTCTGAGAGGAAGGCGGTGCATTATTGTGTGGGTCATGATGCTCTCGGTAGTGCCTCTGATAATCTTCATGACTGCTAAAGCGCTGCGCACATCCATGATATGCACACGAATAGAGACCGTTGTTTCGAGCGAATATGTTTGGCGGTACGAACTCAAGCAAAGGCAAACGAGAAGTTCGGCGAGTCTGCGAATCCATATCCACCTGCGAAGAGCGGAGATAGTCGTCATCGGTCTCAGATTCTCTCGTGTTCGCTACCGTAGCTCGATGGTATTCTCGCTCGTGTATCTCAACATTTGCAGGACTGGAGAAAATATGGGTACATCCGTGATAGGGGCATGTGTAGAAACTGAAGTTGGGAAAATTTCCATGCACAGGTGGTACATAAATCGGAGTCGCTCTCGAATCAATGTCTCTCAAGGCAGGATACGGTTGCAGCAAAGCCTCAGGCAGTGGGCCCTCAGTGTGCGACACATTCTGTCCGGCATTTTCGAGGATGTCGGCTTCATTGTGTCGACTCGCCTGGTCTGGCTCCGATGTCCTGAGTTCTTGCAGCTCCGGTCGAGGGGTATGACGCAGATCGACCGCCGGAGTCTCAGACGAAGAGCCTGACCGATCTCCATCCCCGTCCACTTCGCGATATCTCTTGCGACTATCAGTGGCATGGCTGATGGTCTGGCCCGGGGGAAGTGTTGGAGAAGTGTTCTCACTCGTCGCGATAACGTTGTCGTTGGAGGTGGAAGCACGACCTGCCAAACTCGCAGAGAGGCGTTCTCTCGTCTCCACAGCCAAGCGATGTGTGCACACCTCCTCGTGTTCCGCGCAATGGTCTTTGCGGTGGAATGCCTTCCCGCAAACCCGACAGGCGTGACTCTTGACATCCGAATGTGTGGTATTGTGTCTTATCAGCGCTGTGCGCTTGCCGAACGTCTTGGGGCATTTCGAACACTTGTATGCCTTGTGTGAGGTTTGTAGCGCATGGCGTTCGAGGAGTTTCGACTTGTCGAAGGTGGAGGAGCATTGCGCGCAGGCCCAGGTGGCAGGAGCGCTGGAGGACATGGCAGCCTCACCTCGGCCGCTCAAGCGCGCGCTCGTCGAGGCGCGAGGGAGGTTTGTAGAAGTGGATGCTGGAGAGAGGCATGATCCCCTCTCGACGCGCTGAGGTGGACGATGGCATCAGGTGTACCTGGGACCAGGAACCTGTTGCTCGTCGCTTCACTGCGTTTACGAGCGAGCATGCAGTCGACGCGCCGTCCAAACAGCCACAGACGACGTGTGCCTGAGCCCCGTCACCTTTGACCTGTTGCCCGTCTAGGATTGTGATTCACAAAACGATAGGGACAAGACTGGAGATCGTTGGCCTAGGTGCTGACAGATTTCTGTGCAAGTCGAACCTCAGCCCGATCCAGCGAATCACAAACCTGAAGGCTCCTTCGTCAATCGTTCAAATTTCCCACCAGTTTTATCATCTAGGCTACCAAGTAGTAAGGTAGCGGCTTTCTCTTGGCAATTGTATGCGCTGCGGCTGTGCAAAGCTCTTGGAAGCCGTTCCATCACGCCGACCAAGACGATGACACAAACGAGGCCCCGAGGCTAGCCATCGCCTCCCATCCTCTAATCCTCCTGCATCCTGTAACCTGTTCACTGTTCACTGTTCACGGTTCAGCACCAAGCAGAAGACGAAGCTTTCTCGTTATGGCCTCTGGACTATCCCATGTCGTCGGGCCACGAACAACCGCACGCAGTCTTGTCCAGGTTACAGGAGTAGTCTTTCGAGTTGAGTATAAGGTAGGCCTTCTCATCGGTCAGGTCATGAAACTGTTCAACACAGACTTCGATCAAAACATTCCAACCCATCAACGAGAAAAAAGAGTTGAAAAGGTTGCAACAGCCACCAATTCTACAATCTTACCCGCCACGAGAACACTATTCACAATCGTTGTTGTTATCAGCCTCCACCAAGAACAGGCCCAAGTCCAAGACGACCTAAACCACCACGAGAATACCATTCATAACCATTGTTGCCATCAGGAGCCACCAGCAAAGAAGACATCCAATTGAGAGCAGACGAATCTACGACCTTCACCCTCACGAGGATACCATCCCCAACCAGCGTTGCCATCAACCATCTCCAAGACGAAAAGAAATCCTCAAACCACCCGAACTCAGCCAAATCGACGACCCTACTCACAACAAGGGCAGCGAGGGCCTGGTCCCCTTGTGCGACGGCATACCCTTCGAAATCTATAAATTCGCCAACCTCAAAAACCTCAACGACCTTACCTCCCACAACATCCCCAAACTCCACAACCCAATGCCCTCCCAAACCCCCACACCCCCAGAAACGACCATGCCCTCGGAAATAACCTGGTCCGCCCCAGCAACAACCCCACCCCTCTCCGAAGACGAAATCAAAGATATCCGACAGACACTGCGTTTACTCCACGATCTCTTACACCGAACCACAACTCCCACTTCAAGAAACCACATCAACGAAGAAGAAACTCTAAAAGACGACGACAACAATATCAACAACGACATCCCCGCGAAAGAAGTCCTCGATACAACCAACACCCTCGCGGCAGCAGGTATCGGCGAGAAAGGCCCCCGCAAACGCGACAAAGCCAAACGCATCCTGCAAACCCACGGGCCTCGCATCGTGGGCGCTGCGACGGCGATTGGGTTGGGGGTTTTGAATCTCGTCACATCGATTACTTGAGAGCAGTCTCTCTCACACATCGGTCTGCCTCGCTGGCAATTGGATTGAACGAATCATTCGGACAGGTCGACAGGGCTGGCGAGATTTGAGTGGATTGCCGCTCCGATGCGCAGGGAAATTGTTCTCAGTGAGAAACGCGAAGAGAAAATGTCCAGGATGAGGTTTACAGAAAAATTTAGAGACGTCTCTGCAAGCCAGACCAGGACGTCCATACGCATGTATGTGGAGAGACGTCCCTCCTCGTATTGACTAATAAAACTCGCCAAGTCGGATGGGAGAAGTGGAGGGACTGGAGTGTTCAACACATGTTCTGGTGGTTCCGGGTTCGGGTGGGTCGTCATGTTGAACGGCCTTATCATGTGGGGGTCGAAATGTCTCCAACACTGTATGAATAGTAGAGAGAGATACCCAAAGGAATAAAGAGATCATGAAGAAAATACCTCACCCTTGACACCACAGCAAAAACTGTACCGTAGCAACATTCTTCTCATTCATTTGTCTAATACACAGACCTCCACTCCACCTCGCTCAATGGCGTCTAGCCTTCCTTCGTCATCCTCATCTACACCCACCACCCACCCACCCACGCAACCACCATAGCACCAGCCTTCCGCACCCAAATGCCAGCCACGAAAAAAACCAAAACCACCTGGGTCTAAAAAAAACGCTCCAATGCCCCATGAGCTCATTCTCTCACAAAACGCCAAGAGGACTGCACCATTTCGATGCGTCTTCATGCAAAAAAACTACAATCGTGTGCTTCCTCTAATCATGCTCATCATCCCGTCATGCAAGTTTCCTCCTGTACAGTTCGCCGCCGCAACCTCGCAGGCGCTTGGCGGCTTGCTCGGGTGTGATGTCGCGTTGGGGTTCCGCCATCATCTCGTAGCCGACCAGGAACTTACGCACCGTGGCGCTGCGGAGGAGTGGTGGGTAGAAGTGGATGTGGAAATGTGAGGATTCGATCTCTTCGTCGGTGCCGGTGAGAGGGGCTTGATGCAGACCCATGCCTGTGATTGCTGTTAGTGGAACGTACAGTAATATGTTCCCGAGACTTTACTCACTGTAAGGGAAGCTCGTCTCGAACAAGTTGTCATATCGCCTCGTGATTTCAGAAATCGTCTCTGCCAAGTCTTCCTTCTCCGTCTCATTAAAGTCCACAAGAGCCCGCTTGTGAGTCTTGGCAATAACCATGATCTCGAATGGCCACGTCGCCCACCAAGGACAGCCAGCCCAGAAGCTGTTGTTCTCGTAGACCGTCCTCTCGCCCTTTTCGCTTTCGAGCTTAGCATAGTCTACCAGCATATGTGAACCGCTTTGCTCTCTTCGATATTGTTGAAGATGCTGTAGTTCTATGCTTGGCTCCTCTGGCAAAGATGTGGTGGTCCAAATCTGGCCATGAGGATGTGGATTTGAGCAGCCCATGGCGGCGCCCTTGTTCTCGAAGATCTGCATATACCGGAATTGCTGTCTGGAGGGTTCTGTTGAGTCGCCGTTGGGGAGAGAATTTGATTGGGCCGCCTTGTACAAAGGCGAGTGGGGATCGAGATGTGAGGTGTAGATTTTGGTCCAAGTCTGGATCACAGGCAGGATATCCTGTGGTGGCATGTCGGCCAGCGTAAGGTTGTGAGCCGGCGAGAAGGTAATGACATAGCACTTGCCAGTCGTGCCTTCTGCGCGAAGTAACCGTGAAGCGAGGGCTATCTGATGTTAGCAGTATCCTTGAAGCGACAACATCATCTCTTACAGCCGTCTTCTTTTGGTTGGTTGTACTCCGCTTGATTCTCCTTGACTGCCGAGTAGTCGTTGACAAAGACGAACGTACTGTCGTACTTTGGGTTGTGGTCGCCTTGTGCACGCTTATTACCGGGACATAGATAGCACTACTGCGTCCATCAATCACATGTCCAACCCACTTCCTGCAGCATATGCTCATACGTACTGAGGGGTCGTATTCTGGTAACACGTTCTTGCTCGGCTCTTCCTGCTGCCCTTGCCATGGTCGCTTCGTTCGGTGAGGGGAGACCAGCACCCAGGAACCTCGAAGAGGATTGAATCGGCGGTGGGAGATGTCGTCGAGGATGTCTTCGGGCATGTTGTCGTCGCCGCGGTGGTCGAACGGACTCATGGGCGAGTCCGATCGAAAGCGCTCGGGGCGAGCTGGCATGATGGTGTCAGGAAGGTCGATGGAGGAATGCATCTGGTGCATGGCGCAAACGGGAGTAGAATACTAACAGGTAGGGCTACGACTCGCCTACGGCCTCTGCAGCTTGCTACCTGATACACGCCCGGGCAACAGCCAGCGGCGGGCGGTCGAGCAATATATCTGGTTCGGCGGGCGGTTGGGACGAGCGAGGTGAGGTGGCAGAACGAATCCTTCACCTGAACAATGGCGTGCAGGAGCGTATCGTGTTGAACCGGTACGCGTGGTGTACGTCGCGGCGACCTTCCTCTCCAAGGGCAAGTGGGCAGTCCGATGGAAAGTGCGTTTGGTGGTGGTCGTCGTCAAGGCCTCGACGCCCATTGGTGGAAGTGAGTTTCGATGCTGGACCTCCACATGAGCAGACGCCTGAAGAGTGTGCCCACATCCCGCCCCTTCCTCGTTCTACCGAGCAATTCACCCGTCGCGGACGCCTTATCGCCCAGCCATGTGAAGCTGGCGAGAAAGGCGCCGCATCTCCCGCCTCATCAGCAGAGCAGCAACTCAATCCCGTCGCCAGGCCGCGAGACGAGGAACCGACACAGATGTAGCCGTCCCGCCATGCTCAGCATCAGTGCAGCCAGGACGCCCGCCGTCAGCCACGGCGCAGTCTGGAAGCAGCTGCGAGGGGCAACACGTCCGACAAGTATCCCACGGCATCGCCCGGCGTGTGAGTTTGCTCGACGGTCCGACCGTGGTATAGCGGTCGTTTGGCGTACGGTCCGCTTCAGAACACCGCAAGAGATGCGCAGTGCAGGGTGACACGGTAACTTTCGTGAGTTTGGAGTAGGGGTGCAGAGAGGAGAGACAGGCTTTCGCATTCGAAACTAGTAAGTGACACGAGACTGATGAGCGCGATCCTACTTCCGGCCTCCCGCTGCACGGCAATGTGATCCTGCCATCGAAGCTGCATCCGTCGTTAATATGTAGCGGGGTCCGGAAGGGATGGGCGTAAATTGCGAGATGTGAAGAACGACGGAGGTGATGAGGTGAAGTCGTGGATAAGAGTCAGTGTCTTGGCTGAATCAGACTGTACGCCAACTTTTCGCTTGTACGACTTCACAAAAAGGTCATTCAAGGGGTAGTAGGATACAAGCTTCAAAGGCAACGTCTTTTGGGTAAGACGAAATGCAAGGCCAAGGTCAGGTGAGAGGTACGATAGCTTCACAGCAAAGGTAGTAGTGGCATTGACGCTATCGCTCTGGGAGACTCTGACTTTTGGTCGCCCTCCACATGCGCATAGACGCCGTCTCATCACCGAAACCTGGCTTTCTGCCCTCTCCCTGTGGTATCGCCTTGCATTCCAATAAAGCAAACTCCCCGGCTGACGCTCTCCCTGACGAGGTCAATCAACGCCGATCCGAGACGTCCATCTTATCATTCGCGCTTCATCCTCCTACCAAAGCGGTACGCTGTCGATCACCCGTATCTGCCTTGCCAGGTTTGTCGAGGTCCATTGACGGAACTCAACGGCTAGCACCTGGCACTTGACCGCCATGAGTTGGCGCTCCGCTCAGAGGACTCGCACCCATGTTGATGGCTGACAGCAGAGTGGGACCCATGTGACGAGTGTCGATGTCGGCAAAGTCGAGCGTGATCTCGCGACGCTCCCGCTGCACGGTCTTGTTCTCGTAGAGGATGTAGACACCACGCTCAACCCGCTCGGTCACTTGCGTAGGAGCCGTGCCTGGCGGGATGTGAGTAGCGAAGTCGATGAGCGGAGCGGTGCAAGAAGAAGTGACTCCCTCTTTCTGCAGCCACTTCCGGAGCACCTTGTGCCAGCGCCACTCGCGAGTCGTGAGCTCCGTGGCGACAGTCTCAGAGAGGATCGAGCGAGGCTCCTCGAAAAAGATCTTGAACAGCGTGTCTGCTACGAGTTAGTAAGATGATGTTGAGTGATAGCAAGATGAAAGGTACTGACCGTCAGTGAATGACTCCACTCTGCCAATCGCTGGTGGCACGTTCTTGACCTGATACGAGTCGGGGAGGCTGAACGCCGGCACGACAGGGCGTGCATCCCACTCACTGTCTGGAAAGACACTGAACGAGTTGATGATGGGCTCGGACGAATCGAGATCCATGTCGTGGAAGTCGAGGGACTGGCCTTGCAGCATGGCGACGTTCTTCTCAATGTTTGGCATTGAGATGTCGACGTTGCCACGTGCAGCTTCCAGTTTGTTGTTCAACGCTTCCAGACCGAACCGCTGAAACTCATCTTGCTCGTACCATGGGGTGAAGCCTTCGCCAGTTTGAGCGCTCTGGCCTGATTGCGTCTGTTGAGATGGAGCCGGAGGCGCTGGGCCGATGGGGGCTTGCTGAGGCTGCGGAAAGGTAGATGAGGGGTCGCGGCTTGGCTGTTGGATCGGCTGTCCGATGGGTTGCGAGCTGGGGCCGAGAGGAGACGTGATGCCGCTGTTAAAGCCGTTCGTCTGTCCTTGGTTCTCACTGCTGATCTGGCCGCTGAGTGGTGGGAACTCGTCGCCACCGCCGCTGCGCTCAGTTGACGCCTGCTGCGAGCGCTGGCCATCGAACTGGTCAAGCGACTGTTGAGATGGTGCGGCAGATGGAGCCCGCGGCTGCTGGGTGGGTGCTTGAGCTTGAGGTTGCGGCGCAGCTTGCGGTTGCTGGGTCGCTGGTTGGCGGATGACGCTGCTGTTCCAGCCGACGTTGGCCTGCTGTGGGCGTTGCTGACCTGGTGGACCGGAGAGCGATGGGAACTCACTAATAGAATTGAGAAGATCAGTACTCATGCTCTCCGCTTCGATGCTGACAACGCGACGATTGCGCCGGGCCCGGCGAGTCTCCTTGGCCATGGCTAGAGGCGCTAGGGACGGCAGCGAGGCAAGGAAAGCGGCAGTAATGTGCTGGAAGGTTAATATTCCTAGTTGATGCCGGACGAGGATGCCGTAAAAGATGTCGAAATGCGAGGGCGATGATTTCTCCTTATCTTGGCAGTGTCGGCATGGTGTGTCGAAGGCAAAAATGCGGATTGCGGGCGAAATCGTTGCAGGCTCCAAGCTCCGTCTTCGTCGCCGCAGAAACGAGCCATGACGCCATGGCACCGTTTGTTTGAGAAGTCGCACATTCATTCCCTCTTCACTCTTGCCTGCTCGCTCGCTGCCCGCCCGCTTCCTCCCACGCCGCGATAGAAAAGAAAATAGCAAAAAGCTTACCTCATGTCGATTGGTCCTTGACCACTTCCACCGCCCATGACTTGTGCGAAGCCTGAAAGCTGTCCTGGTCGGCTAGGTCCTAGACCAGGAGCACCACCAAGTCCTCCGAACGCTCCTCCAGATGAAGGCGCGCCGAATGCCCAGCCGCCACCGGCAGCTCCATTGCCCAGAGCCGTCTTTTGAGTGTTTTGTAATCGAGGTGCCTGCCGTGAGTTTGGCTGTGACGAGAATGCGTTCATGTTCATGGAGCGCAATGGTTGCGCCTGGCCCCCTCCTGTGTCGACGCCGCTGTCAGTCGCCATGTCTGTGCCTTCGTTTTGGAAGAAAGTTGAGGGAGCATCGACGAAGCGATTGCGCTTGCCGCGCTGCTTGCGACGCTTTGGCTGCATCTTGCTCGACGATGTGTGCCTTGCAAGCGAGTGGGGGTGTGGATGTGTTTGAAGGGGAGTGAAGTCAAGGTCGTGTGACAAACGTCGCAGACCTGATGCGCATCACATGCAGGGTCTTTGCGCGCAGGTGATGACCTACCGGGGCGTGTATTCATTTTCTGTTTGCTCCTTCCACCTCACTCGTCCTCCTCTTCAGCTTCCTAGCGTCTCTACTCTTCACTCCACAGTCGTCCTCAGGTCGTCGCACGCCGTACACAAGGCTCGGTGGGGACGATGTCGGGATACTGAGCAGCGACAATATTTCAGTCTCGTCTATGGCGTTTGCGTATGGGCTGGTGCTGGAGGTTCGAGGTTTTGGGAATATGCAAACGCGAGGATAGCTGCAGCGAAAGTTGATGTGAGGTCGGATCTCCCGCTGCAGATAAGGTTTGACGCTAGTCACTAGCCTGCATGAACGTGATGGCCCCCACATTCCCACCTTCAGACGCAATGCTTGAACGTCGATGTTTAACAGATTTTACTGCATCAAGTCTTCAAAAATCAGCGAGTTCTGAAATGACGAATTTCCGAAGATTCTGCACTAATGAGAATACTCTGCATTGCCACCATAGGCTCGAGGACAAAACGAAAGGCCAGGATACGCCTGAATGCACTCATTCATTCATTCGTTCACTCGTAAAGCCATGAGGTGCCATATCTACAGCTACCCACGCCACGATTATGCATTAACCACATCAACAGCAAATCACCCCGTCTTGTCCGGTGTCTTCGCCATGCCAGCTCCCACGCCACGTAACAACACAACAGTATTGCCCGTCTGCACGCTCTGGCCCAACTTCTCTCCGAATTCCAGTAGCCGTCCACCTTCCACGTGAAACACCCTCAGCTTCTCTTCCTCACCCTCTGATCTGTTGTTGAGGTTCTGAACCTGTAGGCTCTTCGCTGCAAGATCCAGTACTCGCCCGACACTGTAGTCCGTGCTGTAGAAGAAGTTGCCTTTGGGTATCTTTGCTGTGAGAGTGTCCGAAGATGCCTCCACATACAGATATACTCTCTTATCCTGTGGGATCTTCTCGTCGCCCTTTGCGGTCTTCTTCAGGTTCGCCGTGGCCGCTAAGGATGCCGCAGCAGACTGTTTGGCTTTGCTTTGAGGCAGGGTCGGTTTGGGCATGGTAGCCTTCTTAGATGCTCCCCATGCCCTCAACTTCTCCAACGCTGCGAGGCCTTTCTCTTTCTGTGTTTGTGCGGCTCCTGCCGGTCGTGCTGCTTTCGGCGTGAGGTTCGCGCAGTTATGGTCGTTGGTAAAGCGGTGCTTCAGGCAGTATGAGTAGTTGCACTTGTCGCATTGCACGCCGGTCACCAGTGGTGTGTTGATCAACGTTTTGCATGACGGCTCGGAGCATTGTTGTTCGTGTGTGAGGATGCTCGGTTTGGGCGAAGGGGTGTATCGAGACGCTGGCCCTCGATTCGCATCTGCGCGCTTTCGCGCCCACTCCCCAGCTTTGGGACATTGATGGGCAGTTTCAGATCGGTGGTCCAGACAGAATTTGCTGTTAAAACACAGTCAGTTGGAATTCAAGACATAGTCAAGACTGTGCACTTACACACCCTTTGCAGCTCTCGCATCGAAAAGGTAAGAAGTCCAGTTGCCGACAGAAGGTCATCTGGCAGTGAGCGCCTATCGCTTCGACATCGCCGACGGACATTTTGCTGTAGGTTGAGTCGTTCTCGTTCGGTTCGGGAGATTTTGAGGACGCCATGATGTATGCGTGTTATTCCGATTTTATAGCTGGCGAGCGATGTGGTTGCGTGTCGTTGCGCAGCCTGAACGATCACTCAGCGGCGAAGAAGATTCTGGGCACTCGGCGTTCGGCTTTGATTCGATTCCTGTACGACTGTCCCTCCATCAGCGTCTCTTCACGTCGCCCATCCGCCATGTCTCATCCGCAACTCTTCACGCCGACGATCCAAGTTGCTGCGGCGCATCCTCACGTGTGCCCTGATGAAACTCACCCAATGGCGCAACGTGGAGTGAGTCGCGATCACATGCTTTGGAGGCTCGGCCCTTCATCAGGGACGTGCTGTGCGCTAGCTTATCTGAACGCGGGGCAGGAGCGGGTTAGGCGACTCGGCGGCAGCGAGGTACAGTCACTCATCTCGTCCTTGTTCCCGGCCCAGCTCCGTCTCTCCCTCCTCTTGTGTTGCTGTTGTCGTTGCCGTCTCTCGCTGCTGGCAGCTGCTGTCTCCTCCACGAGCTGCTGTGCGGCTCTCCATAACTATCATCATCATCATCCTCGTTGTATAGCTCCAGCCTCGTCAACCAGGTTCAATAGCCGCCGCGTCCCATCACGCATGAAGCATCGATAGCTCCATCGTTTGCTGACACACGTCGTGTGTGCACTGTCTCGTGCTCTGGACAGCGGTATAGCCGTCACCATGCTACCACCGCAGCTCCAGCACAGCCTTAGGCACCGCTCGCTGTCAACCGGTTCAATCACCGCCGTCCGGTCATTGACCAGCCCCAGTGTCCACGGCACTACAGCTTGTGCTCAAGCCAGGAGCTTATGGAGCTGGAGACGGCCTTGTGACTACGCCTCACACATCGACCCAATGTATCACCGTTTCACTAGATATCGAACGCTTCGAACGCGTGCGAAGCTCCTTGACAAGCTACGACGCCGTGGCCGATGGGACTGGGATGCTACCCAACGTCCATTCTTCACTCCCAAGCATGTCCGTCTGGCACATCACATTGGCCGGCCGAGATGGAGCTACCATGAAGACGGCAAGAAGCAGTCTAGCCAGGAAGCTGCAGAAGAGGATGGCTTGGAGCTCAGCCAAAGAGAAAAGGAATGGAAAGATCAGATGGAAGCTATGCGTAAACGCATTGAGATGGATCCATACGAGGCTGTCTTTGGCAAGAGATTTGAGCCTTTCTGGAGTCCGCTCGTGCCGAGCTGGATGAGAGAAGAGATGGGCCTTGATCGATCGACTCGTCCGACCGAAGCCAAGAGCACAGATACCACCTCGACCTCAATACCTATCAAGCCAGTAGCTAGACGTCCTGAAGGCAAGACTGAACCCGTGAAGCCACGAGAGCGTTCCCAGTCGCCAAAGCCGAAGAGGGACGAAGGAGAAAATGACGTGCCGAATGGCCAACTTACAACATACTCGTACACTTCCAAGAAAGCGGTTGCCGAGCCTGACCCAGAATGTCCAAATGGCCAGCTCACGAACTACTCTTACGGATCGACTACTTCGTGGGACTCTTGGACGAAGAAGACCCGCCGGGAGGAATGGGATTCGATCTCTGGCGAAACTAGACGATATGAATACGATCCTATTTCGAACCGAATGGTGCAGATCGATGGCAAACCACCGACTAAATCGGACGATCTCAAGAAGGTAGAAGCGTTGAAAAATGATACATTGAAGGCCGTGCCTGAAAGCCAATCGACCTCCCAAGACACTACTAGCACTTCTCCTCAACAACAACAACCCACGGCAGCGACCACCAATGAGTCTCGACGAGCAATTCCCGTTCCGACCGAGACTACGGACTCGACTGCGAAAAAGACATCAATCTACTTCCCTTCGCTTCTGAACACCTCGGTTGTCTCGAACTCGACCAAGCCATCTTCCCTTGCTACAGTCCGAGAAAAGGAGTTGGATCTTCTCACTGCTGAGGATGTGCGCGCTTCCATGGGCAAGGCCAACAAGGCTCGTAGTCTTGAAGGTCTTCGAAATGACACCGACAAAATGAACAGCCCGAAAGAGCACGCAAAGACAAGCAAGCTCGAGACGTCACTCGATCGGAACGCTAGCTCACAGACTGTTTTCAAGAAGGGGTCTGATCGTCCCACGTCGTCGTTGGTTTCCTCGCTCGCGCGTATGCAATCGAAAGAACTCCCAACCGTTGATGAACTCGACGATTCCGCAGCGCATGAGTCCACTGGCGATCGCGTCGACTACAGTTCTACGAATCTACCAAAGCAATGGAACCAGCAAGCTGACCTACTTCAAGCTGATCGTGTCAGACGTACACGTGGTGTAATCCCCGAGCCTCGTATGATCGACATTGTCCAGGCGAAGAAAGCAGGGGAGAAGAACGCTGACGGCAAACCACGATGGATCGATATGATGAACGCTCGCAAAGCTCGCTACGACGCCGATCAGGTTGCCTTCAAAGCCGCTCAGGAGATTCGCGATGCCCAAGAGAACGCCAAGGTTGAGAAGCTAAAGGCAATGCACAATGCTGAAGTCAACGACCAAAAACTTCACATGCAGGCCCACGAGACTCGTTATGTCCACAAGATCCGGGCATTGAGACAGGAACTCGAGACAGCGTGCAAGCAGAGCAGCATCAATGCTGAGATGCAGGTTGAGAGGATCAGAAATCTCGAAGATGAGCTCGCTAGAGCACAAAAGGCTGCAGGGGAGACCTCTGATATCGCCAGACACCAGACTGAAGGCGAGAAGTATCAACGCAAGATCAGCGAACTCAGGAAAGAGCTCGATGCATCCTTCAAACAGAGCAGTGTCAGCTCAGGAAAGCATGTCGAGCGAATCCGCGAACTTGAAAAAGAGCTTGAGAAGGCCCAGGCGAGCGGCAAGACTTCTATACAGATGGAGAAAGAACGCTACGTGCAGAAGACGAAGTCACTCCGTGACGAACTGGACCGAACATTCAAGCAAAGCGCAGCGAATGCTGAGAAGCATGTTGAGAGAATCCGAGAGCTGGAGAAGGAGCTCGCTGAGTCTCGTGGTACCACTACCAGGAGAACCAGAGGCCCTGATGCTGTCCAGGCCGAAGGAGACTTCAGCGCCAACGTCACGAAGTTCGCCAAAGATAGCAGCAAGTGGTACAAGCAACCTTCTTACACGCCAGAGGTGACTGGCAAGCCAAGCGCAGAGGAGATACAGAAGGCGGCTCAGAAGCAAAAGGATATCGAGCTAGTGAACGACGTAAGAGCTATCTATGAGAATAGATACGGCAAGATCGATGTCAGCCACCGCCAAGCTAGGCCAAAGACCACGATGCAGGCTTCAAGGCAAATTCCGCAAGTGGTAGAAGTCGAGTCAGACGTCGACCTGGGCAAAGCACTAGCTGACTACGAGGCTGGCCAAACGTACGAGTATCGACGAGACAACCTCGAAGCTGAGATCGCTGCTCAGGAGAAAGAAGCCCACGAAGCGCAGGAGTTGATGGCGCCCGAGTCGTCTGGCAAGATGGAGCAAGCCATCGCCAAAAGCTTGAAGCTAGACCAAGATGTGCATGGAGCTCGCATTGTCGACGACACCGTCCCCAGACTGATCCCGACCGAGATCGCCGCTCGTACCGAACCTGCTGTTGATACCGAGGCCGAGCCAACGAAGAGTGAACTCAACTCGTGGGGCATTGTGTGGGAGGAACCACCAGTCTACAAGGTCCTGGCTTACGATTCTGGTAATGACATGTTCTCGACTGCCACGACCTCGTCCAACTTCACTGGCAAAGAGACCCCCATCTCCATCCCGCAAGCGCTCTCTCAGCTCTACCAGCCCGCTCGATTCGTTCCTCACTTTGCGGAGCTTCAGAAGGAGGGATATCAGGTGGTGTACGGAACCAAGGACTTGCTCGTCTTTAAGAAGGTCAAGACAACGTCAGAGACTTCTGCTGTGGCAAGCCCTGAGTCTCAAACGAACCTGGCTGATCATGGCGTCGTGAAACCGACTGCTCCTGAGACCAGCAACGAGATAACGCCCCATGCACCAGGCGTGAACCCAATCGACGGCACCACATATCCTCTCGAGCCCGAGTCAGCCGGGTTCGCCTCCCCGACCGGATTCGTAGGAGACCGATGGGAGACCCTCGCCTCAGAAGGCAAAGTCCAATCGCCCAGCACCGTCTCCAAGCCAGAAGCAGAACCCGAATCCGCCGAGCTGAAGTCTCCTCACCCCAGCTACAGCCAACCCGCCGACGAGGACGCCGAGATCGACATCCGGCACTACCCACGCGTGAAGCGAGAAGAGCGCGTCTTCTCCGGCTCTCGCCTGCAACGGCCCAAGAAGCAGCGACGCCACCACCACGAGCCTTCGCAGGAACAGGTCAGAGAGATGAAGCGCAAGTGGCACAGCTGGCGGGCACGTTTCCGGTGGGCGTTGAGCGTCGGCGTGGGAGCCAGTTTCGTGGCGTACTGTATCGGTGCGGCTGCTGAGCGGAAGGAGGTGAGGGAGAAGGAGCGCTGGGAGCAGATTTTGGAGGGGAGAAGGGGCAGGTGGGAGTAGAGATGATGGGAAGAGAAGAGAATGAATGAGATTTAACGGCGGCATTGGCATGATGTTATGGTTTTTTTGAATGGTGCATGAACGGATGGATGGATTATGAGTGATATACCGAGACTTAGGCCACGCCGCTCAGTTTTCTTTTTTTGCCTAGATATGAGATGAATGGTGGAGATGGAAGGGCTTTTCCTCTCTTATGAACAACACACGTCGTCTTCAATCTCAATTCCCTTTCTTCGAGCCGGAAACCTGTCTCTTGCTCAAGGCGGCGTCAAGACGGGTGTACATGTCTACGCCCATGAATACAGCTAGAGAACAACAGAATCAACATCAATGTCAACGATGAAGAATCAACGGGACCAGACTTACAAACCATCAAGTAAGGCACATACAACTTCCCCAACTCCACCTTTTCCTTCGTCTCGTACCCGCTCCAACTCAAATAATCCACAATACACGTCGCCGTCGTGACGGCCGTTTGCAGCGCGTAGATCAGTAGATGGATCGGGAGTTTTGGATCATCTGTTCGCAACACACATCATCAGCATATCACCTCAAACCATCCCCTCCCCTCCAATTCAAAACCAAGACTCCGTCACTCACCCCTCCACAGCGCCCCCAGCGCCCACACGCTCAACGGCACATGGTAAAACAGTTCCATCCAGACGTACATGGTGAACCACGCGGGCGGCGCGATGAAGAAGGCGTCGCGGTAGGTGGTGATGTACCATTGGCGCAGGGTGGTCATGAATTGCGGGCGCAGGGAGGTGGGGTAGAGCGGGTAGATGTCGACGAAGAAGACGATGGGGATGTGGAGCAGGAAGAAGATGAAGTAGGTTAGGTCGCGTTTGCGGTGGAGGAGGGAGGGCATGGTGGTGGGTTGGTTTGTTCGGTGGTGGGTTTTTTGGGGGCTGGAGGATTGTGTTATAGTGTGGTGTAGTGTGGTTTGTTTGGTTGATGAGGGCGGTGGTGTTGGAAAGGAGAAGGCAACGCTTTATTAAGTTGCGGAAGCTTGAGGAGATGATCGACGAGGTTGGTTGGCTTGGCGTTGGAGCGACGACTGGGTTGTGAAGGGAGTTCAATCAGGACGGAAATATAAATATATGATCCCAGCGAATGGAGGTTGACGAGATGGTTGCAGAAGTTGAGATTCGCCTTTGGTTTACAGTACACTCTTATTAGTGTTGCTTTTGCATTACTGTACAAGTTTCTACATTGATTTGGTGCCTCCCTCACAATTCGCCTCACGAGTAATGTTCTTGTTGCGCACGAATTGCTCTCCAAAAGCTTTGCCCAGAGAAGCATTGGCTCTGCGTGACACGCGTTGGTGGCTCCCGAGTTGGCTGGTCCTACTCAGGGCTGACCCTAGGCAAGCATCGTTCAGCAGAAGGGGCGCAGAGTCCAACCCCAATCTTTGCGGTCGCGTCGATGAGCCGCTGGATGTAACACAATCCTGGACACATCATGACTGTGTTCGATCATCGGGAGACCAAGCGTCTTCCTGCAGTAAGCCCACGAGATGTTGTCGTTTCCTTTCGTCATGGTTGTGACCTGTGGGACAAAGTCGACACTCACTGACCAAGAGCCTGCTTCACGATCCTCGCCACCTCAGAGCGGTCCACTGGCTTTCCCTCCAAACTGCCTCCAGGACCCAAGATCTTCTTCAGCACATCGCCCATATTGACCTTGCCCTCTGCAACAGCCTTGACCTCATCTATGACCTTGGTCACTGCATCCTTGATGTCGCTTTCCGGCATCGTCTCAACCCCACCAGCATACTCCTCAAATATAGAAGCCTGTGCCTCCTCTTTCTCGAGCAAGTCTTCTCGTCCCGCTGCCTTGAACTCGTCCCCCGCAGCTTTGGCAGCGGCCGTTCGCTTTCTGAGTAAAGACAGCATTTGCATGTCTGTCTTGATCGGGTTCGATGTCTTTGCTTGGTTGGTCACTTCTGCTAGCAGACCACGCAATGCGTTGAGGCGGTTCGTGTCTTTCGCTTTCATGGCTGTCTTGAGATCTCCCTTGAGCTTGAGAAGCAGCGGCGGAGCTGGCAGAGTAGTCGGTGATGGAGTCGAGTAGAAGCGGCATTGCGGACAGATGTAACTAGGGCGTAGAACTGATCGGCTCCGTACGAGCATGGTGGCGCTTTTGGATGCCATTGTGTTTGTGTCGGTGTTGATGTATCGGAGAGAACGAGAAAGTGTCAGTGGTGAAGCTTGCAATGCCCAAAAACGTCCGAGCTTTGCGCGAACAGGGATCATCGCGCGTGTGAACCTTAAACTTTCGAGCTCGCAGACGACGCGTGAAAGCAGACGACAATAGCATCCAACCCCACTGCTGTCTCTACTTCGCCGGCCAGAACTTTCGAGCCATCTACGAGAACGACCTCGTCCACCTCACCACCGCGATCTCGACCATCTACCCTTCACGACTTGGCGACGTTCACTCCCGCATGCCACAACACCCAACCTCCAAGTAATGCGCTGCCGGCTCAGCACCAACACCCACTTCGTCTACTCGCACTCCCGATAGCCCATCCACATACGAAAGCCTGTGCACTCGATCAACGACACGATGGCGGCCGCTGCAGGCCCAATGACGCCGCAGCGTCCACTGCCGGGCGCCTTCACCGTCACGCCTGCAAACCCAGCCCAGGGCTCGACCATATTCGCTGCGCAGGCCGCGAGTTTGAAGCAGAATCTTGCGCCGCAGACGAGCGGGAGTCCAGGTACGGCAAGCAGCTCAAAAGACACAACAGGCGTGGAAGATGCGGCGAAGACAATAAACACTGTTCTCCAATTCGATGCGAATTTCCCAGCTATGGAGGATTACATCCAGCAGGGCATCAGTGGCAAGTATGAGCTGCCATCAGCTCAGGCATGGCAGCCCTTTCAGAAGCTGAAGATGCATGATCTGCCGCCAAAGCTCCTCGAGCAAGCGAACCTGACCGGAATGGGGATGGTGATGGGCATTTTCCCTCCGCTCAGTCACGCCTGGGTCGCGCTGGACAACTGTCTATACCTATGGGACTACACCATGCCCAATCCCGAGATCATCGGCTTTGAGGAGAACACACAACCGATCACTGCGGTGAAGTTGGTTCCGCCCAAACCTGGCGTCTTCATCGAGGACATCAAGCACATGATTGTCATCTGCACAGCGAACGACATGCTTTTACTCGGAGTTGCCGCTCAGACGACATCGACTGGCGCACAAACAGTTGCCCTGTACAACACGCGCATGTCCATCCCGATTAGGGGACTAGGCGTGACCTTGATCGAGGCCTCCAAGAAAACTGGCCGCATCTTCTTCACAGGCAGACTCTCAGACGACATCTACGAGTTCCAGTACCAGCAAGACGAGGGATGGTTCCGCGGTAAATGCAATCGCTTGTGCCACACCAAAAGCACCATGAACTTTGTTTCAGAAAACATTCAAGCCGTTGGCCAATATTTTGGTCCCCAGCAACGAGCAAAGGCGCTGCGACAGCTTTTGATTGATGATTCAAGAAACATGCTGTACTCTCTGAGCTCTTCAAACGAGATAAAGGTCTGGCTCATCAAAGAGCGGCTTGAATCTTCCCTCGTACGGCCAATGCACGCTCTGCTACAAAACACTGGTCACTTCAGCAGCAGAACCGAACTCCTGACCGGTAGGGACGTGGCGTTGGCCGCGATCAGTGCAATCCCTTTGGCAGAAGCGAGCAAGGTGTCTTTGATGGCCACCACCAACACTGGATGCCGGCTTTACATATCTCTGACGCGTGGCTACGGCTTCCCAGCAGATTCGCAAAATCCACCATCAAGCATGCAGATTCTACACATTCGATTCCCACCGAAAGACCCGAACGCTCCAGCACCTGCTCCTCAACAAACCACGAGTAGCTTGACGTCGTACGGCCAAGCCTCAAACGAGCCAGCAGTCGACAACACGTCAACGTACTTGAAGCCTACTAATATGGCCTACCGCTTTTCACCCGGGTACTTCATGGCCTTTCAACCGGATCCAGCCGACCCTCACAAAGACAGAATGTTCTGTGCTGCCCCAGATACTGCACGCTTGGCCAACCGATCAGAGTCGGCGCCAGGCACAAACTTCACGGAATATGGGCAATGGATAGATCTGCCCGCAGAGATGCAGCAGGTAATGGCAATGTCTGGCGACTTTGGTGCAGCAGGCCAGCCGACTGGCTTTGGCAACGAGCTTGCCGTGCAGTTTGACGCATCGTCCCCCGAGTTCGCCATTGTCACGACAAGCGGCGTTCAGACCATCCGTCGAAGAAGACTAGTGGACATCTTTGCTGCGTTGATGAAGTACGGATCTTCACATGCTGATGGTGTTGAGGGTGATATTAAGCACTTTGTCCGTACGTACGGCCGCGCAGAAACAGCGGCTACCTCACTTGCCGTTGCTTGCGGCCAGGGTACAGACGTTGCAGAGAACCGAGTAGCGACAGTCACCGACCCTGAAGTGCTGGAAAAGGCACGAAGAGCTTTCATCGAACATGGTGGCAAGCCAGAGTGGAGCATCAACAATGAAGAAGTGCCAAACGGTGGTGCTGTCGACAACACTAAGCCAAGCCCCCGGTACGACGGAACTGCGCTTTACGTTTCACGCATTGTCCGCTCCATCTGGAAACAGACCATCATCAAAGATCTTGCAAAGCCTGGTGCGGGAGCGAAACTGGCTCCTACTATCCGACTCGACAAGCTGCGCTCCATCCAGCGAGATCTCTCCGCCTTGAAGGAGTTCCTCGACCGCAACCGGAGCTTCATCGAGGGTCTAGCTGGACCACAAGCTCTCAGCAAGGCGACTACACGACAAGAGGAGTTGGCGATTCAGGGTGAACATCAAAAGATGCACGCTTTGTTGCAACTCATCAACAGCATCAGCGAGGGCATCAGCTTTGTCCTCGTACTCTTCGATGAGACAATCGAAGATGTTCTGGCCCTTCTGCATGAAGACAGCAGAAATAGGACCAAGCAACTCACCTTCGAAGGCTTATTCGTCTCGACTTCTGGGCGTGAACTGGCCAAAGAGCTTGTAAAGGCCATCGTCAACCGCAATATCGCCAACGGTAGCAACGTCGACACTGTTGCGGAGGCGCTGCGTCGAAGATGTGGCAGCTTTTGCAGTGCAGATGACGTGGTCATTTTCAAGGCATCGGAGCAAATCAGGCGGGCTGAGGACAGCCAAGGAAGGACAGAGGGCGCACGCATGCTGCTCAATGAAAGCTCCAAGCTGTTCCAGCGCGTCGCAGGCAGTTTGACTTATGAGAACGTCAAGTCCGCTGTTGAGAGTTACTACAGGATGGCATTCTATGCGGGAGCAATTCAACTCTGCCTGACCGTTGCGCATGAGAAGGATACGTCAAAGAGAGCTCTGTCCTGGACAAGGGATGGTAGACCGGCGAACGACGCGCGAGAAGCTGCGTTCAATGAGCGAAAGCAGTACTATGACCTCATTTTTGCAACCCTCAAGCAACTCGACAACGACACCGAGTCAGTGCCCCAAGTTGAGGACGGCAAGTACACGCTGGCTTTGCGGCGACGAAACGAGGCCTACGATATCGTCAACCACTCAGACGACATTGCATTCTTGGCGACACTGTACGATTGGTATTGCAACGACTTGCAGGAGCCAGAGCGCCTGCTCGAGATCGACAACCCGTACGTGATCGAATACCTCAAGCAGATGAGTGTACCCAGTCGACCTCATGCCGATTTGCTCTGGAGGTACTATGCGCACCACAACGACTACCTACAGGCGGCGAGCATCCAGGTCCAAATCGCACAATCGCACTTCGAAGGCCTGAAGCTCGAAGAGCGGATTGGCTACCTCTCACGAGCACGTACTAACGCCAGCACGAGACAAACCGTCCTCACCGATAACCGGCAGAGCAAGCAAAAGCTCTTGCGCGAGGTGTCAGACCTCATCGACATCGCAGCCGTTCAGGACGAGCTGCTCCAGCGCTTCCGCAACGAGAGTCGTCTGCCCGCCGAAAAGCGAAACGAACTTGTGGAGAAGTTGAGTTACGTTGTCCTGCCGGTGAACCAGCTTTACAACGAATTCGCCGACGCTGCTGGCTACCACGACATCTGCATCCTCATCTACCAAGTCGCCAACCACAGCAACCCCGCCGACATTGCGACGTCGTGGAAGCATCTCATCGACCAAACCCACGAGGAGTCCTATGCTCTGTATGGTCGTGCTCGCCGACCATGGGAAGCCGTGGGAGAAAAGGTCCTCACTCTAGGCCGTCGTCTCCACACCTCAGCAGCTTTCTTCCCGATCCACATCCTCTTGCCCCTCCTTGAGAAATACACCATGCAACCACAAGAAGAGCACCCACCGTCAAGCTGGGCAATAGACATCATGCTCGACCTCGAGATCCCCCACGAGACGCTCCTACCGGTCCTCGAGCAGCTGTACTACAGCAACGAGCATCCCTTCGTCGGTGGGAGGCGCAAGATTGTTGCCGGCAAGATGGTCTACCTCCTCCTGAAGTGGTTCGAAGCCAGCGTGCGCTCTGGCGAGAGAGTGCTCTTCGGCAGCGAGGAGAACGCCAGCACGGTGCAGGACTGTCTTGCCAGTCTTTTGAGAGGTGATCTGGACGTGCAGTGGAGACAGAACGCGGAGAACTTGGCTGCGCGGATTACGCAGGCGACGAGATGAGGAACGAGGAAACGCGGGAGCTTATCATCATCGCCTTGTACGTGTAGGCTTTTGGGCTGTATGTCTGCTTTTTTTTTAGCGTCGGCGTTTTTCGACTTGAAGGATGACGCCGTTTGGTTCAGTAGGATGACGGCGACTATGGTTGTGCTAGTAGAGCAGACAACAGCTGAAAAGGAACAAACAGATGGGAAGGCATCGACTGACTACTGATCACTTACATCTCTGTCCGTCCACTTACCTCTTTCATCAATCCCGTCTCCAACCGCGCCAGCACAGCAGAGCAGCACCGCCTACCCAACGCACTCCAATCCCTCATCGAGATGCAACGACCCAACATGAATCAAAGCTCCCTGCATCAAAAAGGATCACAGCTCGTTGTCAGCCTCACCATTGCAAAGAGGAAGCCGCTGCTCTCGGACAGCTATATGTGTCGCATCGCCATAGGCTACCACAGTCACGGTAGCTTCAGAGTCGCGCATTAGTGTTGCAGATTGTGGCCGATGGATTCCTTCAGCGAAACCCGACGGCGTGGGTTTGAGGATGGATGTCGGCTGCCCGAGGTTCGGTCGGGGTTGATTGAAAATTGAAGACTGCACGGCATGTTATCTTATAAGTTGATAAAAACCATAGATCGAGATGAATGGGTTGTTCTGGCTTCATTGCGGTGTCGACAGTCGAACGCTAAGAACGTGTAGGGATTCTTTGATTACGAGGCTTGAGCGTTCCGAGTCGCCTCGAGGTTGTGTAACGTCTCTCGCGGTGCGCTGCAGACATGGTTGTCGTGAGTCGTGACCTGGGGGTTGTTTCCAACCTTCCGAGGTTGCGCCTAGATTGCGTGTTTTGGGGCGGCTGCATAGACGAGCCAGGGTTGCGTCTCGTGGATCTTTCTGGTCGTTTGCGTTCCTGAGTTGATGGTTAGGGCTGGGTTGGTTGGATGGTATGCTGGGGGTGGTGGTTGTTTTCTCGTGATGCGATTTTGGAGATGGATCTCGCCATGTGGTGGTTTTTCTTCGGCTGGGCTAACAGCATACCGCCTCACAAGCGTGGACCTCGCATGAATGCGAACCTGCTCTCCACCTACAGACCGCATTGACGCTGACTCGCTCCATGACTCGAGAGTCGAGATCATCGGCGGGGATGGATGGTTGATGACTGGCCGGCCACGTGAAGTATCTAGTGGGACACACGGATGTATGTAAGCGAGCCGTTCTGTTGGGATTCAGGTCGAAGTCGATTACCACCCTGCTGGATTCGAAACATGACGATAGCAGCCTAGGCGAATGGGCACACCCTCAGCTCGCATGCTCCACGTCGAGAGGACATTGAAGGGTTGGCGGGCGTTTCGATAAGATCGATGATGAAGCCTGCGGTGGCCGCCACGGAGCCCAGTCCGAGCATCCCCGTTACGTTTTGCTCTTCTGGCAAGTTCTCTCTAACCATCTGGCGGTGAGAGATTCCTTCGGCGAATTGGCAGCTTGACGATGACGGCTTTGGCTTCGTGGACAAAGTCTTCGCCATGGTCATGGTCATATCTCGCTAATTGATCGGCCCAAATGGATAGTAGGTACCAAAAGCCTGGAAGAACACCCCTGCGTTATCGTTCGCTTCCTCAATAGCCTAGCGCTGTTCAGGGATCGGGCGGAGCCGTTGTATAAACCCTAACGGGGTGCTACGTGAAGAACGCGGGCGTTGGAGGGGTGATCCTGAGCAAGTGTAATATAATTTCTGTCGCGACGCCCGTCAGACCGCTTAAGTGAGTTCAACCCCTTCCGGCAAGTCGGTCGAGGGTCAGCTGGGAGAGTTCAGCAAGGACAGGAGAAGGTGGTCGGGACACATTTCATTCTGTGCTTGAAACGGTCCTTTGCAGTGCTGCTGACTTTGCGAACCCATGACTAAAACGTCTGGTTTTGTACTGTCACCACCGCATTGCCCACTTGCAGGCAGTGGGCTCGTTTGCGTCCTTCTGACACACGGCAGAGCTCGATAAGCTCTGACCCAGTGCCACGTCGACGGTTCAGGGCAGCGAAAAGGCATGTCAGTCCAAGTGCCGGGACCACCCGTCGAAGCAGTAGCTGCAGAGACAAGTCAAGCCGCTGTTGCTAGCGTTCTGCAGCTCGCTCTGTCTGTCCTTCTCGATTGCTGATCTTGCGAGAAACAGCAAAGGCCGCGGTCGATTGCCGATGGTGAGTGCTATGGTATCGACCGAGCTCCCATCCGGCGTTCCTTCTCAGTCAATTGGCCCTTCGCCAGTAGCTTTGCGGTGTCAAGCACGATGTTGAGTGATGCTTTGAAGTCTGTCCGACGGTCCCGACAGCATGGGTCGGGAAAGAAGGTGTGGACGGGGACCATGCACGCTTCCGATATGCGCAGGATGATTTGGCGCGGTTGCCACCGTGCGCCTCGATACGTCCCTTTGCAGCTGCGGTTCCGAACGCTCGGTATGTGGCCAAGCCGTCCTGAGGTGTGAGAAATGTGGTACACATATTGGACAGCCCACGGAGCAGGATGCTCAAAACCCTCGGCTGCATGTGCGATAGGTTAGGATGGATCCTGCCATGCCGGGTCTAACACTCATCGGAGCCCCCAAAGCTGCCTTAGGGGTTGCGATGGATGCGAACTCGTCGTCAGACTTTTCCCAAAGCAAATGCTGCATGCGCTCGTCCCCAAGCTGCACAGACGGACGAGTTTGATACAGCGACGCCACGCACTTTCCGCCAGGTTGCAAGTAGGCCTGTCCTTCGAAAGCTTCTGCGGCACCATTAGGGCGGTCAGGCGGACCGGTTTCAAGGTCTGCTCGAGCAGCCTATTTAGCCCTGGTCTAGCATGTTTGGCTGGCCGCTGCGGGTACTAGGCATTAGCCAAACCATATCAGCGTGAGGTTGCAGTCTTTGTCCAGTGTGTGTCTGCGGTATGGCTCTGTCATTGCTGTGAGACCCCTATTCATCATACGTTCTTGTTGGCGGAAAGGTAAGTTATGAGCTCTTCGTCAATCGCATGAGAAGGAGAACCCATGCGCCCTACTCTTGTGCTGCCAATGCCGGGATGGCAGGCTGGCAGGCCCGACGTTTCGAAGCGGCTATGTGTCACCGGAAGCGACGCTGACCATGTCTAGATGTCGAACGTCGCACAACCGAAAGACGACAGATTGGTCCGATGGGCCGGGAGGAACTATGCACGGTTTGCAGTAGAGAACAACGTATCTGTGGTCCCCGTCGACGAGGTGAGAGACAGGTCGTCGCTGCTGCTGTCGACGACACACTGACTGACGTAATGTGTAGCCGGAAGAGGTCAACTTTGACGAAGTTCACGGCATTTTTGAAGAGCTTTTCGGGCGTATCATCCTCCCTGACTACCCGATCGATGACATCGATGAGCCCGCGGTTCTGGACTGCGGGTTCGGAAAGGGGCAGTGGCTCGAAGGCATCTTGGATTATACCAAAAGCGACGCGTGGGTGAGTCAATGACACAGACGGCACTCTTTTCTCATAATGCTATCTGAGGCAGCAATGTAGTGCTTCGAGGTGCCTGGTCCGCCGTAATAGACTAATGATACGTTGCAGTGCGTGGGTGTCGACATCTACACCGGCCAGGGGAATAGCGAGGAAGGCAGCGACGACGAAGACGATGAAGACGAAGAATTGGTCCAGTTCGAAAAGAAGAGGTGGAACCTTAACGTCTCCTTCAGAACGAGCCGCGACCCTGACCTTCGCCCCGAAACATATCACCTTATAAACAGCCGAGTCCTGACCGATGGAATCAACTCAAGCCGCTGGCCGGACTATGTCAAGGAGCTCAAGAGCCTGTTGAAACCCGGAGGCTGGCTGCAGATGGTAGAAGTGCATTGCCTGTTCCAGTCGGACAGTGGACAGACTGCGCACTACTTGGAACGATGGTGGCAGTACTATCAGGATACCATGAACAGGATGGGGAAGGATCCTAGGGTAGGCTCCAAACTAGGGAGCTTGATGAGAGATGCTGGGTAAGATCATGTCATATGTCCTGCTCTCCTGGGTCCTCGATTGCACGCTAACGGCCGTCCTCGTTCGCCAGCTTCGAGCGAATTCAATACTCAGTCGAAAGGTTGCCGATTGGCAGGTGGATGACAGGTATATTGCTCGACAACTCGAATGCGGCGTTTCTGGTGCTGACGAGTATCAAGTCCCTGGAAGACCCAACTTAGGTAAAAATGCCCGGGAGACCGTTACCAAGATGATTAGATCGACCACGCTCTGGCCTTTTAGGCAGAGGGCGAACCCGTGCCTGACCGAAGCCCAATACGAAGGTCTCCTTCAGGGCGCCGAAAGAGAGCTGCAACAGGATAGCCTCAAGCTTTACTTGAATGTGTATGGTCGTTTATGTCCCCCTCTTTCCTCAACCGTTTCCACTGACTATGCAACAGGCACTTCGCCTATGGTCGAAGACCGCGCTCTCGAAGGCGATGAGGCATGCAGTCGCTGGGCCATCCCATGTTTGCGAATGCTGCACTCAACGACGTATAGGCAATCGTGCCCTGATCCGTCCCAAAGCTTCCATCCAAGGGCAACGCTTTGAGCACTGCCCTCGGTCACATCCTCGCGATGACCTTGCAGGTCTGACTCCGGTATGAGTTGAAGTTGTCGCTATTGCCAGCGTCCGTCGACGCAGGTTGTCAGCCTATCTCCAGGCAAGACCAGGATCCCAAGTAGACGCCTGCATTCTAATCGTGCTCTATGTCGCGTCGAATGGGACCGTTGTGCATTCTTTCTCAAGCTGCATGAGCCTGTCGAACAGCGCTATCTGCTCCATTGTATCTGCTATCAAGTACCAGCATATATCGCAAAGATGAGAGGAGGGATGCTGGCGAAGTCGGGTTGCTGTCGGGTGTTGACCAGGGCAAGATCACAAACAGAGAGGACATGACAGAGACAATCAACGGCACAGAAGACGAAGTGATGTTGTTATTAGCTCCTCCCTCCCCTTAACCAGATCGAGTTCCCGTCCCAGCACAGTGGTAACTACTTCGCGTACCAAACAAATGGTAGACCTTCCGCCCAGCGCGGAAAACCGTGGAAACGCACCCGTCGATGATGCCCAACCCATCCACGAGGCTTACCCGAGACAACGCGACGACCTCGCAAGACACTGGTCTGCATCAAACAACCACGCAGGTATCCTCCACCTCCAAAACAACCCATCACCAAGCAAGCAACCCGGGGCTGCTGCAAGGTACAACGAACGAACGTCTCGCAGGGCCCCGGCGCAAGCGTTGCGCCCAGGGCCGGTCCTCCCATCGCCGCGCGCCATGCCTCTTCCACCTCCCCCCAAAACCCTATCATTCCCACCATTGGTCTTGAGTGTCCCGGGGAGGTGACGGCCCCGCTCGCGCAGTGGCCTGGCCGCATGAAGAGTCGGGCACGTTACCTGTGGGTTTGCGACTTCATGTGTGCTTTGCCGTGACTGCCGGCAGGTGTGATGCGGCGCGCATAGACGACTGTGATGGGTCTTGCAGCTGGGGAGATGGGTGCTGTGGTGGTGCGAGTGCTGGGGGATTGTGGACGGATTTGGTGCGGGTTTGGGATAAGGTATATTGATTGAAAGTAAACTATTGATCTTTTACTTCTCTACTTCTCATGGCGATGGAGAGAACGCCTTGACTGCTCAGGGCCCTCATCCTGGATAGAAGAGACGTGCCTTGTTGGCGATCTGGTGAATACGAGCTCATTCCAACATTGCGATTGCCGCAGGGATAAACAGCGTTCAAAGCGCTCGTTAGCAAACAGAGGACCGAACTATGAGGATCAAAATCGACTCACACAATGGATTCTCGATTGGACTCGCAAGTACAAATACACACCAGCATACTCTGCATCTGTACCTACAGTCCAGTCCGCATATAGTGCGTGAGATCAAAGGGGAGGCATTGCGAATCGTCGATGCTCACACTCATCTCGAATCCCTGCTCTCTGGTTGCAACAGCCTCACCAAGATAACCTAGTCGGAACGAGCATCGGCAACATCGGCAACTGAGCAGTCAAGGATATGTGGTTGACGATGAAGACGCCCAAGAATACATGTAATCATCATGCAACTGGTTTGCATACTCTACCTGTCGATATATGGTCACCACTCCCTCCCCGGCCTTTCACTGCACAAGCCCCAACTGAAGAAACCCAGGCTCCCTCTCAACCCTCGCCTTCAGCGCAATAAGCTCATCAACATCCCAATGCGCCCAGACAAACCTGCCATGCAGGAACGTGCTCTCAGGGCCCGCGCACCACACGGCGAAGTCCCCGGGCAGTTTGATATCCTCCCAGAACCCCTCCGGCACGTTCTCTACGCTGAAGCCCACCGACTTCGCCATCGGCGTCAAGAACACTCCTGGATGGAACTGGAAGATGCGAGGATCGTTTTCGCCCGGATACTCTGCCGCGACGGCTTGCAGGATGTTTGAGAAGGCGCCTTTCGAGGGGCCGTAACCGGCCATCTGCGGCAGCGTCATATGGGCGGCTGCGGAGGAGATGTTGATGATTGTTTTGGATGTTGGAGTTGGTTGCTTGAGGTATACTCTGATCGTGCTGAACTGGCCGAAGACGTTCATGGAGAAGCAGCCTTCGAAGTCGTCTTAGGGAATTTCGATGGATGGGACCGCGGTGTGGGTGTTGGCGGCGCAGAGGACGAGGACGTCGATGTCGCCGGCTTGCTTGATGATCTCTTCCATGCGGTCTGGGTCGGTGATTGAGGCTTGTACGGTCTCGATCTCTGTCTTTGGGAACTTGGCTGTCAAGGATTTCTTCGCTTCGGCCTGTGGTCCTGGAGAGCGTGAGACGTGATGATGCGTGCTACTCCCGCTTCTGTAAATGATTCACTGATGGAGTATCCGACACCAGTGGCGCCTCCAGTGATGAGGATTGTCTTGCCCGCGCCGTCGAATTTGGTCTTGGAGGGAGAGATGCGGTCGTAGGTCTTTTGGTGGTAGGTCTTCACCGGGCGAGGGAGGGACTGGAAATCCATTTCAGTAATTCAAGTGGAATGAGAGAATGATTCTGCCTTCGAAATGACTGCTGCGATGATTGAGAGTGCTCTGAGATGCTATTCAGTCTTCGACCTACCTCCATGGACATATATATGTCCTTCTATGTCGTACGAAGTCACTGCATTGAGACACTAACACTCTCGACCGACGTTTTGAAATCTCTTGTCTCTCCTGAGGCTCGTCGACTATCAACGAGACCCTCAACCCATAGGGCCGACAGCTTACGTGACGACCATGAAGACCAAGGTCCAAATCCGGAATAGCGTGGGTATCTTGTGTTACATCTGCGGATACAATTCGACGTGAATGTTGACATCTTAGGGAATTGTGAGTAATTGATAAGCTATGTCGAGGGCCAATATGCATGGGTCGCATGAGTTGCCGACTTTCTTCGGACTTCTGGCCAGGCAGCGGTTGCAATGGGGGCCGCAACTTCGTCAAAGCCAGTACGATATGCTCTCGCTCCAACATCTTGGGGAAGATCTGCCCTTCAACTCCCGTGGGCTGCTGCGATTAAGGAAGGTGGATATTGCACGAGAATGGTGCGCTGACAAAGTGAGTCCACCAATTTGGAGCGAGAGGCCGAGCAGATCGCGTTTATGGGCGGACGAAGGCCTTGGTGACTTCGAGGCCGTCGTGAGCAAGTCCTCCAGTAGTGGCCTTGGCTCTTCGTGGCTTGACTCATATATGCAATGGCATCTCTTCAGCCTGGCGAATATTGACATTTCTGAGTCACTTCTTGGAGTTTTCCTGCTTTTTGCGCGGGCGTTGTTGTGTCATACTGTTCTCGATGGATTATGCCCTTTCATTGGACTCGATTGCGATTTGACCGCCTAGAGACCCGTTCGAGGGCGGAGATGTTGTCATGCTGAAGACTTAAGATACCGTGTTTGTTGATGTGAGAAAGATGTCGTTGGCACGAGCACTCGCCGAGACGTGGAGCGCGTTCAAGCGTGCGACTCACAAACGCTCCGATTGGTTGGATTTGATCTAAACGTGTCGATGTTGTAGATCTGGAGGGGACGATAACGATGGCTCCTCCGGGCAGTGCATCGCAGTCACCCTCTCTTCACCACTCGCCTCAGGTATCCGTTAGGTATTTGTAGCACCCCCGGTCCAGCTCGTCACCCGCGAATCGCATCATACACGAGAGTATAGACGAACAGCCGAGACGAAATCGATATGGCCATCCATCCCGAGCTGTCGACCGAGCCTCAGCAGCCAACATCAATCGAACGCGTGGAAGCATGGACAGTCTCACAAGCCGCCGACGCGCTGAGTCGGGCATCGATCTCAGCGACTTCTCCTCCGCCGGCTCGTGGCACGACTGTCACGATCGATATCCCGCTCGACGATGACGCCATGCGAGAAGAGGCTCCTCGAAGGCGACCCGAGGCTGTTCACACTGTATACAAGCGCCGAGAACCTATCCGAAGAGACAGCTTGAAGAGGCGGGAGGCGTTACTGAAGGGTAAGGAGGGTAGCCGACAACGGCGTCGATGGGAGAATGATCGACTGCTCAATAACCCATACGCCGAGCCACCACTTCCCAGCGACTGGCAAGTGCAGCCTACCTACCCTGTTCGCCAGATGCCATACTCCATAGCACCTCTCTGGGAGGCAGAGTACGCGCGGTTAGCCAAAGATCGTCAAAAGCGCGCCGAGGCAGCCAAAGTCCCTACGTGCAAGCGAGAGGCCGACGCTGCGAAGGTCAAGCAGGAACTCAAGGCCAAGCTGAAGAAGTCCAAGGGCGCCAAATGCTTGCTGCAGGATTTGGAAGAGGAGGTGCGCGAGTTCGTCAGGCAGTGGGAAGAGAAGCAGAAGGAGATGGAAAACGACGGCCTCATAGACCCGAGCAGTAGCGAAGACGAGGAGATAGTATTTGTCGGCCGAAATGGTGCTATGAGCGACGAGCGGAGAAGAGAGAAGCAGCAGCATACCCTGGAGAAGGACAAGCTCATCTTTCAAGGTCTGCTGGATGATCACGGTAGTGCGTTTGGCAGGTATTTGGTCCATGCCATTGCTGCATATGTGAGTACTCAACCATATCATGTGTTAGCAAGTGATGTCTAACACTGGGCAGTATGGCTTGAAGACATACTCGATCACCACCGGTGACCCAGCTCGTCGTGAGGCGTACGTTGGCCTGAAGATCGACCCGAAGACGCGAAGACCAAGTTTGGCCATGTCAGAAATGCCCAAGCCTCTCTATGCTGCGGTTTGAGCTTGTATATGGTTCTGTCGGATCCGTGCAATACATGCTGGGTTAGAGCGATCTTCATGAGGCAGCGATTCACGTACCGCGTTCGCTGGGCAGGCAGGCGCAACCAGGGTCTCCGACCACATGCATTCACACGCACAATGTGTTACTAGAAGCAACTCGGACATACAGTTCAAATACACCGCTTCGGCGCACATACTTGCACTCACTTACATCCCCACCTTCCACAAACTCCAGCTCCGTCCAGCTCCGCCAAGCACCACCGCCGCCATGTGCCAGATCTGCGCCGTCAAGGACATCGTCACCAAGGACCGCTGGCCAAAACCTCTCGAGACGCAAAAGAAAGACATCACCTTCCTCATCGACACGATCCACGATGAGTTCCAGAGCTATCAGAAGCTGAAGCACAATTCGGCCTCATCCCCGCCACCGGACAGCTTGCTGGATCTGCTTCGCATGCTGTCTCAGCAGTTCGACGTCCTCGAAGCCGATCGCGAGGCTTGGTGGTCTTCGCCGAAGAAGAGGGCTCTGCGGCAGCGGCTCGAGCAGGAGTGTGATCAGAGGAAGTTGTCGGATCTTCATAAGATCAGTGAGTTGATGGGGTCGTGGCTTTGGGTGTGAGGATGTTATTCTTACTAGATCACAGACAACACGGCTACGTCGAGCATCGAGGCGCTGAGTGCGAAGCTGGGTCAATTCACGAAGTGGAGTCTGGGGATGAAGGGTGGTATGTGGGAGTTGGAGAATGCCAGCAAGGTCACCAGCGCAGTCAAGACAGAGTAGGTCGTGACGACGATCAGATGATACAGTGTGTGGCATGAACGACATCGATTCGTGGTGAGACTTGCTCACAGAGGAGACTCCTCTATCCCGCCTCATGGCTAATAGCGAGTGACGAAGCTCAAATCTGACCATCCTCACAACTTGTGCGCACCGCCACACATCTCCTCTTCGTACTCCAGGTCTGGCTGGAACTCCCAGTACAACGACTCAGGGTCGCTGGCGGACTCAAATGTGAACTTCGCGGCCTCATCTGGAACGTAGACCTTCGGAATGCCGTTGGCGGCGGCAGCTTCGGCAAGCAGCTGGACTTCACAGCTTCGCTCGAGGAGGGTGTAGAGGTAGGCGGCCTCGTCCACGGTATTGCCGACAGTGAGCAGGCCGTGGTTCCTCAGAATCATGCCCTTTCCGTTCGGTCCCAACGCAGCAGCCAGACGCTTGCCCTCCGCCTCGTCGAGTACAACACCCCCAAAGTCCTACCACATCAAGTCAGAAAAATTCGTCAAACCCCCTCCACCACCCTTCTCAAACTCACCTTATAAACCGCCTGCGCATCCCCATAAAAATACGTAACATCCTGATTCAACATCTCCACCGGCCTCGCAAACGAGCTCCAAGCCTTGCCATACGGACTATGCGTATGACAAGCCGCAACGACATCCGGGCGCGCCTTATGCACCGCCGAATGAATCAAAAACCCCGCCGCATTCGCCGGCCGGCTCATATTGCCGCCAATCGCCTTGCCATCATAATCCACCAAAATCATATCACTCGCTTTCAACAACCCGAAGTGGCGGCCTAGTGGGTTCGTCCAGAACGTGTGCGGGTTCTCCGGGTCGCGCACGGAGATGTGGCCCGACATGCCTTCGGTGTAGCCTTTGCGCGCGAAGACCCGGAAGGCGATGGCCATGTGTTCGAGCATCCATCGGCGGTGTTCGGAGAAGGAGACGAAGGTGGGGATTCCGGGGAGGGAGGTGCCTTGGGAGATGAGTTCGAGGGGGGATTTCTTCTTGTCGATCTCTTGGTGTTGGGATTTGGGTTTGATGGGGAGGGTGTCGATTTCGGGAGTCGTGGTGATTGCTGAGGGAGCCATTGTTGCGGTTCTAATTTTATTTTTTTCGAATTTGACGATGTCGTAGATGGGGTTGGATTCGTCTTGACAGTGGTCGAGAGGTGGATTGTAAGAGGTGGAGAGGGTAGGAATATCTTTGTCGTCAGTTATCAGACACGCACGCCCTAAGGTGTTTCTATAGGGTAGCTATAGGCGAGGGATAACTTTCCTTGCTAGCCGCTCGGCCAAGGTGAGAGCGAAGCTCGGAGCTCCAGAAGACATTCGATCTACAGTATACAGTATCAGTTGCGACCAATCTGATTAATCTTACTCGCATGTGAGAGTTTCGAAAGGATTGTTGAGAAGAAAGTTCAGGGCACATACATTCACTCGCTTCCTTCCCATTCGGGAACAAATATCCAACGGCCGCCAACAATCCTACCCTCAAACCATGTCGATCGTAAGTACACCACCATCCTTCAAAGTACAAAACCGACCATAACAAACTGACCATAAACTAAGAACCTCGTCGAAGCCACCATCGCCGACCTCCAACAAGCCCTCTCTACAACCTCCCTCACAAGCGTCGACCTAGTATCCAAATACCTCCTCCGAATCGCCACCTACGACAGCAGAGGCCCCTGTCTAAACTCCATCCCAATCCTCAACCCCCATGTCTTCGACGAAGCCGCCGCCTCAGACGCCCGTCGAGCCAGCAAGACCCTCCTCGGGCCGCTCGATGGAATCCCTTACACGCTGAAGGATAGCATGAAGTATAAAGGAATGACATGTTCGACTGGCTCGCCTGCTTTCGAACATCTCGTTGCGAACGAAGACTCCTTCGTCGCGGAACAGCTTCGGAAGGCTGGCGCCGTGTGCATCGGCCGGACGAACACGCCGCCCATGATGGCGTCCGGGATGCATCGCGGTGTGCATGGCCGGGCGGAGAGTCCCTACAACCTGGAGTATCTGACCGCGGCGTTCTCGTCGGGTTCGTCGAATGGTTCCGCCACGTCGACGGCGGCTTCGTTTGCGGCTTTTGGGCTGGGGTCGGAGACTGTGTCTTCGGGGAGGTCGCCGGCTTCGAATAATGGGCTGGTGGCGTATACGCCTTCGAGGACGGTGATTTCGCCGAGAGGGTGTTGGCCGTTGTATCCGACGTGTGATGTGCTTGTTCCGCATACGAGGAGTGTGGGGGATATGTTGGCGATTTTGGATGTTTTGACACAGGTCGATTCGAGAAAGGATGAGGACTTTTGGCGATTACAGGAGTATGTTGACATCCCACACGTCGAACGTCCTCAATCATACCCAGCTCTTAAGGACACCGCGAAAGGCTCCCTCAAAGGCAAACGGATCGCCGTCCCTCTCATGTACATCGGCGGTCACGACCCCAAAGCAAAACCCACCGTCGTCTCCCAAGACGTCCTCGCCGTCTGGCAACGCACCCGCAAAGACCTTGAATCCCTCGGCGCAACCGTCATCGAAACTGACTTCCCCCTCGTGACGAACTACGAAGACGACTCCGTGACCGGCCACGCTAACAACGTCGTCGGCTTCGACGCAGACTGGAACTCGAAAGAACGCGGCGAGCTCGTAGCATACCTCTGGGATGACTTCCTCAAAACCAACGCAGATCCTAACTATCCCGACCTCGCATCCATCGATGGAGCGAAGATGTTCCCTCGTCCGGAAGGCTATATCCCGGATCGATATATGGAGCATAAGAACTTCATGAACTATCCCCGTCTCGTCGAGATCGCGAAGAATCGTCCGGAGGGGAAGACGATCTGGGATGTAGAAGGGATTTCTCGCGCTCTGCCTGCTCTGGAAGCCCAGCGGAAACGAGATCTGGAGGAGTGGATGGACGCCAAAGGTGTCGATGTTGTTGTCTTCCCGGCGAATGGAGACGTGGGTAGAGCAGATCTCGATACCAACGACGAGAGTGCTCGACTTGCGTTGCAGAATGGCGTCAAGTACTCCAATGGGAATCGTGCGATCCGGCATATGGGCGTCCCGACTGTCTCGGTAACGATGGGTCAACTGACCGAATCGAAAATGCCATTGAACCTCACATTCGCAGGTAAACACGGCCAAGACACCGACCTCCTGAAATACGCATACGACTTCGAGCAGTCCACAAAGAGAAGATTCGCTCCCCCCGTAACACCAGCCCTATCATCAGATACCCTCAACCTCTCAGCAGAACTCCAGCCTCCACCCACGAAGGAACCCAGCACCATCGAAATCAAATCCGCCTCAACAACCAGCACCAACGAAATCCACATCACAGCATCCATCAACCCCACCCTCACCAACACCAAAGACCCCTTCACAATCTCAGCATACATCGACGGAAAGCGCATCCAAACCGCCTTGGAACCAGTCCACGCAGGAGAAGAATTCAGCTTCCACGCCCCCTTCACGCCCTTCACACCCCCAAAACCGCTCTATGGAGGCGTCGGCAAAGTCGTCAACAATGTCCTTGTCGTGATCCTCGCGAAGAGTGCGACGCAAGACGCCGGGGCCCTGGTGCTCATTGACCAGAATGGGGGGATCAAGGGATGATTCAGATTTGGGGCGCAAGGAACGCAACGAGAAAGCTGAAACACACCACTACCACCACTGCCATAACAATGCGAAGAAAGGACGGGAGGGATTCAAGAGAGAATGAAAATGACTGAATCGGGTATGAAACCCCACGAATCGATTGTTGTCCCATTTTTGTTTTCTGCAAAAAGACGAACGAATGTCAAAAAACACCTTCGCTAATTTGTGGTGGAAACCCCATAGTCTATCTTCATCCCATGAGCGGCATGACGATCGTACAGTTTTGAAAAGAGCAAAAAAGAACACACACGTCAGAAATGCAGTCCCGTCGTCGAAAAAGTTCCCCCTCCACTGCTAATGCAAAGCCGCCGTCGCTAGTGCAAAAAGAATCGCAACGTAAGTCAAAATGTTGCTGGTATCAAGAAGTGAAGGATGTGTGGGCCGCGATCAGTACGAAGACGCTGACGGTCCTGAGTTGAGGCCGTCGCCGACGAGGTTGACGACGGGGTTGAAGTTCTGCCAAGCGCAGGCGCTGGAAATGGGTTGCGAGCTCTTGGCTGTGTGGACCGTCTCGCCGTTGCGCACGATCGCCACCTCTGGTGTGACGCCGCTCTGTGATACGTAGGCCGGGAATGGAACCATGGCCATCGCTGGGCCGCTCGAGTCGGCTCGGAATGTCCAGTATTTGTTGCTGCCGACCGACATGGAGATGGTTGATGACTCTGACACTAGTGCCCAAGCAAAGACCGCGTCCTCGGGGAAGGCGTTGTTGCGAATGCCACTTGAAGAGCCACCAGTGCAGACGGTGCCCTTGGGGTGAATGCGGTGCCAGAAGACCACCTGATCCATGGTGATGGGTGGGGGGCTGCCATTCTTCCACCAGGAGATATAGTACTTAGCTATTATCCGCCAGGGGGCATGGTTCTGGCCCCAAACGTAAGCGCCCATCTCTCCAAGCTCGACGTAGTCCTTGGCAGTAATGTCCTGAGAAGGGAGATCGCGAATGTAGTGAGACTCGCAGAAGTCGTTCCAGGTCAAGATCTCGATGATGTCGGGCTGGATCTGGTCATTACTGGTGATCTGTTGGAAGCGCTTGGGGAAAAGCATGTCGCTGTATGCCACCCAAGCGTCGAGTGGGTTGCCATTGTTGAGATCCTTGTACTGCCAGGGCGACATGGCTGCCACTAGTGTCAGCCACCTGTTCACTTGTGCACGACTCCCTTGCTTGACTTACCCATCATGTAAGGACCGGTCCGGCCAGCATTCTTCAAGGCAGACTGGAACGCCACGTCGGGGGAGACGGTGATGTTCTTATCAACATCAAGAGGCCAGGCTTGCCAGTTGAAGTAGCCATCGATTGAAGGATACTCGGACATCAGCTTGGATGCTGCATTGGAGGCATCGGTTTGAGCGGCCATTGAGTAGGTGGTCAAGGCGGGAACCAGGGTGATGGCATTCGAAGACTTCATGCGGTCCTTGAGGCCTTGGAAGAACATGTCGCCGTATACATCATCGACCTGATCACCGCCGTAAGTTGATACAAGAATGTTGCTGTTCCAGCGGTAGGTTGCTGAGCTGCCGGCGTACTTGGTGATCATGTCTTGCATGAAGGTCTGGTTCCAGTAGTGGTTGCATTCGGTGTAACTCATGTCGAAGGAATACATGAGCTTGAAGCCAAGGTCTTCGGCGGCGTGGAAAGCATCATCGATTCTATCGATGGCCCAGCTCTCGTCGTCCTGGCAGTTAGGCGGGATCCAGTTGAGCGCGAATCCATCGATGCCGACCTGCTGCGCAGCAGCGATGTCGGTCTTCCATTGGTCTTCGTCGTAGGCATAGGAGTTCATGAGCATGAAATGGGCGAAGACGGAGGCAGCCGAGGTGGTTTGCAGCGCCAGCGCCGAAAGCAGGGCGAAGAGAAGGGGGAGCATGGTCGTTGCTGCCGTCGTCGTCGTCGTCGTCGTCGTTCGTCGATGTCGTGAAGTGAAGGCTGCGGTCCAAGAACTGTCTGGCACGTGCTGTCGAATAGAATGAAGGCCCGGTGCTGGCAAGAAGCTGGGAACTGCAGAAAAGACTGATCGCTGGTGGTTCTCAAGGAATGGACGCTCAGCAGAGCAATTTGAATGAGTGACTGGGTGAAGGAGTGTGGGATAGCACCAGGCCAGACCTCGCAGAGGCGTTGTAGAGGGTTATGCCACCGAGTGCATATGGACCGAAGAGGAGACACACGCAGAAGAGAGAGGTGGTGTGGGAGGAGGAGGAGGGTACTTAGGTACAGCACCTGGGCCGACGCCACGAGCCTGGCGAGCGCTGCGGCGGGTACGGCAGCAACAGTCGGCGGGAGTGTGGTTGTCCTGCGGGCGGTTGTCAGCGCCCTGCTCCACCCACGCCTCCTGTGCCCCTCGTGTTTAGATTTGCACGGATTCGAACAGGCGCTGAGACTGCAAGCCGCCCTTGGCGTCGGGTGCGATAAGGAATGCCAGGGATGCACTTGTTCGTTTGTTCTGACGATGCCACAGACAGGCGCAGGAACGGGTATGCGGCTGGGACGGGAGCAGCCGCCGTGCAGGAGCGTTGTCTGCAGGAACCCGGAAGTTAGTATTCATTTACCCGCGTGACCATCAATTCCATCAATTACATTATACAAATGTCGAAGGCAAGACATCAAGAGCAAGCAAGCATGGTCAACGTCTCTTGACTGGCTTCGTCGTAGCAACAATAAATCTTTTCAGCTCTGCATTACTACTTCCATGTCCGCCGTTTATGCACATCCATCTCGCCTACGACAGCGGCGCGGTTTCACAGTTTCACATTGACGACCGGAGGAGCAGGCGCGAATCTCTGCGACGCCTCGTTTGGTTTCGGGGTGGCCTGCAGCTGAGATGAATCGAGTCAGTCATCCTCATCCACCTCGGCGCTTGTGTTGTGTAGTACTCCTGCAGCGACCCATACAACCAGCAAGCACCTGGACGCCCATGTGCTCCACCACGCGGACTGCGGTCGCATTCTCCATGTAACCCAGCGGCGCTGGTCGAGACTCGAGATGATTCTGGATGACCTACACACGCTATTTTCCTCCTAGCAAGGATCTCTTCCATCATGTGCAAACGAAATAAGGGCGCTTCTGCGACGACGCAAGGTGTCGACTCGAGTCAACACCCTCAGAAGCGATTATCCACTGCAAACAGCATCAGCGCTAAGCTGTGCCTGACCCACAGCCCAGCCAGACCGCAGGCGGTCTGCATCGCGAGAATTTCCAATGCCAACCTGTCTTCGCGAAGAGGGCCCCTCCACACCAACCAGAGATTCAGGATGGTCAAATTGCTCGACTCTGTCACCCGCCCCGTCGTCTCATCTACTGCGACCCGCACCAGCTTCAGCTTGTGCAGTATCTTCAACACCTCTCCCACGATTGGGCGGAGCGGCCGCTCGTCTGAAAATGTCGCAACCGACGGTTCCAACAGCCCGGTGCGCGCGTTGAAACGTGGCAATCGATGCCGAGGGCACGGCACAAGTGCAAACAGCTGCGGTGCGGAATACACAAAGTTGAAGATTTGCGGGATGAAGACCAACAGCAGTGTCTTGCTGAAATGGCCCAGGATCGCCACGACCGCAAACACCATGCCCGCGAAATAGCAGTAAGTGTCTCCAACAAAGACCTTGGCCGGGAACCAGTTGTGCTGGAGCAGTGCCAGAGAGACACCGATCAACGGCAGCAAAAGGTAGATGCTCAAAAGATGTGACTCTGCGGCAGGGTGTGGCTGCTGTACCGTGGGCGACAGGTACAGTGCATCATTGAGGACAATCAAGCAGGCAATTACCAGCGATTGACCGACTTCGATGCCATTGATGCCAGCCAATATGTTTATGCAGTTGGGGCAGAAGATAGACAGCGCCGCCATGTAAACATAATATAACATGCCCAATTCGGTCCGTTCGCCCAGGTAGCCACGCAGAGGAGCCGGTACCATGACGTGCGTTTCACCATACTTGATGCCGTAGAGGGCCAGCAAAGGCAGCGACGCAAACGCCGGGATGAAGAACTTGTGTCGCCATCGCAAATCAAAGGTGTCGTCCATGATCCCCAGGAGGATGGCAGCTGCCAGCGTGAAGCCCGCAAAGCCATATGGAGCAAGCTGGGGGGCGAGCGGTTAGCAGTGTCGCACCGCAGATAGGGGTCGAAGGGGCACAACGCAAACCTTTTCCAGCGGAAACAGGTGGAGAAAGCGGACTGTCTCATTCTGCTGTGCTTCCAACAGGTCATCCTTGTTCCCGGCGCCCGACGTCATTTCGACAATGTCGCTTTTGAAGACGAACGGCACGAAGGCGGTCAGCGCTAAGAGGTATACCAATGCGGGCAACACGCCCATGAATTCTGGTCTCTCGGCATTGTCAGCTGTAATGTTGGTTTGGGTGTGAATATTGGCACGCCTCACATTTCAATGGGCTGTTTCTTGGACATGTCCCGTCCTTTGAAGCCTCGCTTGAGGAAAGTATCCCCACTCCATCGTATAATGCAGTATGAGAAGGCGAATGCAAGGCCACTGATGGCCAATGAGTCGAACAGAGGCTCGCCATTGTTCCTCAACGAGCTGATGAGAATCGCGAGGCACACAAACGATATTGCCCCGAGCGAGTACGTCTCGGTGTTGCTGAGCGGCTGCATGACGACCTGCAGCATGTGGTTGTAGATTGAGTTCGCCGTGCTGTGTTTTCCATGGTTGTCGTCAATTTGTAGGACAGGACATGACCACCTCACGTAAAGCCAGCTGGCGAATTGAGTTGACGCGGACGCGATGGACGTCGTCAGGGCGGCCGATTTTAGCGCCGGGTATAGCCGTCCAACCACTTCACCTGCACTCCTTCACGAGATCGTTGCACGACGAAAGCTCGAGCTTGTGTATGTGGAAGCAACACACGTCTCGGTGTGACGTGTGCACATGATGTCTGCAGCGCGATATTGCCGTGCAACAGGAGACCAAATGAAGTGACCTCCCCTTCCAATCCCAATCTCCCATCCAGGCGAAATGGCCGGATTCCACCGCTTCTCACATGGCCATCAGGATCTGCTTTTATCCGTGAGTTACAACTTCTATGGCACGCGCATGGCAAGTGCGTCAGCCGACCACAAAGTCAAAGTTTGGGACCGCAATGAGAAGACTGGCCAGTGGATCGTCACGGATGTGTGGACCGCTCACGATGCGGAGGTGACTTGTGTCGTGTGGAACGGTCCGTTCGTGGGTGAACATCTGGGGACGATTGGCGAGGATGGTCTGGTGAGGATATGGCAGGAAGATGTGAACGAGGCCCACAATTCGGGGAGGCGTTTCCGGAAGATTTTCCAGAGGAGCACAGGCACCGGCGTGCCGTTCATGTGCTTGGACTTCAAGAATATTGGAAGTGAGACTTTCTTGGCCACGATCACGCGGGATGGTTATCTCACGATTCTCGAACCGGAAGACCACGACGACCTATCTACTTGGCGGGTCATGTGGGCGGACTACCTCTGCAAGACACCTCCTAGAACAGAGGAGACAGGCTTCAGACTGAGCTGGCATAAGGAGAAAATCCCCGCCTGGCCAGCCGTCCTCGCAGGCTTAGATCGCAAAAGCCTCAGCATAGCCGTAGCAATTGGCCAAACCGTCAAGATCTTCCGCACGGACAAAGACCGCAAGTTCTACACAGCAGCCACCCTCGAAGGCGCCAAAGAGCTGGTCCGAGACGTCAGCTGGTCCAACGGCAGCATGCGCGGATTCGACACAATCGCCACAGCCAGCAAAGACGGCTACGTGCGCATCTACGAACTGCACACCCCCGGCGCCTCATCCCTACCAACATCCCTCACAGGCTCAACAACAGACCACACAGCCACAACATCACAACAACCCTCCCCATCAGCACGACCCGCGAGATCAGGCATCGGCGCAGGCCTCGCAGGCGGTATGCGTGGCCGGCGCGACGACAACGCGGGCGCTCCAGGCGCAGTGAAGCAGGAAGCAAAGCTTGTCGCGGAGCTCGAAGCGCACAACTTGACGCCCTGGCGGGTGTCGTGGGCGCCCAATGCCGATATGCTGCTTTCCACTGGCGACGACGGTGCGACCTGGATGTGGAAGAAGTCGACAGAAGGGAAGTGGATCGAAGCGGCGGAAATCGACGTCCTGGGAGGGGCGTGACCGGTCGGTACGAAACCGTGCTCTACGAAATGCATGGACCCGTTGTCTCTGCCGGCGTGAACTCGATCAAGCTCAGGTTCGCAGCTTCGATTGCTTGGACGGCTTGTGAGCAATGGGGATGGTCTCCAATTCCGGGTGAATGCCCATGGTGGAATCGAGGTCATTCGACCACATGTACCGAACAAGTACGGTTCGTCATACGCGGATGCAAAGGACACCATCTATCTATCACCCATGCGACTATGGTACACATCATTAGCTCGTTGCACGTCGTCGTACAAGCCAGACGCCTTCACGCGTGCACTACAAACAACCCCACCTCAACAAACGCCAGAGTTGCGATCGTATCCAAGCCATGTGGCTTCGTGACAGTAACAGGACTGCGCTGAAAAATAAAATACCGCCGATGAAATGCAGAAGCCAAACCACCGCCCAACGCCTGTCAAATGCAATATTGCTCGCTCTTGCGTGTTATCCCACACGCTCTATCAGATGCAAGGCCACTCGGGCTTCATGCTGTCTCGTTGTTACTCCAGCTGTTTCTGGAATCTATTCCGCAGACCGTTGTTTACGACTCCGCCGAAACCAAAGGCCGGCAAGATGCGGCACATTCTTGCTAGACTGCTCTTGAGCCAGTCAATCCGGACCTTGTGCAATCTGTCTTTGAACGGAGTGCCGCCGTTTCGGTTGTACAGGTCCAATCCATACAGATGGAAAGGCGTCGACAGGAGCTGGATCGCAGCCGGCGCCATGAACTGTGCCGCTGACGCCTTGCTGATGTATTTCTCTGCCGCTTCAGGGATGGGCATGCTAGGTGCGAGGATCGGCGGGAGGTTGAAGCTCGCGAAGATGGTCATGGAGTCTCGAATCGCGAAGAGGGCGTAGGTCGTCGGCGGGACGGGTCGCGCAGAGACGGTGCCGAACATCTTGGTGAACTGTGAGTCTTTGACCATTGTCAGGCTCAAATTCGCGGCGCTGGTTGCGACGAACTTGGCGGGGCCTGAGGTCGTCTTGCTGGCGGGTTCGGAATTGGCGGTGGATTTGAAGGTGTCGAGGAAGTTGGCGGAGAGGTATGTCCCGCCGTAGACCATCAGAATCAACGCGAAGGGCTTGCTCGTGAAGAATAAGTGTGGCTTCGTGAGCATGTTCGATACAGATCCTCTTATGGACGTCATCAAGGGCTGCTTGCCCGATGCGTTCTCCATGATGGCTCTGTCCACCCAACAAGTCAGCACACCGCCCTCAACATTCCGTATTCCCCCATCTCCACTCACCTATCAATCATCGACACAATCGGCGCAACCATTGCCCCAGCCGCGGCCGCACACCCAGCATCAACAGCAACCCTGCTCCCCAAATTCTTCGTATTCCACTCCCTCGTCTCCTTCGTCTTAATCCCCATCTTCAGCGGAGTGTTCTTCGTATCCACCACAGCCGCCGAATTCGCCTCGACGACCGCCGTTCTCCGCTCCGCCTCTTCAATGCCTCCAGGAACCGCTCGCTGGGGACCGCCGGCTCCGACACCCATACTCGTTGGAGCCTAGATTTCTTGTTGGGCGCATACAGCAAGGCTGTTGCTGTGCACTCTCCTCCGCCAGAGGGTGAGGAGAGCTTTTGTGTATGTAGGCTGTGGTGGTGGTGGGAGTGGGAGTGGCTACCCCGTGGGGCGAGGGAATAAACAAAGCAATGACGGAGTTCAGTGCTGGAGGTGAGGTACTCTTTTGAGAGAAGTACGTACCCTAAGAATGACGGCAAAGCGACGGGCTGGAGGCTCGCAGGATACTTTTTGTTTCGTCGGAGTCACGGCCGGGTGGTCGGCAGCGGCAGCGGCGGTGCTTATTGCAATGCTTGCGCGATTTGCTTCCAAACGCCGATAAACTGCGGCCGGCCAGCCTCTTGGAATCCATTGATCCTTGTTTGGTGTTCGCTCGGGCAGTATGTTTATCTGTCGTTGGCCGAACGTCTGACATGGTTTGTTCTTTGCAATGGCTTCTCTTCTTGCGAGGAAAAGGTGTTTGCTGAAGTCGTTCCGTCTCTTCGCTGGCTGTTTGGTCTTGGCAAACGTCCGGGTCTTTGCCATGCGAGAGCCGTCTCTTTTGCTGGCCGGTTGCCGAGTGGAGCCAGCCAAACTCAATTGAAACGCCAATCATCTCGACACGTTTTTCGACGCGTCTTCAATCTTTGGTCTTGATAAGAGTTCTCCGCTGCTGCGAACGATCAAAAATGCAATTGTTACCCATGAAGACTTTCGAAATTGATCAGCGCAGTCAATGCTGCAGCATCGCCATTAGAACACTGTGCAAATGGCAGACAAGAACGCAGTAGAATTCGCTGTCGAGCGTAAGTACCAAGTTCAGCCTCACTACTCTTCACTCGTACTTTTCATTTTCGTGCCATTGCGATATGCTTGACATCTTCAGAGAAGCACCTCTACTGGCCTCTCCAGATGGCCTACGAGGAGGCCATTTCATAGCACTCGATGCGCGAAAATATAAACAGGTGAGTGGCTATCTCCTGCATGCGAAGCTTTTCTGACCCGATCCAATAGCCCTCAGCTATACAAACATATGATCTCGCCACGACTTTTCTTTCAAACGGCGAGGTGGAAGATTGGGCAATTCAAAAAGGTCGCTTTGCCCCACCTTCGCCGCCCCTTAATGCCGACGAAGAGTTGGAGGGAGGCTTGCGAATGCTCTTTGCGCAACCACAATCGAGCTTCAGGTCCACCATACCCGAAGTCCTCACGAAAAGCACAGTGTTGGATGCTCTCAATCTCCCAGCCAGTACTATTGCCTCGCTTCAGCTTGCTGGAGGAACATTCTCCGTGCATACGATCCCAGAAGGGAGCCAAGTTGACGAATGCGAGAGGTTGAGTAAGTAGGCTCCTCTTCTTGGATGGCAACCTACATACTCGCTGACTCTTCGCCAGGCATCGTCTTCCGCTCTCCGCAGAAATGGGAGTGTACTGTCGGCGGATTGGCCATGTCTCACGATTTCAAGACGGGCGTCACCACAGCTCTCAACATCGGCTATGCCTTTGACCTGAATCAATGCGTCGATTCTTCTTCCTCACTCCCTGATGCTTTAACCAAATTCATCTCGAGAGTCGAGAAGTGCCAGTCACTATGGCCTCATCCGCTCTTCTTGCCCAACCTCTTCCGTGTCCAACACGTCCTGCGCGTGAGCAACTTTATTATGCAGGACCTCGACCGGCAAGTCATACGTCTGGAGTACTGCGTGGGGGTCACAAAAGCCGGCCGTTCCAACAAGCCTCATCTCGACTTCCCCGAGGACGAAGACCTCGCTGAGCGGCAGAAACTGTACATCGGCGATCAGCTGCAGCGAGACAACGCGAGGAGATTGATGGAGGATATCAACGACCTCACCACGAAGTTGGAGTTCACAAAGATGTCGGCGTCGTGGGATCAGCACTTCGCGGTCTTCGTACTAGAACTACTGGCGGATTCGAGAAGGCTGGCGGACTACCGGGGAATCTCTGCCGCGGCTTTTCGTGAGACGCTTGAGTATGTCCGCAATTACAGCCAGAGTCTTTGTGATGTCGTGCAGAGTCACCATGCGAGGATGCAGCTGCAGCTGAATATCGTAAACATCCACCCTTTGAGTTCAGTATCGTAGGCTGACCATCAGCTAGCTTTACACCTCCAGGGCCCAAGACGATGGACAGACGAATGCTTGATTGGCGGCATCTGCAGGCAAAGACAGCACCTCGATGAAGATCATCGCATTGATCACCGCCGCGTACCTGCCCGGCACATTCGTAGCTGCAAGTACATGGAGACACAATCCACGAAACACTAGCTCACACCGACATCCTGCAGACGCTCCTCGGCATGGACATGTTCAGCTGGCGGTTCGGCCAGGACAATAGAGTGGCCAAGGACTTCTGGGTCTATTGGGCTGTGGCTATTCCGTTGACGATTGTCACATTGAGCGGCTGGGCGCTGTGGTGGAGGATCGAGAAGCGAAGGTTCGAGCTGGATGTGCAGAAAGCTGCGCAGCAACAGCGAAAGTCGAGCAAATGGCAGCGGGATGGGATGGTCGATGGCTTGAAGTCTCATGTGGTTGGGATTGGTGGGAAGTAAACGGTCTTGATGTTGCTGGCAGATATGAGGCTCTAGCACTTTCTCAAGACTCTTCTATCGAGTTCTCGAGAAGTGCAGAGTGAAGCCAAACGAGAACAATGGCATCGCCATTTAAATTAATGTCAACGGCCTGATCATCATTTCCAACATTTCAGTGTGAGTGGTTTCGAAAGTGCTCATACTCAGCCCCAAAGTCGTGTGGATGACGAAGAGAGGTTTGTGTGTTGTGATCGGTCAGACAAGGGCTGAAGTCGGACGACGGAACGAACAACGTTTCCCTTTCCGGCCAACACGCCCCTCTGATTGGTCAGTGCAGACGACATCCTTTGCGACTGCCATCCGAAACAATCGTTGCCTTCTTCAAAAAACAGACCTGAACCATCTGTCCAACGTGAGTTGGGCACTTGGACTGTATAAGGCGGCATGACGAAGCTGGCCCATCGAGTGCGGGCCTTTGCACCCAAGACCAAGAGCGGCTGCAAGACTTGTCGGTATGTGCCGCCCAACTCCTGACGTAGACGAATGCTCAGGCTTTGTAGATCACGCAGAATCAAATGTGATGAGACGAAACCATCCTGCAAGAAGTGCTTGACTGGTGACCGGACGTGCGAATGGTTCGAAAGTGCAAGTCCAACGCCACCGAAGAGCTCGCCCGAAAGCAGCGACCAGAGCGAGAGACGAGTTCTTTTGCCTGCAAGGAGTGCTGTCTATGTCCCAGATCCTTCGTCCGCTGATGTACAACCATCATCACTTGGACTTGGCTTAGATGCGTGGGAACGTTCTGCGTTGGGATTCTTCATCAATCGTACGGCTCGAGATCTTGGGTACTCGTTCCCCACGATCGAGTGGATATCACGGACTCTTCAACTGAGCCATGAGGAGCCTGCCCTTCGTTACGCCATGGTGGCGCTAGGTTCCATGCATCAAGCTCGAAGGGCGTACACCCATACCTCGATGTCGCCGGTGATCGAGCCTGGACATCTCAAGAATGCACTAGGTGGATACGGCAAAGCCATGACGCATTTACGTCGCCGGATAGAGGACAGCTCCGTTGGCAACAGGATCCAGACGACAAGTATGATACTGTTGAGTTGTCTCTTGTTCTTCTGCTTCGAACAACTGCAGGGTGAACAAGCCACAGCCTGTCTACACATGCAAAAAGGACAGCGAATTATTAAAGAGATGCTCTCCAGTCCGCACTCGACACAAATCGAGCCTTTTCTGAAAGCAACATACGGCCTCTTCTCCGGCTTCGAAGACCTTGACTTTACTTTGTTCCAAGGTCAAACGCTTGATCCCACGGACAGGCGTGGCGTCGCGGAAATAGCTGCAAGTATGCCCGCGTACTTTTACAACTTCGAACAGGCGAAAATATGCCTCAAAGGACTTGAACAAGCCCGGGGAAGATTTGTATCAGAGCTGATGAACCTGGCCAATGATGCACTGAAAACATTGGAGGCGGTCCCAACGGATCCAGCTGTCGTGCTGTGCCTGCAGCATTGTGTGAGTCGAGTCGTTGAGTTGGGTGATCGTAGAGACCTGGTCAAAGATCTTGACGATCTCCAGCACGGATACGATGCATGGCTGTCAGCTTTCGCCAATGCTGGGACTGGTCTTCGCGGGACACCTCACTCCTGGGCTGTGATTCGTATGCAATGCCTGATCAGCAGATTCAGTGCTCGAATCATGCGAGAACCGGCGGAGAAGGTCTGCGATCTCTATGAGGATGATTTTGTCGAAGTACTGAATTTGGCGGAACAATGCCTGCTGGTCTACCCTTCGACTGATGACTTTTTCGCCAGCCTATCTGGGATGCTGAGCAGCTCTGGCTACGGCCTTGCCCTCAGCACAGATTTACTCCCTCACATAGCCTTATGCGGCTTCAAATCTCGGCGTACATCAACAAGAGAGCGAGCGATTGATATCTTAACGGTCGCAAACAAGCACGACGGCGTTTACCAAAGCGCAATCCTCGCACGCTTCGTCAGGCGCCCCGCACAGTGTGAACAGGGGCGTGCTATGGAGCTGGGATACTATCCAGGACCGAACGGTTTCGATGCCTCTCAAATCCCTGAAGAAGCACGAGTAGCCGATACGGTCTTTGCACAGGTCAAGTACCGTCCTCGATCTATCAACATGATTAGCTGTCGCTACGTCCGTAACGAAGCCGGGGAGCCTCGATTTGAGATCACGGAAGACATCTGTGATCTTTTCACTGGCGAGGATCAGTCCAGCACGACCTACGACATCGCGACGCCACAGTCATGCCAGCAAGGAATGCCACACTCGACTGCCACACTTGTTAGAATATCCCCAGAATCGGGCAGTATTGACGGCGCGAGGACCGAAAATACTTGCCCATCATCGTCAGACAACATCGAGGGTGTCTTGGTACCCCTGATACCTCCCAAAGGGCAACCCTCTTCCTCGGCATCCCCCTCTTCGGCCTCCTCAGCTCCATCAGCACCCGCGAACATCCATCCAGTCTTCTCCTTGGGCAAGGACTCCAAATACTCCTCTTGGAAATCATACCCTCCACGGGTGTCCACGGCCAACTACTCTCGGTCCCCCGGTTTGATCGAGGACAAGAGACTGATGAGGATTCCCGCTGGCACGCTACCGGATGAGTGTTCGCGCACCGAGAGCACTTTGCAGCCTGTTGTGCCGCGAACACAGAGGGGTACGTCCGGTGGGAAGCCTTCGAAAGTTCCTATTATGCATTGTCCTTGAGTGATTGGGGGAAGGAATTTACTCCGCTCTGATTGTGGATCATTGAAGATGGTGCGGACCTGTCACTGGATAGGGAGCGCTGTAATCCGTCGGGTTCTTGGGACAGTTTCTGCTCGGTTCCATGTCGTCCTCGCCGTTGGCATTGTTCGATGGCACCGCTACGACTAGCTCCGTTGGAGCCTGTTCGCCATTGGGGGAATCATAGGATAGCATGATAGACTGAGCAGCGGAAATGCCACTCGCTGAAGTGTGCGATCAGCGCTTGCTGAAGAAGAATGATCGAATTGGCATTGAAGAAACACGCCAGGGCTATGACTTTGGCACAGAAGTGCCCTCGACTGAGGATCCTGCTGAGCGAAGACCTGGCGATGAGAGAAAGGGCATCCTATTCAATATGGTCTCTCGCAGGCAAGATCAGTTATGTTCTTTGGCATGTGAAAGCGCAAGCGCGGCCCACTGGCGGCTTGGCAATTCCGCGACTACCTAAGAATCTCGAAGAAGCAAACAACTCCTTCACCACTCAGACATCTCCATCTATTACATGATGCACAGCTGAGGTGAGCACACTGCCTTCATCCGTCATCATCGCGTTGACATCCGTGCTCTTCTTAGATGGCTGCATCGGAGACATCGTCATCGCCAAACACGCACGAGATACACCGGCTCCAGCGCGAGCTCGACAATGCAAAATCGCCGCTGCTAAAGCTACCAGCTGAGATCCGTAATGAGATCTACGAGCTCTGCGTTCCACACGGCGAAGTCTTCGACACCGCAAGCGCGTTGACCACCCGCATCGAAGGAGTCGAAGAAGGCACCGCTTCATATGTGACGCCGATCCAAAGCCGCAACGCCTATGAACACCACTTTGGTATCACCCAAGCATGTCGTCAACTACGGAAGGCGACCATCAAGATGTGCTACAGTGGGAATATCTTCATGCTCCGCGTCGTCGAACCCCAAAACTACTCATACAAGAGTAATTATCCAGAAGCCGCAGCTCATCCAGCTGAGACCTGGCTGAAAACTCGATCCCTCGAAGCTCGTCAGGCCCTCTCGCAGGTCATCCTGCAATATAGGGGCGTATACGACTACTATCAAGGCATGGACATGGTTCTCTTCGAGCCGAGCTTGGAGAGCTACAGGCTCATTTCAGTGGCCGATGTGGGTATATTTGAAGGATGGCATGCTTCGGGTGAGCCCCATCTCGCGAATTATCAACGATGCTACGAGGAACAGAGGATCGAGCACGATTTCGAGGACGTGCTCAGGAAGGCAAAGGAGGGAGATATGACTGCGAGGAGACACGGTACTAAGCTGCTCAAGCTCATTGATGCCTTTCGGGATGAGATGCGGGGGCCGGCATGGGAATAGCGGTCGCTAGAACCATATGGACACCGAGGTCAGCTGGCTTTGCAAGCTTTGATATCCCACGAGACAAGATACTGCGTGCGCATGCTCCGTCTCATGTCTCAAGCGCATTGATGAGACGACTTGCATATGACCTGGCATCAGGCTGCTCAAGCACATTGAGGTCTTTTCCAGAGGGTTTATTGGGTGATGGAGGATGATAGTGGCATAAGTACTCGCGGCGCGGGAATGACACTCGCAACAGGTGGTGTGCTGGTCCTGTCGGCCGATGAGTTTCCATATGCCACGATACATGACATGACCTGCCACTACTCTCTGTTGTAACTAAATCATCTGCAACGACTGGCAGCTGTGCGGCGAGCGAGTAAGTCTGTTCAAGGTCAATGCCCACGTGACGCCCATGCTTTCCGTGACATGTGAAAGCGCAAGCGCGGGTCACTAGTGGCTTGGCATTCGTGCGACTGCCTTAACTGAACTTGACTTCGCTTCAGCTTCAAAACGCAAACACCAACCCCATCGAGAGCCGCCTTCAACCAACACAGATCTCGTCACACATTGGGTAGCAACCACAGCAACGGTATATGACCACATCTTCGCACAGCGCCGATTCAGATCACTAACTGGACTTCACCAGATGGCGCGCAGCCCGCGCTTCAGCCAGCGACAGCAAAAACAGCGCGAAGATTCCAAACATTACTCGCGGCTCCTCATACTACCTCCAGAGCTTCGCAACAGGATTTTCGCCTTTGCCCTACCATCATCACAGTCCTTCATCACCGGTTTCGAAGATGGACGCCTCGACCTCGGGGGTGATATTGCCACTTTCAAGACGATATGCGAAGCAAGCGCCTACGAGCAAGAGTTTGGCCTCACGCAGGTCTGTCGTCAGATCCGCAGGGAAACACTCAAGATGGCCTACGCAGCCAACACCTTTTGGTTGGATGCGCATCCACGTTGCGGGATGCCATATGCGGAGGCTTGGATTCGCAGCCGACCGAAAGAAGTATTGCCATTCATCACGAAAGTCGTTCTTGAGAGTCCTCGCACATACTGCGATTGCGCTTGTTTGTCTCGTTCGACCAAGGGGTCTTTCGACTTCGATTCTGGACGTGTACAGACCGCCAAAGTCGGACGCGGTTTTTGTGGTGGATGCTGGTCTGCCATTGCGGATCGGGTCGCCGAGGGACATGTCAGGACGATGGAGCGTGTCATCAAATATTCGAATGCGACGCGGAGGTTATTTGACTTGGTCGAAGAGTTTCGTTGGCGCACGAGCCAAAACTTTGACACACTGCAGAAGATTATGGGAGATTCGTAGCGGCTGTCCTCATATTCGATCGTCAACAGCAACAGGGAATTGTTGGCGCTCATTGCAGAAGCCCGCAGACTCTTTCACATTCGAGCATGAAGGGATGTGGTAACTTCGCGTCTTTTTGGACGTATGATACGGGGTGGCGAACGGAGGATTGCACTCTCGTGTTGTCGCAGATCCGAGCTGAGAGTTGAGCACAGGGAGCAACATGGTTGATAATGGGAAGTCGCTCAGATGAAAAGCGGTGGCCTTCACAAGATTCAACGGGTGGCAAAGCATGCAGATTCTGTAGAAAGGCCTTCGTACATCTAAAGCGTTTGCGAAATCCCTTCAGCGATTTAATGTCCGTGCTCTTGCGTCATGTGAAAGTGCTGCCCTAGCGGCTTGGCGTTACGTGCGACTGCCTACAAAACCCACCCCTCGAACTTCGACGCAACCTCAGCTTGACAAACAACACGAGCGGCACCGCCACGCACACCTTCGAGATACGCAAACTCGCTCTCGTCGGGGACGCCCACCAAGCGACTCAAGGATCAAATCACCAACTCGTCTTTCAAAGATGGGCCGCTCATCACAATCCCTCGACCGCAAGCGCACCAAACTCCTCAACTGGGAGCGCCGCCAGCGATCACTCGACAACCAAAACACACCCCTCCTCATCCTAGCCCCAGAACTACGCAACAAAATCTTCGCCCTGGCGCTTCCCTCCGGCCAATTCTTCAACACGACCTTCAAACACGACTTCAAGTCCTGCGACGGCCAAGAGCGATCGGTCAAACTCCTCCGCACTGCTGTTCAGTATAAGCGCGAGTTTGGGCTCACTCAGGTCTGTCGCCAGATTCGAGGGGAGACGATTAGGGTCGTCTACTCGGTCAATACGTTCGCTCTTGGCGTGCAGCCGCGAGACGTGCGAGTGAGAGCGGAGCGGTGGATTGAGTCGAGGCCGGAGGAGGTGCTGTCTGTGATTCAGAGAGTTGTCCTTCAGCGCAAGGAGCCCTACAAGTGGGATGGTGACGGCGACGGCGACACTTCGATGCACTGTATGCTCTTCGACTTCGTCGAGAAGAAGGCCTGGACGATCTCGGACGACCGCGCCTACACCCTACATCTCGCGGCGGGCTTCGAGCGCAATACGTTCTCTCATTTCGTGGACCCGAAGAGCTGGTCTGCTGGTTCTCCACGTCTTCGGCTGCTGCAACTCTGCCACGACTTCCGCCGAGGCTGGAGGTTTCCTTGATGGTGATGATGTAAGTCTGTTGGGAAGAGCTGGAGACGGGATACTTCAAACAGCCTGAGTGAATACGGCGAACACTGGAGAGGCTTTTACAGGAGTGCATATCTGGTCGCGGGAACTCCAATGTGGCACAAAGCATGCATACCCAATAGGTAGTTTCTTCTATACCACCAGGTTTTTGCGAGTTCACTTTTCCGTTCACTCTAGCGCCTTTGATGTTCACGTTACGTGAACGAGCAAGCAGCAAGCAGCATGCACTAGCAGCTCAGCATCTTTCGCGGATGTCTTTATCTGCCACTGTTCAAACCCCAAATCCACCTCACCAACGCAGCCACATCTTCCAAGACATCATGACTTCGCAAGACGACTCGACTCAATCATCCAAGGTATGCAATCTTGCTCTTACGGACGTCTGTGAAAGGAATTGAGTATCAAGTCACTGACTCGTTCCCAAAGATGGACCTCGCAGACCTCACAACTCACCCCCAAGAGATGCAGCGCCAGCAGCACGAGCACGACAACAAGAACACAACCCTCTTGAGACTGTCGGCAGAGCTGCGCAACAAGGTCTTCGCCCTCGCTCTGCCCGCGGACCAAATCTTCACGACATGCCAGAATGCCCATGAGCTCATGTTGAACGGTAAAGTACAAGGAAGCTCAATAGTTTCTGATGCCGAGTCATACCAAGACAACTTCAGTATCACCCAAGTGTGCCGCCAGATCCGCGCCGAGACTTTGAAGGTCGCTTATGCCTCCAATACGTTTGTGCTCGGCATCCATGAGCATGCACGGAGGAATGACGCAGAGCGATGGGTCGAGAGTCGGCCATCTGAAGCGCTGGAGTCGATCTCCAAGGTTATCGTACACTCCGGAAGTAATGATTGGTGGTATGGATGTCAAGAGTCCAATGTCGTTTTCGACCTCGAATCGGGCGTTGCTAAATTGCTTGAAAATGGCTGCGACTGGTGCGATGAAAGCGTAGAGAGCTGGGGCGAGGAGACCGGCGATGTCGTGGCTCAGGCTCTAGACGGATTGACGTCGCCGAAGGAGAAGCTCATGAAGTTCTTCGAGGTACTTCGAGTTGTATTGCCACCGCGTGACAGTGACAGGGACTGGGCATTCGAGGACGATTATGTGCACGTCGCTGAGCGGCAGCAGGAGTAGGTGGCCGGACATGTCCAGTAGAGATGCAGCAGGCATTCAGCATCCCATGGTTAGTTTGACGACCTCAATCAAGGCATCTCAAAAACCTCCGTCCGATCCTCAATCGTCCTCAACATCGGCGCCAGCTTATTCGCATCTCGGAACGCCTCGGGCACATTCTCCCTCATCCCTCTCAACTTCTCTTGCACCACCTCATACTCCTCCTCCTTCGCCGTATACTGCCTGATGACCTTCTTCTCCGCATGCTCCACATACACCCTCGTGTCTCGTATCCTGATCACCACCCCATCCAGTCTCAGGAAGAACCGACTCAGCAATAACAGTCTCTCTGGCATCATTCTGACTTTGATATTCAACAGCGCGATCCCGTTGTCTGCCAGCTCATCTTCGTACAAATCTACTGCATCGAAGAACTGAATCGGATCTTGTCGGGCCAGCAAATCTGTCCGCACGACCTCCCTCTCCCCCACCGCATCTCTCCATTCTCCACCTTTCTCCGCATGCGTAGTGCCCCGATAATCTGTGCTATAACTCCAATCAAACGGTTTCACCACCTGCTTGACCTCCTCTTGATGCGCGCGTTCCTTCTTCCACTCCTCCGCGACGGCAACCTGTAACATTCCCTGCTCGGTTTTGCTAACGCGATCAAGCGCATCTCGGGCGTTGAACTCGAGCGTCCACTGCGAGGGAATATGTGTTACGGAGACGAAGTTGTCGCCGAAGATCATCTCGGGGATGGGGATGCCGATGTCGTTGGAGAGGGCTTCGATGGGATCTGCTTTGAGGATGGGCAGTTTGCGGGTGGTGATGCGCCAGGCGCCGTTGGGGCTGGTGTGTGTTGAGATGCCCGTGGTGCCCGCCATGGTTGTGGATGAAGACGGTTCTTGGGTTTGTGACTTCTCGACTCTGACGTTCATGTCCTGATCATTTTGGTGGGGCAGCTCGATGAAGTCGGCGTTGCCAGCCAAAATGCCGACGTAGCAACGGTTGCTAGGGGACTGTTTTCCTGGCTTCACCCCATCTCGACTTTCGACCTCTCAGCACCGAACAAGAGAAGCCACGACCGTCTACTTTCTACCTCACCGTCGCTTGAAAGAAGTAGATATACAATCTACATTCATTCAAAGCAGACGCCATGGCCGACATTCAAAATCTCGAGCAACGCTTCGAAAGCATCACGGTCCAAGATGAGAACCAGGACAGCAATGCACCATACCAGCACAAGCCAAAGGTATACCTCTTCGACACACCTTCACATGATCACACACTGACACTCTTCACAGGGCTCCCTCAGTCAAGCCATCTCCCTCTCCAATCTCGGCACAGCAGCAGCCCAAAGCCGCATGAAACTCCCTCTCCAAAAACTCCCCGCCAACGCCGCAGGCAAACCAACACAAACGACCCTCTCAACAACCATCACAAAGATCACCCTCCCCTCCCAAGCCGCCCAACGCCCCTCCGCCGAATCCCGCCCCTCCGACCCCGACCCCCTCAGCCAACCCACCGACAACCCCAAACCCAAGCCCAAAAACTGGCACCTAGGCATGTTCGAAATCGGCAAACCGCTAGGAAAAGGAAAATTCGGCCGCGTCTACCTCGCCCGCGAACGCAGCACAGGCTTCGTGTGCGCGCTCAAAGTCCTGCACAAATCCGAGATCCAACAAGGAAAAGTCGAAAAACAAGTCCGTCGCGAGATCGAGATCCAATCGAACCTCGCCCACACAAACATCTTGCGGTTATATGGCCACTTCCACGACACCAAGCGCATCTTCCTCATCATCGAGTTCGCACGCCAGGGCGAGCTGTACAAGCACCTCCGCAAGGCCGGCCGCTTCCCCGAGTGGCAGGCCGCGCAGTACATCGCGCAGATGGCGAGCGCGCTGAAGTACATGCACAAGAAACACGTCATGCATCGCGATATCAAGCCCGAAAACATCCTCGTGGGCTTGCACGGCGAGATCAAGATTTCGGATTTCGGATGGAGTGTCCATGCGCCGAATAACCGTCGCAATACCATGTGCGGCACCCTCGACTACCTCCCTCCGGAGATGATCAAACCCGGGCGGGAGGAGAACTGGTACAGCGAAAAGGTCGATTTGTGGAGCTTAGGCGTCCTGACATACGAGTTTCTTGTCGGCGAGGCACCCTTCGAGGACACGCCCGTCATGACGCAGCGACGGATCGCGAGGGGCGAGATGACGATCCCGCCGTTTGTGAGCGCCGAGGCGAGGGATTTGATCAAGAGGTTGTTGGTGTTGGATCCGGACAAGAGGTTGAGTTTGGAGGAGGTCGAGGTGCATCCTTGGATTATCAAGCATTGTGTCAAGGGGGAGAGGCATTATCAGAGGACGAGTGGTGGGGAGGGGAAGAAGGAGAAGGTTGTGCAGTGATGGATGATGGGATGACGATTTCGTATTTTCCGTTGTTTGAATGGATGGGATGGCGTAAACATGATGGGATGATGGAATGGGATAGCATTGGGATGCTCTGGAGTTGAAAATCGGTTTTGCTCGTATCGTACATGCTCTGTACACGCATGAAAGTCACGCTTTGCAATATGAACATCATGCCTCTTCTCTTCATACAAGTCTTTTCATCCCCCTTCTCACACCAGTAGTATTCCACATACAGCGCTCTTGGGTATCATATCCACATTCCTCACTCCCCCCTCTTCCCTACTCCTCTCTTCCTAACGCTCTCCCCTCTCCTCCCCACCCCATCCTCATTCTCACTTATAAATCTCATCAAAAGGCCTCGTATCCCCAAAACAGCTCCCCCAAACCTCATTCACAACCCTCACAGCCTGCACATCATCCCGACACGCCGGCCGCGCCGCCACACTCAGCGCCGCCCGTCTCCTCACACATTCCTGCAACTGCTGCGTCAAATTCCACTGGCCCCGCGTGAAAAACTCCCTGCTAAACCGACACTCCCCACTGAGCATACTCGCCCGAATCTCCATACACGCCGCATGCCGCAGATCCAAAGGATCCAGCTTGAACCGCAGATGGTCGTATGCATGCACCATCTCGTGCGCGAGGGTGTCTTCCAGATGTCCGCGGTTGCGGAACTGGTTCGCGCAGAGCAGAATCCCATGCTCGCTCGAGAAGCCTCCCGATTGATTCGTGTCGCATTTCCGACACCGCACGTTGTGGGGGCCGATGGAGGCGGCGCCGGTGGGAGGGGTGAGGAGGTCGATGTTGTGTTTTAAGAAGGTTATGAGGGGGGAGGCTTGGAAGAGGTAGGCGACGTCTTCGGTGCAGCGTTTGCAGTCTCTTTCTTCGTTGAGGGTGTCGCGTTCGGCGAAGTAGGCGGTTTGGAGGGGCGGGGGCGCGGTGCCGGTTAGGACGCTGAAGAAGTTGGACCAGGTTAGGTAGGTTGGGTTTGTTGCTGCTGGATTGGAGGGTGTTGATGTTGGGGACGGTTGGGTGGGTTGGGAGGATTGTGAGGGGTTCGCCATGGTTTTCGAAGTCCTGTGGTTGGGATCGAACGGGGCTGAGGGATAAATGAGAGGGTAGTGGCGAGTTGTGGAAGAAGATAGAGATGTTGAAGTTCAATCGAAGTTCAATGGATTCACTTCACAAACGGCTAGCATCGGGTCGGGAACAGCCGAGACCCACCCATTCAATCGACTTCACCTGACAAACCTTCACATGCATATAGAATGGGAACATGATGACAGGTAAAGTTGATGCTCCAACAACACAAGTTTTCTCATATCTATGTACACACAAAAAAGGTTGATGAAACCCAGCAGTCGCTCCAATAGGAGCAGTAGCAGGGCGAGACCACAAAATCAGTCTCTCATCGAGCCACAATCCCCAAGTACAAAACAAGAAGTGGGGGGAGGTATCCAAGTTGGCTCGGCATGGATGGACAAAAAGGTTTTCCTGCAAACTGATGAAAAACGGGTGGGTCTGACTGACCGACCAAGAATGCTTCCTCCCTTCACTCTTTCCTTCTTTCCTTCTTTCCGTCTCTCATGGGGTGGTGGTTTCACAACAAGCTCAACAAAACTCAAAACAATCAACATCGAGGCGTCAAGAGTCATCACTGCATGCGAGATTCATCATTCAGGATGCTCAATTCCATCCTAAACTGTTCTCTGCCATGACAGGTGCGCTGATGCCTTGTTCTCGCACGCTGCGGCCATTGCTACTGCCAGCGCTGTTTCTGCTTCCACGGCCGCCGCTTCCGCTACCACTGCCACTGCCACGAGCTCCGCCAGTGCCGCGGGTCGTACCGGATCCACGAATGCCATTGGCGCCAGACATGAAGTAACCACCCATACCACCGCCTGAAAGCGTAGCAGGAGATCGTTGGCTCATTTCGCCTGGCGTCTGGAGGGAAGGCGCCCGTTTGTGGGACTGTCTCTTCTTGCGGTAACGACGAGCAACGTAGACCATTGCAGCAGCGTACAGAGCAGCACCCGCGCAAGCACCAAGACCGATTCCGACCGATGATGACTTGACCGATTGCGAGCTTCCTGAGTCGCCACCAATCGGTGCACCATCTCCATGCTTCCCAGATGATGTAGCTTGAGGGTTGTACGATGCTGACGTTTCGGTGCCGTCGTCCATATTGGCCCCTGGAAGGATTGGGATGGTCGGGTTGATCATAGACATCAGCATTTTCACAGACTGATCAGGGTTGTTGTAAGCATCCGACAAGGGAACGTGAAGGTCCAACTGGAGCTGGTCAACCAAGTCCGCTGGAACGTAGGCCTGGGCAAGAGTCGTGATGTAGTTCATCGTCTTGGTCGTGTCGAATGGCATCAATGCGTTCATCTTGATTTTGTCATGTGTGACCCCCAATGTGTACGCAATGCCTTGAGGAAGATACGCGAAGATCTGACTTGCGGAGTTCTCAGTGCTGACAACGAAGGGGAAATTGAGGCCGTAGTTGAAGCCCACTTGGATGAGAGTCGTGTTTGCTGGTGCTTGAGGCATGCCACCCGGCGGCTGGACGAGTCGAGGCATGTAGGTGGGCAGGCCGGCTGACGCACTCGAGGTGGAGCTGTCGACAGGCATGTTACTACCCGACTCAGTAACGGTGGGGCTGGGAGTAGTCGTTGGCGCATAGACGAGTGATGTTGGAACAGCCAGGACTGTGGCAGAATCACTACCAGTCGGTACGATCGAGGTCGGGGGTCTGGATGTCGTGGACTGTGCAGCCGTCGGGACAGATGTGGACGTGGTGCTAACCTCAACACTCGTCGATGATGGCTGAGTGACGATGGCGGCGGTGGAGGATTCATTGGTGGAGGTGGAGGATTCGATGGTTGAAGAGTAACCGGACGACGTTGCCGAGAAGCTGGTAACAGATGCATGAGTTCCCGTAGCAGTAATCGAACTGTTCGACGAGCTGATGGAAGCTGTCTCACTGCTGCTTGAGCTCGACCCCAAAGTGAGCGTTGCACCTGTTGTGAGGGGGATCGAAGTTGAGTAAGCCGTGCCAGTAGACGCAGTTGGCAGCGAGGACGTCTCATTCGTAGCCGTCACAGAGGCGGTCAGGGAAGTTTCAAGCGATGAGGCGCTTGTCGATTGCGAGTCTTCCGACTTTGAAGTAGACGACTGAGAAGAAGCGGTCGTGACTGGTATGGGTACCACGGTGACCCCGCTACTGCCGGTGGACGTGCTCAATGTGTAAGATCCAGTGGATGTGCCGGTGCCAATGATCGATTCCGCCGTTCCTGTCGTGGTGGCGCTGGCACTTGGAGGAGTCGTGGAGATCTGCGAGGCGAGCGACGACGCTGCGCTGGACAGGATACCAGAAAACTCAGAGGCCAAGGAGCTCGAGACTCTCGAGTCAGTCGCGGTAGCGACAATGCTAGAAAGCTCAGAACTGAGAGACGATGCAATGTTCGACAGCGCAGCAGAGGCGTCTGTGGTAGTTGATGGAGCGGAGCCTGTTGTGTTGGCAGAGGCTTCGGAGAGCACGGAGGATGCGACACTAGAGATCTCTGATGCCACAGACGACACAACACTGCTCAGGTTCTCACTGGTGCTTGCGGTTGGTCTCGAGGTGATGGGCGCTGTGCCAGTACCCGAGTAGGCGGTTGTTGAACCGGTGCTTTCCCCTGTTCCGGTCGATGACCCTGACCCAGTGGGTAGAATGCCCCCCAAAAGACCATCAGAGCTCGACGTCTGAGAAGGTGCAGTTGAAGTCGAGTTCTGAGTGGGGAGAATGCCACCGAGGAGACCGTCATTCGAGCTGGATCGACTACCAGTTCCTGTAGCTTGCGTGTAGCTTTCCGACGACACGTCAACAGTGGGTCGCGGAGTCTCACTCGAGCTGGAGGGGGTGGTGTTGCGGATGGTCGAGCTCTCGATGATTGTGGACAGGCCAACGATGATGGGTGCGGTGGTGCTTGAAGGCTGCGAAGCCGTGCTTGATGTCCCATTCTCAGCTGTGCTACTCCTGGCGGTTGGCGGCACAACAGTCTCAGGAATGCCGCTGCCGGACATGGTATCAGAACCTGGCAGAGGTCGCAGTGGATTGAAGACCGGGCGAGAGCTGGAAGACTGTGATTCGGACGATCGAGTAGGTTGCACGCTTTCTTGGGAAACACCTCCAGTGGAACCAACATAGCTTGAACTCGAGCTTGCGGAGGTCGACGACGGCGTTGGAGTTGCCGTTACCAACGGCAAGAGGCCAGTGGACCCAAAGATTGGGTTGAAAGTGGGCGAGCTGCTGGAGGACGTCTCACTTGAAGTACGTGATGTAGGAGTGACTATGACCGCGGGTATGCTGCCTGTTGACGCCACTTTGGGATTGAACTGCGGTCGGGTGCTTGAAGTGGAACTGCTTTCCTCCTCTGCACTCTCTTCGGAATTCGTGGTCGATGACAGACTTGGTAGCGCTGATCTGCTGCTGATGTTCGAATCAACAGAAGCGCCGGTATACGGTTCCGTGGAATTCTTTGGAAGGCCAGGTATTTGTTGCTCTGCGGAGGTGGAACTCGAGCTCGAACTTTGCGAAGATTTAGACCCGGACGCATCTTCATTCGTGGAGCTGGACGTGCGAGACGCCGTTGGTTGGACTTCCTCTGATGGTCGTCCGGAATATGAGGCTGCGCTTGACGAAGTAGTCGAATACACGCTTGTCGACGTGGTCAGGACCGAGCTGGAGCTGGTCGCAGAAACGGTCGTCGAGCTATTCGTCGATGGAATGAACGACGTGGGAGGTATCGATGAAGAACTCGTACTACTCGGACTTTGAAACGAGTCGAAGAGACTTTCAAAGGCGGACTCGGGATTGAATTGTGGTGACGCTCCGGGAAAGCCTTCTCCAGAATCTGAACTCAAAGGTGACGAGTATGATGAAACGCTGTCGGATGTTGACGATGAGCCCTGTGTCAGTCCTGTTATGTTCGGGTATTGCCTCTTGATATGCCGTGGAAAGTAGTACTTTGGTCGTTCGGGTTCCTGTTGAGGTCGAGCGGGCGCAGCCTCCGCCGTGGTAAAAGGGCCTCGCATAGACATGACGGCCAATGCGGCGGCCCATGCTGATGTTGTGGTCTTCATAGTGAGTGATTAATATGTGCGATCGGAAAATGCGAATGAAGAAAGATGTGTGGTCTGTTGACTGGAGTCAGTCGGTCGCTCCTTCCAATCGTGTGAACGCGCCACGTACCGTCTGATAGTTGGGTATAAACGAGTGTACGTGACGAATGTCACTAGGCCAAGCGCTTGCTAACGGACAAAATAGGCCAAGAGTGCAGTGTTACGGCAAAAGCCTATAACATCCTATCCGCGTGCCTTTTTGAATATCGCTGAAAATGAGTGTCGGTAGTTGGGATAGCGAGCGCGCAACGGCAAGAAGCCCAACAGAAGGTCGAAGTGCCGGTCAAGCGCAGTGCTACCCTGTGTTGACCGGTATGATTTGCAATTTCGACGAGGCAAAGAGCCGCACGTGGAGGGGCTATTTCGACAGACAAAGACGGCTTCTTTGACGGTGATATTGCAGGTCGACGAGTGGAACCAGCCCAATGGCTCGCCGTGGGGTTCTTTGAGCGTATGAGCAGGTGTCTTGCGGCTGACCAGCTCGTGGCTTGGCGACGTCTCGTCTTCAATGCAGCGCGTCTTTGATGGTGGATGAGACGGCGTTTCCAGCGGGTATCGTAACAAAAAGCAGGCGGATATTACAAGGCCGTAAGTCGGGAAAGTCGTAAGGAAGAGCAGGCGGAAGTTGTTTGTTCAAGCGAGTGTGGTGTCTTCACTAGGAAGCGCAAGGGCGAGGAAAGGGGGTGCCGGCGGCGTGTCGCAGCGGTGAGCGGGAGGGGTGGTCGGCGGGAGGGGGAGTCGTCGACGGCGGCGGTGTTGAGAGGATACTGCGGTCGAGCGTTGCGCAGTATGGCCAGTCGCGAGGTGTCGTCCACGGTCGGCGCGGTGGTGAGGAGAGGGCAGCGTTGGTGGTGGTGGGATCGTGTCCAGCGCCCAAGTCCTCGCGGCCTGCCTTGCCCTGCACAGACTCGCTCGTCAGATTGGATGTGGCTTCGCGTTTCCGTCGGACCCACCCGCCTTAACCTAGAAGGGACCGCTAGCGTATCGGAGCACACAAATAACCATTAGCCTCTGCGCCTGCATCACAGTGGAAGCTCCAGTAGTCTGCTTGCAACTCCATCCACTTGCAGCACCGTCGACCGCAGCAACATCAACAACAATCGTCTCGACAGCCTCTTCACCCACGAAAGCAGAGCACACTGAGTTTTCGACGACTAAAGTGTGGTGAAATTGCAGGCGAATCTGGACCTGCCGATCGGACCAGGGCCTGCGCGCCCACGTTGTTTCGTCGCCGAAGCGAAAACCGCTCGTCAGGTGGGACGAGGAAACAGCCGGCCAGGAACACTCTTGATCGCTCGCTGTGCTCGTGTCGCCGCCGCCGGACGCTAGACTGCTTGCAGACGCCTTTTTGCTCATCTCGCCTCGCCAGCCACTCACTGCTCAATCCGCGGTTTACGATATCCTCCGGCCCGTCCACAACGGCAGGGATTCAAATTAGAGTTGAAGTGAAGGAGGCTCGGCAAGAACGGCCATCCCCACCCTCGCACAGCCTCACCACACGCCCACTCGTTTCGCAGAGAAAGAGAAGCGTTCGTCGGCTGGGTCCGTACGTTTCACGATCGTGGGCCACGGACAAATCCTCGAGGCATCGCACATCGTCATCAGCAGGAAAAGCCTGACGACGACGACAACACCTCATTCGCGGCGGCGACTACACGATTGTTGCGATCATGTCGCGTCGCGGGAGTGAGCACGCTGTGGTTATTCTTATACTCAGACGTCCCTGACGCGTCAGCCCGCCTGCAGCCACATCCACCTCCACGTTCTCTTTACAGAAGACGCTCAATATTCCTGCATATTATCAACTCTGCCTCCAGCTGTCACCACGACGCCTCATATCGGCGCGAACAGCGCTGGAAAACAGCCATTGTCGCACTTGGATTCCCATCTTGATTCATGCTGTTTGTCGTGGAATGCAACTGGCCGGTCCTGCTCTCCTCGTCGAAACCATGGAATGGACTCAGGAGTACTGCAATCAATTGACGAGGTCAGAAACGACCGACACCAGATCACCGCACATGCATCTCGCGTACCAGAAGAGGCTACCAGCGACACCTCGGTCAGCGGCCACATCACCTTCATCTGATTAATTCCCCGCGCAAGAGATCAACACTGCAAGAAACCATCGCGCAATCCAGCACGCGAAAAAAACGAACAAAGTACCGACTCATTGACACGCATGCTCTGCTGAATCGCACAATCCCACCGAGGTACGCACGTCTCGTCTCACAAGCCAGCCCAGCGCGACGGACTTCGCATCGACTCAGGCACCACGCACGGCTACGCTTCGGACTTGGGCACGCATACTGTATTTGAACGAAACGGCTCCTCTCAACATCCGTAGCTACAGCTCCATCGTGCTTGGCCCTTTGGTAGCCGTACTCGATGTGATTACCCGTGGTTGCAGCGCTGCGTACGTCTCGTCCGGCTACTTGCGTCCGACAAAGCCGCTGTGTGAGACAATGGAAGCCATTCTTTTTCTTCTTTCCCGGCGTGGCACTGAATACGAGCCATGCTGCTGTAAGGGGAACAGTGCAGGTGAGATGAGGTAAATCCTTCTAGTGCCATTTCCTTTGCCTTTTTGTTTGTGGAGGTTTTGCTTCGGGGTCTTGCTGTCTTGTCAGTCTAGAGGCTATCTACCATCGACCAAGGGGAAAGTATCTTCACTCGACAAAGTTCATTCATATGACCTTACATACAATTCCCACCAATCTCAAGTTATGTTGCTCTTGGACTAAACAATCTCTTCGATTCAATAGCCTGAATCGTTGTTCAAAGGCAGTACCACAGCTCACCTTCTTTGACTCATTACACTCAGATCCATCCAGTATGTGGAGTAAGTAACATTCCTTGTTAACGGGACAACAACCTCGAACCCTAAGAAGTTCCTTAAGTTGGTGATATCCTAGGACCATTTGGAAAGGTTCTATCGCTCCTAGTCTTCATCTCCAAGAGATATATCACGATGCCCTCCCCATTCTACTACGAGTAGCACATCCATCTCCACTAATTACGAGCCGTCCAAGCGATCCAAAGCACGATTAAAAAGATTGATCGCGTTCGTGTAATCGAGAAAAAGAAGCACAGTGCTGTGCGATTCCACCTTCAAACTAATAATGTATCGATGGAGGACCTCCGCGTAATAGACCCACTCTAGTCACTCACGAATGAGCAGTATTCATGACGAGTCTTCTGGTATAGGAAAATCTTCTATCGACAGGAAGATGTAGAGGCTCGGTGGCTCGAAAGAAGAGAGATATTAGTATGCCTAACGTTTCTTCCAGCCTCGACTCGAGAGTGTATGGTTCTAGGATTCACTCCTCTTTGTTGATTCAAAGGAGGCCTTTAAGAATTGTGTCCTGCTCAGAGTGCAACTAATGCTTAGATCTGTCCTGTCGCGAGTTCACCAAAGAAGAACTATGCTTCTGGTTGTCCTTCGGGCCAGTCAGACTCCTTGTGAGTGATGGAGATGGGGATGAATCGTTCTTCCACTTTGCCTTTGAGCGGGAGTCCTGAGAACATGTGCTGTAGACGACGAAGTCTTTCTTGAGCGCGTGTCATTGCATTAGTACGCTGATCAAAGGGGTCCTCTCCCATTTACTTGCATCGACGCAAGAATGTTCCCGACTTGAGAAGCTCAGGGAGCAATATGAGAAAATCTTTCGAACCTTTCATGGTCATTACATACGCACACCCTCTATCCCTTCTCATCAAAACACAATCTATCCATCCGGCCGTCGAGCATGATGTTCTTCCTGTCCATGACTTGAGTATCATCTTTGATCTAACCCAGAACTCCACGCTGAAAAATGTCATCAAAATTTCTATCCCAAATTTTCCCCTGAGCATACTCAGTCTGGACAATCTTCCTCGCAGTCGGTTCAGCAAATAAAAGGAGTGGCAAGACCATACTGGGCCTGTGGGAACGAGCGAATGTGCTGCGAACGTCGGTGTAGCCACTCCATCCTCTTCTTCATCGTATGTCGATAGATTACTTTTCGGCCTTCTTGCTGGCTTTGGTTCGCAATTTCCTGTGGCACATCATGGTCAGCACAATTCTCTCATCACAAAAGGGAGGATAGGAGACTTACATCAACGCATACACACACCCATAAGAAGAAATCGCAAACAACACCACAATCGCCGCATCCCTCCACCCAAAATAATAATCCTCCAAATTCAACGTGTACAGATAATCCGCACCCGTGCGGTACTGACACACCTCACAGCCGCCGCTCGCGTCCGGGTTGAGCAGGTTCGTGCGGGCCCCCAGCCCGGTCATGTACGAGGCCAGATACTCGCCGCAGGTCTGGTTGCCGGGGGTGTCGAAGATGGCGAGCTCGGAGCGCGTGCAGGTGACGTCGACGTCGAAGGTCGTGAAGACGAGTATGCTGCCCATGAGGTAGTTAAAGGGGTTGAGGTAGTAGAGCCAGTAGCGCCAGAAGGCTTGGATTTGGGCGTAGGGGACCAGGACGCCGCAGAAGGAGGACAACACCGAGATGAAAAGCGGGTTTGCGAGTGCTGCGAACACTGCATTGGGCGCGTAGGCGGCAATCGCCTGACCGATGCCTGTGTAGATGAACTCGTAGAAGAGCATAACGAAGAAAACGGCCCCGGCTTTGTTGGAGTCGCCTGGGAAGCCGACCGTATAGTACCACGTGACGAAGTACAGAACCGCGCAGATGACCAGATAAGGGATTTCGGAGACGATCAATCCTGTCGCGAAGGATGCCCAGTGGTACATTTTCGATTTCTTCTCGCGGGCTTCGTAGATGTCTCGGCGGTCGATGAAAAGGGGCTGGAGCTGGGCGAGGACGCCAGGGGCAACGAAGATGAAGTTGAAGATCGTAAACAGGCGCAGTTGAAGGTCTGCAACACTGTTTCCAATCATCCAGAACGTAAATCCGTTGAAGAGACCACTGCCAATGTGCAGGGCGAACTTGTTGTTGGCGTAGTCGGTGTTGCGGTAGAGGGAGATGTTATTGCGTTGCGTGACGAGCTTGATCTGCGTCCACAGGGAAGTCGCGAACTCGTGGCCGTCGTCGACAGTGCCAGGAGGCTTGGAGGCTGCATCGTCGATCAAATGGTCGAGCTCGGTCGTCATGGCGGAGTATTCAGGCGAAGAGAGCCAGACCTGATTCCAGTCTCTGCCTTTGCTGAGGGAACCGGAGACGACGTCAATCATGTGTTCGGCAGGGTTGGCGTTGGCAGGACATGGAGCATCGTAGCGGCCAAAGTACTCGCGGATCGTTTGGGCGTTGTCCCCAATGTCGCCGAAGTAGACCGTCTTTCCACCCTTTGCTAGGAGGAGCAGCGTATCGAATTGAGCGAATAGAGAGGCGGAAGGCTGATGGATAGTGACGAGAACAGCCTGACCAACGTCTGCAAGCTTTCGCAAAAAGCGGACGATGTTGAAGGCGGCTTGACCATCGAGACCGGAAGTAGGTTCGTCCAAGAAGATCAAGATGCTGGGCTTCGAAACGAGCTCAACTCCGATCGTCAAACGCTTCCTCTGCTCAACCGAAAGTCCAGCAGTAGTCGTCCCAATGAGAGTGTTCTCGATATCGTGCATTTCCAGAAGGTCAATGATGGTGTCGACGTACTTGAGCTTCTCTTCCCGTGGGATATCACGGCTTTGTCGAAGCAAGGCAGAGAACTCAAGTGCTTCACGGACAGTGGCCAGAGGCTCATGAACGTCAAGTTGCTCGCAGTATCCAGCAGACCGTTGGAACGAAACGGGCAGATCACGTCCATCGACCATGATGCTGCCCTTGATGGTGCCATCAGTCTTTCGCTGTGCCAGGACATCAAGAAGAGTAGTCTTTCCAGCACCACTTGAGCCCATCAAGGCACCCAGCATACCTGGCTTAACCCAGCCTTGCACGTTATCGAGGAGAACGCGGTCGCCAGAAGGAGTCTTGACAGTGTAAGTGAGGTTCTTCCAGGTAAAGACAGAGGTGTTGCGGATGAGCTGCGAGTCGACATTATTATTCTTCTCCTTCTCCTTCTCCGCATTGAAATCGATCGATCGAGTCTTCTCGCTCGACGCAGAAGAGGCAGCTGGCTGCGACTCCTCATCGCCGACGAGGTGCTTGACTTTCTTGGCTTTCTCGCGAGGGATGACGAGGAAGCCCGAGTTGCCTGAGATCATGCTCCAGCGAGATGTGAAAAAGATGGTGCCTGCAGCGAAGAGTGCCCACCAGGCGAAGATGATGCCAAAGTTGCGCCAGACGTGCGAGTGGCTGTAGGAAAGGCCTCTGAGGTAATCATCACCAGTCAGAGAAGCGGCACCGATCGGGGCGCCTCTGACACCAGTGCAAGCTTGGAAGCTTGTATCGTTGTAGCCCGGTCCATTCGGCACGAGGTTGTTGTTGACACAAGGGATGATCTGGTCGTGGAACTCGTTGCCCGCAAGAGCCTCGTACCCATACGCCAGGGGATCGATCCAGTAGATCCAGACAAACCAAGGATGCATATTTGGCTTGGGGATCATGTAACCAGTGTACATGATGAGGGCCGAAATCAAGAAGCCGGAAACTTTCGAGGCGTCGTCGAACGTAGGGAAGGCGGCTCCGATCATGCGGAAGCAGGCTGTCATACACATACTGACGGCGTAGCAGATGACCCAGAAGGTGAAGAAGGCGCTAGCAGTTCCTTTGAGGCCTGTCATCCAGTACGCAGGTACTGCGTAAAGAGTGACCTGAGCAAAGAGCAGAGGAATGTCGGCGCAAATCTGGGCAATGCAGAAAGCGGCCGGATGGTACAATGCGAATCCTCGATGCTTGGCCAAGACAGGGCGAGCACTGAAAGAGTTCGTGACTTCGGCCATGGAGAGGAGTGAGTTGTAGAGCATAGCAAAGAAGAGCGAGCCACCTTTGCTGAAGAGACCAGAGGAGTTGTCGGGCGCATTGTAGAAGAGCGATCCGACGATGATTGCTTGAACGACGGTCGAGCCTTGAGTGATGAAGAAAGTGGTCTTGTCACCCCAGAGGAGCTGATATTGTCGGATGACGGCGGCTTTGACTTGCGTGTAGAAGCTGACGGTGAGAGGCGACTTCTTGGGCAGGCTAGGGTGTTTCTCAGACTGTACGCTTTCCCGGAAGTCTTTCGTATATGCTTTGGCTTCGTCGGTCTCGGGGAAGTTGTACTCAGACTCCATCAAACTCTTGATATTTGTTCGCTCATAGTAGGCTCGGATGTCCTCGGCAGTGCGAGGGAAGCGGTCTTCGAAGCCAGGTCTGATCTTTCTCTCGGTTGGAACGGTGACACCAGTAAGGTAATCAGCGACATTGGCTCCGTCCGTGTACATGAAGCCGAGTTCCTCCATGAAAGGTTTTGCTTGCGGCATTGGACCGTAGAAGATTTGCTTGCCCTCGTCGAGGATCAAGACTTTGTCGAAAAGGTCGTAGATGCCATTGCCGGCTTGGTACAGGGTCACGATGGAGCTGAGACCCAGTACATCGGTCATGGCTCGTACACACTTGGTGTATTCTAGTGCCGTCGAGGCGTCGAGTCCACGTGTGCTGTTATCCCAGCAAAACACTGAGCCACGCGAGGCCATTGTCTCGATGATCGATACTCGCTTTCGCTCACCACCAGAGACACCTCGTACGAACTCGTTGCCGACCTTCGTCTCGTGGGTGTGCTCGATAGCCATCGATCGAAGCAAGAAGTCTCGCACGAGTTGCTGGAATTCTTTCTGCCCCTTCATATTCGAGGGCACTTTGTGAGGGACCTTCATCCGCGTAGCGAAGTCCATTGTCTGGCCGACGGTCAGGGTAGGGAAGAAAAGCTCCTCTTCGGTGTTCATGACGATCTGCCCTCGGTATTGCTTGGCCTCCTTTGCGTCCATGGAGCCGAATTTGACGTCGCCAGTGACTTCAGCGTAGCCTAGCCGACGGTTGGCCAGCATCTTGAGTAGTGATGTACAACCAGCACCGGGCCGGCCGAGAACGAGCAGCATCTCTCCGGGCTTGACACATCCATGGCTGTTGTCGACGATGGTTTTGAGTGGAGGCTTCCCTCGGCCCTCCTACACGACGTTAGCAACGAGCTTCATCTTCGTAATGAGGCTCGGGCAATATACCTTGATTAATCTGGGAATGTTGAACTGGCTCAGCACGTTCTCATGCAACGCTGCATCGGCACCAACGCCTTTGACAGTCAGGTTCGTCCAGGTAACACCGAGTCGTTTCTCCTTTTGGCTGTCCTTCTCGGTCTGTTGAGCCAGTGCCTTGACTTCGTCCATCATGTGCCAATTGTCGGCCTTGCTGATCGACTTTTCATCGTCGCTTGAGTCGTCCAAAACCGGTTCCTCCTTCTTGTTGCTGAAACTCCTCGACAGGGCATTCGATACTGTGCGATAGATCTCCTCCCCAGCACCACTGCCCACCGACGGGGCAGTCCACGATGACCTTCGTTGGGTCATCTTGTGTGATCTCTGGTCTCGAAACGATTCTGTACCACCAGAGTCAACAAGAAGAGGTCATGCAACGATCCGCAAGAGGAAAGGATGGAAGAGTACAGGAGGAAAGGTCTCTTTTGTACATGCATGTATCAATGACGAATCGGGCTTTCAAGAATAGAAGTATTCCGGTAGACTGAAGGCGAACGCCATGTGTTTGGGTCGTGGCATGCCTGGCCCCGAGCTGCAAACAAAGAGCCTAGCGCATGGAAACGACAAGCAGCCTACACCCGGCCCGCCTATCTGAAAACGCCATCAACCCCTGCCTCGCTCTCGCAGGATCGGGAGAAATGTTGGCCCGGCAGGCTTGTCGATGACGGACGCTTCCATCTAATCGTGCTCGGATCTTGAGCTCTCTTGCTCGTCTGGAACTCTGCTTGTAGCGCTCGCCATCGAGCGTCAACAACGGCTCGACTTGCCGCTCCAACGCCTTGGAAGCCACAACGCTCGTGTTGTGGGTGGAATTTTCAGCCTTAGCGAGCGATGCCACAATCTCAATCGACGCCGCCCACGTCGCCGTTACAGTAGACGTGAGCGATCCGAGCGGCGTCCTCAAGCGGAAATGTCTCCTTGGGAGCCGCCTGGCCCCCTATCGGACGCAGTAACGGATTAGTGAGGGCGGAGAATACATGCCCAGTGGCATTCCTCGCGTTGCGCGCGCCCACAGCGGCGGTGCTAAAGTCCAGAGGTTGATGAGAAACGACGACTAAGGTTGAGAGATTCGGAATTGCTATGGACCCAGGTGCCGGTCGGGAGGATGCCGGAGCCCTTCGAAACGATGCTAGTGTTGAGAGCCTGGTGAGACAAGGGCGCCAAGACGGAGGGCAAGACGATTCTTCGTTCCGAAGAGATAGTCCACGACATCAGAAGACTGGATCTTGTGGATCTCACCGCTGGATATGTCGTTCGCGCTTCATCCTCCACTGCCAAGCTGACTTTAGGGCTTTGTCCATGGCCATAGCCACTGTGAGTGAAAAGATCTTTGATTGGTCCAAACCTTCAGTCTGCCTTCCTTCAACGACATCTGCTGTTTTGCTTCACCTCTTCTTCGTTTGTGAGTCCACCCCATCGTCCGGGGTCAGCTTGACGGCCGTAGTCATCCTAATTGACTCACACATCAATACGGGTGCTCTAGCCCAACGAAAGCCAAGCCTGCTCCACAGCGAGGCGCCGCCTTCAAAGAGACTCGGGCTTTCGGAAGGGCCAAGAACCCGGTATCGATGTCAGCCTTTCAAAGACTCTCCGTTACCATCGGCGACACCAAAGCGCCAACGAAAGCGAGAGCCGCTGCGAAGATCGTGATGGCGTCGAGATACTTACAAGGACGAGCAGACGCCCGAATGCTAGCCCTTCCACCATCGTTGTCCATGTCTTGATGCCAAGACGAAGGCTTGTCGATGTCCTGGATGTCAATGAATCGATGACGAAGGTTAGTCAGGCATATGCCATGTTTCAGCATCGCGTGTTAAAGGCGAGAGATCCGGCTCAGGGATCGAGCGTGAAGGTTCGCTGGGGGAGGGCAGAGTATTAGCCGCGACAGTCTCTTTGAGGGGAAGAACGGAACACTAACCTCGACGGCAATGACGATGATGGCCAGCATGCTGTTCATACTGCGGTGTCCTGATCAACTTACGGCAGAGCGATCTGGTCCCGGCAGCCGATACCTCTCTCGCAAGTAGTCGAGGGGCTTACAGCATCTCCTCAAGGGTGCGCTTTCAAGGCATTCCGACCGACATCCTCAAGCCACTGGGTACGCAATGATTGGAGAGATCTCGTAAGATGGGCACCTCCTTGGGCAACACCATCTCCACGACACCGGCCTTCGAGCACACCAAGCTGCCCTTAGGTCAGTCCGACTAAGGGGATGTAGATGACGTCCCTGATTTTGCTCGTCTTTGCGTCGAAATATCCTCGCCAAACAGGTGGTCTGCAATGGATGCACGAGGATGCGTTCAGCAAGAGACGAGAAGAGCGCTCAAGTCCTCGAATATTCAACCCCCCTGTTTCTCCACCACACTGAATGGACCCAAGCCCAGAATGCTTTCAGCTCCTGCACACACACAATGTTCTCGATGGAGTGAGCGTTGGGTGTCGCGCCCGTCGATGCAGTCGCTGCGCCAATATATCGTGGGGGGAAGCAAGTAACCTGCTTGAATTCTCTTACCAGCGGTCCTGTTGAATGGCTTGTCGGTGGCGGTAGTCTCTGAATACAAATCATCGATCGTATCTCTCCATAGAGGGAAAACAATAAAGGCAGGGTTCGTGATGTCTGGACGCCAATGGTTCGCCGATGTTTTCCATATTATCTAGGCTCCATCAAGGAGGAAGGTGGTGCTAGTCCGATCCGCTGATCTTTTGATCTTCAGAAATGCCTAGCTATAGGTCAAATAGCCAACGGGTAGCTCAGGCGAGTTCAAAGCAGTTGATGTATCGATTCGTAAGTATGAGTAAAGGCAGGCCATGGAAGGTGCTGCATCGATGTCTGTAGATTACTGAGTGATGCTCGTCCTCTGTCTTCAAACGAGGTGAATAGTTTAAAGTTCTGCCTGTAGGGTTGTGTCTATTTGAAATGTAGGATCGTGATTACGGGCAAGTTCGATGATCAAGGTGAGATGTAGCAGCGAGATGTTGGTGAGGCGTAGCAGAATTTAAGGTTCAGCCACGACAACGACGCCACACTCTGCACTTGGACTTGAAACCGCACACGAACACCTCCACCGAACACACAATTGCACCCGTCACCGACGCTGAGGCCTTTGGATACGACCACGACCTCGTCTTGCTGGCTGTCTTCACCGCCAGCCCCTTGCTTCACCAAAATCTCCTCCAGCAGCCAGCGCACCGCCGCAGGTCGGGCCATAGATTGACTGTTTCTACCACAGCGACGACCACCTTCTCCCACCAGACACCGCGCCGAGCCATCCACCAACGCCTTCGCCTGCCGTCACACGCACACCACCGAGCTGCAGCGACGAAATCATTTCATTTCGCGCTGCAGTACCCGTTCACTGCTAACACCTCCCGCACAGTACGTTCATTGGCCCTGCCGCTGTAAGCGAGTAATTGCCGATCTGCTGCAGCGTCACCATCTGATCGGGTTCACGTTGGCTCCCAAGCGGTGCTCAAAGCCTGCATATGACTTGCTGCGCCTGCGCCTAGGCCTCTCCCACCCGACGGCAACTTCAATACCCACCGCCAGGACCCAACGACTACGATATCGCCATGACTTCAGAGAAAAACAACGGGCCCCTCTCCGACACCGAGGGCGGAGAGAAGCCTGTTCGAGAGCAGCTCAAGAAGGCGCACATCACCTCAGAGGCTGCAAAGGCTGCAGTAAACACGGCACACGAAGCTGAGGATGGAGGAAATACGATCTCAGGTGAAGAGAGGGGCAGATTGCACCGGAAGAGGAGCCACGAGGAGGTGGAGGGTGACTCGCAAGATGCGACCTCAGTACCGCCCAAGCAACACACCCGCAAGCGATCACGCGATAGCACCGCCGAAGAGGACGAGATCAATAACGGCCAGCGAAAGGTCTCAGGCGAGAGGGCCAGGAATGGAGACGAATTAGTGCCTGCTCAAGCACCTGAGCCCAACGGCGCAGACAGAGAAGCTCGAGCCACTACGCCGGAAGGTAATGGTGAGAAACGTCCCGAGGAAGCAGTTGAGTCGATGACAAGTCCGAAGACTAAGAGAAGCCGACTACACTCGACCATCGCCGACGATAAGGATTTGGTGGAAGCCGACAAAGCAGCAGACGCTGTCGAATCTCATAAGGAGGATGAGTCCAAGGAGGACGAGTCTTCAAAGCAGCCGAGCACTAAAAAGCCTGCCACGAGTGGTTTCGCAAACACATCTTCAACTCCTCATTTTGGTGCTTTAACTGGCAGCAAATCAACTTCAGAGCAACAGCAGACTTCAGCAAGTGCTTTTGCTGCCTCAGGCTTCAGTGCTCTCGCTGGCTCTTCCGGTTCCGGTTTCGGGGCTGTTGGTAAACAGTCCGGTGGCTTTGGTTCGGGCGGATCATTCGCAACAGGAGCTAAGAGTCCATTGAACACGAAAGAAGATGATAAGCCATCGGCACCTTCTGGCAGCTCATTTGGCGGTGCGCTGGGTCAGCAGTCAGCATTCTCAGCATCTGCGGCCAGCGGGGGCGGATTCGGGTCCGGTGCTTCCGGCTTTGGCAAGCTGGGATCACAGAGCACTGGAGGTTTCGGCAGTGGACTGGGTGGAACTGGTTTCAGCAGACTCGGCGGCGGCGGCGGCCTTTCCAGCTTTGCAAGCGGTAAGACCGCTTCTCCACTTGGAGGCATCTCCAAATCGACGAAGCCTTTTGGGGCACCCGCAGAAGAGGAAGGGAAGGGCGAGGACGACGATAGTGATGATAAGACAGGTGCAAAGAGCCCTCTTGCCACAGAAGAAGATGAGCAAGACGAACGCTTCTATGAACAAGAACTTGAGACCGGCGAGGAGGATGAATCGACAGAGTTCTCAAGCCGCGCCAAGCTTTACACCTTCGCGGCGGACCAGAGAGAGTGGCGAGAGCGCGGCTTTGGTGTGGTAAGATTGAACGTGCGGCGGCTCCAGCCAGACGAGGATCAGAAGCCCAAGGCTCGGTTACTCATGCGTGCCGAAGGCTCTCACCGAGTCGTTCTGAACACCCCTGTCACGAAGGAGATCAAGTACGGTACCCACGAAGGCAAGAAACCAACGGGTGGCTACTTCTACTTCATGGGTACCATCGACGGCAAGCCTGGACTGGAGGTCTTGCAATTGAAGGTAGGCGTTGGATAAAAGCCCCTGAATTACAATTCAACTAATGCTTTGGCCAGATGAGGCAAGAAAACACCTTGGAATTGTACGAGCACATCTGCAAACTGCTGGACGATATGTGATGTTGCTGTTGCACGATCTACCTTCTTGGATGAGGGAGATACGGCAAAGCCACTCGAATATCATCGGGCATTCTGCCAGCGAAGTGACGGTCGAATAACGAGGCACTGAAGAGACGAAAGGCCTTGCGCTTGTCGCAGATCTTGCATTTGCGGGAACTTGGAGAGTTGTCGCCCTCGTTGGGACATTGAGTAGCACAAAATACCACAGCTTTGGTGATTGTGTGTCGGGATACACCAGCATTGCCAGCTGATACAACGTCTAAATAGCAGAGAGAGAATTATGCAAAATGAGCATCTGGTAAAACTGTAAGGGCCCTGTCTTTCCTTGCCCTCGACTGACTGGTAGCCCTTCACGTTCGACCTCCAGCCTCCAAATACCGACCAGAGAAATAGATTTGAAGTCATTGAGGCCATGATGAACTCCGAATACGACCCGGATATACAGGACCTCAATGCCGGCTCCTCAACGGATCATCCTACCACAACAAGCAAGCCCGATAACTCCTCTATAACACCGAATGCCGCATCTTCAAGTCGCCAATAGTACCCAGTCGTCGTTCCTTGCCCTACGGATGGAGGAAGAAGCTCGCATCATACCTTGATATGATGCCCGCTCGGCCGCATAGCGAGGAACTCGTTCAGAAGTGTTTTCGCTGTGGACGTGACTTCCTCGTTTTGTGATTGGCTGACTGACCGTACAGTGTTGCCTTTTGTGTTCCTAAAGTCTCGTGCGGCGGCCGCTGTTGGATGTTGTAGAAGAACAGATTACTGAGAATGCGGACATTGGAAGGTATGGATCCGGGTTGAGATGAGGATATAAGGACGAATGGGTCTTGACACGAATTATCAGAACCCACTCGGACGGAAGCGACACAAGAAACACATTTGAGTAGCATCACGTCGACTAACACATCGATATCGAAGCACGTCGCCATGCCGATTCCAACGAACCCTTACCAGCCATACGCCAAACTTCACGAGAATCCAGCTGGGCCTGGAGACAAGCGACCAACGACTACGCAGGTCCTGCAAGATGAGGGTTTGCTCGATGGAGGTCTCAAGGACAAGGTCTATCTCGTCACAGGTTGTTCCGCTGGGCTAGGCGCAGAGACAGCACGCGCCTTACACAACGCCGGTAAGCTCTGCTGGAGCTGTCTTGCAGATGTATACTAATACGTTCAAATAGGCGGAGACGTGTACATGACCGTCCGTGAAGCCAAGAAGGCCGAAGGGGAGAAGATCATCAAGGACATCAAGTCGACCTCTAAGGGATCCGGCAAACTCGAACTTGTCTTCATGGATCTCACTGTTTTCGACAGCGTCCGCGCCGGAGCAGCAGACTTCCTCAAACGAAGCCCGACTCTCAACGTCCTTGTCGAAAATGCAGGTGTCATGGCACCGGCATACAGCAAAACATCCGCAGGCTACGAGCTCCAATTGGGAACCAACCACTTCGGCCACTTCCTCCTCTTCCAACTGCTGAAAGACCGCCTCCTGGCCTCCGCTACGCCCTCAAACCCCAGCCGCGTTGTCATCGTAACCAGCGCAGGGCACCAATTTTCCCCCATCCGCTTCTCCGACATGAACTTCGACAAAGCCGGCGACTACGACGGCTACACCGCCTACGGGCAATCCAAAACCGCCAACATCTACATGGCCTCGTCCATCGAACGCCACTACGCCGCCCGAAACCTCCACGCCACCTCCGTCCACCCAGGCGCCATCTGGGACACGGACATCAAACGTCATCAGAGCGTTGAGCTCGTCGATTCGACGTTTGATATGTCTTTGCTGGAACCCCTGATGAAGAGTGTTGAGCAGGGTGCTTCGACGCAGGTCTGGGCGGCGACGGCGGAGCATTTCAGGGATAAGGGGGGTTTGTATTTGAGTGAGACGGGCGTAGCGGGACCGCATCCTGAGGGGGCGCATATGGCTATTGGGGGATATGTGGGGCATACGTATGATGAGGAGGCGGAGGAGAGGTTGTGGAGGTTGAGTTGTGAGGTATTTGGGGTGGGGGAGGATTGAGAGATGTAAGAACTCATATCTGTTTTTGCCACTGAATTACATTTCAGGATGAACAGGAGACTCAAGCCTTACTGTTGCTCGCCTTCCACGCCGCCGTTACCAGTTCAATCTCATCCAACATCCCAAACACCCTCTTCGACTCCCACCCCAGCAGATCCCTAATCCTCGTAGAATCCAACCTCGCATTCGTACTCATCGCCACAGCGAAAGGATCCTTCGGTTTAGCAAACTTCACAACCCCCTCAAACCCCATCGCCCTCGCCACACCCTCCAGAATCAACCTCGCCGACTCCCTGGACGACACAACATCGAAGACAGGATACACCGAAGTACCCCCAAGAGCAGAGACCTTCTCCGCCGCCACCGTCAACGCACCCGCAACCTCATCGACGTGGACAAGGGAGAGCGTGGCATCAGCATCACACTCCACCTCCACACTCTCCCTCCTCCCCTCCACCGCCCCCTGCAACAGCCCAAACCAGCCACCCCAAATAAAACTCCCCCTCCCATAAAGACACCCCGGCCGAATGACAACCACATCCAACACATCCCTCGCTTCCAAAATCGCCTTTTCCAACTTCGGCCTCCAGCTCACCAACCCCGGCGGCGGAGCAGCCGCATCCTCACGATCCACCGGATCCAGATCATTCATACGCGCATCCGAACTCCCATGAACCCACGTCCCGGACGTATACACAAACCCCAACTTCGGACTCCCCTTCCCGCGTTTCGCCAACCTCTCCTGACCAACCCGCTTCACATCCTCAAAGATCTTGAAACTCCCGTTGTTGGCCCCCGCGGCGTCGATGACGACGTCGATGTTGTGCGTGGAGATTGCGAGGAGGTAGGCGGAGTCGTCGAGGGTGCCGAGGATGGGGAGGATTTCGTTGGAGGCGAGGAGGGCGGCTTTGGAGGGCGTGCGGGCGAGGCCGTAGACGATGTGGGAGTGCCGCCGGAGGGCGAGGGCGGTGGTGAGGCCGATGTAGCCTGTTGCGCCGAGGATGAGGATGCGGACCATGGTGGATGGTGAAGGGGGGTTGGTTGAACTGGTGATGAGGATGGAGGTATTGTCTCCTTTGTCTTTGTTCTCAAAGGAATCTTTCTCACCTCCCATAGACCATCAGTTATATATCTCTACCTCCTCAAGACCCCGCGGCCTTAACAACACCCCTTTCGATGCCATTCACTAATCAACCCCAAACACCACACGTACAGTGACGTCCATCCCTCCACCGCAATACCTATCTTGACCAAACAAGTCATCCGTCAAGTGAAGTCGGTCGATCGAATGCAACCCTTTGTCAGCTGTGACCAATGTAGCGCGAACTCTACATGTCAATCCTTCAGCCTTGAACGAGCTTGTGATTCCGCGCTAACCATTGTTGACCAAAGAGGTTTAGCTGGCGTGCTGGGTGCTTCATGGTAGGGTATAACGTATGTATCTGGAGGTGTTGGGAGTGCGGCGGCAGCGTTGCCGCCGAAGGTATTTCCGTGGAGGAGGGTTTTGTCTACGATGCCAAGTCAGTGTGCGATCTTCCTCGTTGCAGATGCCGGTGTAGAACGTATTGAAGTCTGGTGACGAGGAGCTGAAAATGGCTTGCCAGTTGCGCCGAAAGCTGCTGTGTGATTTCGAAGGCTCATCTACAAGTCTAATAGCAATTCGTCTTCCTTCCGATCGGGTCGGCCAGTATGTGAGAACTCAGACCGCGACAACTCGCGCCCAAGAATTGTCCTGCGCAAGAAGCTCTTCCAGTTGCCAGCGTGCCCAAGCATGACCGAGTATCTGCGAGGTGCGTCCAACTGCCGCATCTAATAGTCCACCCAGTGCTTGTCGCTGCAACTGTAGGCTCCTCCCGAGCCAATCTCAAGCCAGTCAAAGCACCTGCAAGTTCCCTTTTCTCCAAACTCGCCTTCCATACGAGACTGCAGTGCACGCTTCGTACGCTTTTGCTCCGCAGCGTTGACGGTGAAGGCTACTGCTGCACACTGCCGCCTGCCTGGGCCCAGGAAACTGCTGTGGAGTTCGAGGTGGATCTTCTCAGGGTGTTCGACGAGGCGCCAAGCCTGAGCAAATGGCGTCAGACCGATGTGGCACATCGCCTTGTTGAGCATGTAGACGTGCACTCTCAGCTTTGGTGTGTAGTTGAAATGGCTAAACCTAGTCAGTAAATGTGCGACTTGCGTAAATGAAAGTGAAAGTGCGTACCGCGCCCAAGCAATCAGCCCTCTGAAGTCGAGATGCTCGATGTAGGCATGAAAGTCGTTGTCCTCGTAGAAGAGCTTCAAGGTTTCTCTTCGAGTCTGCTTGCAGGCGCGAGTGATACCAGGCTCCGCGGCAGACACCATGACATCGTCCCAGACTGGACTTGCCACCAGCAGTGGAGGGTCGCCCTTTCCCGTGGAAGGCAGTGCGAAGTGATAGATGCGATTCCGAATCTCTGCTGGCAATCCGAGGAAGGGGACCGTCTGCTGCTTGCACGGCACTTGCAGTGATGGACGCCAGTGATCGTCCGCCGCTGTTGGAGGTAGTGCTTTTGCCATGATTCTGTCTCGCTCCACCCTCGTTGCAATGGGCCCTGTATCTGAGAGCCTCATTGTGGCAAGCAAGCCCATGGTCTCAGCTTCAGACATGGACGTCGCCATTTTGGCGGCAGTGTCGTTAGTGTCGTGTGAGGGTTCGAAGCTGCGAAGTTGATTGAAGAGCTGATGGCAGCGTTTGCCTGCAGTGCCAAGACCACGTGACGCCTTCAAACCTGTGACTGCCAAAACATTGAGTACGCTTTGCAGGTAAGCGAGTGAGACCCCAAAGGTTGAGAGATTGCGTTGCCTTCGTGTTCCTGACTTGTGAAAGACGGTCAAGATTAACTCCCATATGTGAATGAATCTCCCGAGTCCATCCAGCACTTCCAAGGTTGAGCTTGTGTGAGCTGCTGGCGACGGTCCTCTGCCCCTTAACCCTCAGAATAACGTGCAAGGCTTCCAATACTCCAGCGCTTCGTCTCATCCGTCATGGGCGTAACCGGACGGCTTATCTCCCGCTTGTACAGTGCAATGCTGTCCCTGAAAGCCACGTACTCCGAATCAGCGTACCCAATAATCTCAGAGATTTGACTACTCCTCACACCGCGAATCCTCTTGATCTCAGCCGCAGAATAGTTCACGACCGCCTTGCCAACGTCTTCTGCGCTGCTAAGTGGAGCATGTCGAGATGGAAGCACTTTGATGCTCACACATTCGTCCTGCCCAAAGCTTCCTTCAACATCTACCACTCCAACAGGCAAGAGACCAGCCTTGGCTGCGACTGCATTATGTGCGCCTTCGTCGATGTAGAGTGTGCCATGGGATGCGAGCCCATGGAGCAGCCAGAAGTAGCGATCTCGAATGGGCTGTAGATCTGGGAGAAAGCGTGTATGCAGTGGAGGTAGGCCAGGCTCGTCTAATTTCAGGTCCGCGTCTCCATTCACGACGTCTGTCTTGTGGACCTGAGCATCTATGCTTTCGTGCGAGGCAGCGAGGTCTCCGCTATTCTCCATGCTTCGGGCAGCGCTCTTTTGGGCTTCCGCGTGTCTCACGATAGCTGCAATGTTTCCAGGATTGCTGCTCCTCGTGATTACAGTCGTAACGCCAGCTGCAGTCGCCAGTCGAGCTGCAACGATCTTTGTGCTCATGCCTCCTGTGCCAAGTGCACTTCCAGCGCTCGATGTATCTGCTGCCAGTTCCCCAATATCCTCAACCACCTCGATTGCCTTGGCGTCTGGGTTTGTCCGAGGGTTCTTGTCATAAAGACAGTCCACGTCTGTCATGAGGAACAAATAGTCTGCTGAGACCATGCCCGCCGTAATCGCGCTCAGAGTATCGTTGTCACCAAACCTGATCTCTTGCACAGAAAGGGTATCATTCTCGTTGACGATCGGTATGACGCCCATGTGGAGCAGTTCAGAGAAGGTGTTTTGCGCGTTGAGGTACTGCGTTCGATCGGCAATGTCGTTCCTCGTCAACAGGATCTGGGCGACTGGCTGGCGCATATGCGAGAAGAGCTGATCCCACATGGCCATGAGCTTGCATTGTCCTATAGCTGCCAGCGCTTGGACTTGTGGGAGATGCTTTGGTCTTCGGTCCATGTCCATCTGCCGCAGGGCCATTCCAATGGCTCCAGAGGAGCAAATAACGACTCGGTGTCCATCATGGCGCAGACCGACCGCAGTCTCGACGATCGTGGACAGGGTTGCCAGTAGAGGCTCGTGGGTCTGCTCGTCGACTATGGAGGAAGTGCCTTTTGCGCGCCAGTCAGTACTACAGTGCTACAGCGCAACAGGAGTAAAGTGAGTTACAAGTAATGTACCGAGCTTGATCACAATGGTGAGGTGTTTCTTCATCTTGGCGGCCAGTCCAGCGGCGGTGCCTTGCAGTGCAACTTGTCTTGTCTAAAAGTAGTCGAATGTAACAGCCATTCCGAGGAACAGAGCAGGACAGGTTTAAAGGCGTAGTCCCGTGCGACGACTGCCATGAAAGAAGCGAGGTTACTCACTCGAAGCGGCGCCAAGCTTCGGAGGGCGTGATCGGCGTCTGTGCGTGGAGTGAGTGGACTTTCTCTCCGTCTTTGTCCGCATCTTCTTCCCTTGTCCAACATCATTCACTTGCCCACTGGTCTTTTTACCGATGTAATGGATATATGTATGTCGTCCTGTCATGTTCTGCTCCACTCGAAAACCACTCGAAGGCGAAGGACTAATGCCGCGGCATCTCGTGCACTGGGAACACAAAGGTGGCTTGGACCCAACAAGCAAGTAAACGTTCGAGCAATGCAGAACCATCTGTCATGTGTGCGTCTATCTCAGCCTGCTCACGACACAGTACGAGCATTGGCCTTCGTGTCTAGGCGTCTTCTGTCTCACAGGACATCAAATACTTGGCGGGAAGCAGCGTCGGACAAACACCTGCCTTGCACTGGGCCCTTCTTTGGACATTTGCTGAGATGGGGCAAGCCATATCTACGTGGTATAAGTGTGGTAGGTACGATCGTCTACGACTACTCGGTCTCCCAAACGTGGGCACTCATTGCCTCTGCTCTTGTCCTCCTCCAACAACTTGTCAAAGAATCATATCAATTGTCAACGCTCAACACTCAAGATGGAAGCACTCTTCACGCTTCTTCTGTTCCTGCCCTTCGTCCTCTCCTTCGGCCATGTCTCTGCTCGCAACAGCTCTGGATGCCCTGCTCATTACAACAATGAGACGCACTGGTGTGCAGAAAATAGCTCTGGCTCTCACCTTTGCGAGATCGTGGACGGCATGTACTATTCCCTGTGCGGGACTGATCGATGCTACAACTACCTCCAATATGAGTACGGTGTGTCTCCTCCAACAATACTGCCCTCGCTTATCTTTGTACAGCTGCAATGGCATCACGCTGTCCGAGCCGAAGAAGAGCACCTCTCCCTTCTACCTCTCCGTCTTCGCCCCAGGCAGAGACTACTCATTCCAGTACATCCAGGCTGCCGGAGACCAGTTCTGGGTTGGAGGTAACCCAAGCACGTACTGCCCGTTCGAAGACGAGGACCCAGACGCTTGCGCATACGACAGCAACACCGTTTTCTACTCCAACTCCCTGGCCGTCACCACACCCGGAGGCCAGCGAATCTTCATCAAGGAAGACGGCACTTTGGCCTTCACAGTAGCTCACAGCGCATCGGAACCCGATGCGGCTTACGACGGGGAGAATGTTGCGTACAGCCATGCTGGATACTTTGGACCAAGCGGCCACCATTGGGCAGCGTGCAGACCGCGTGGAAGCAGTGGACGCCGCCGCATTGTTGCCGACCTTCCTGGTGTCGACCTGGACACGGAGGACTGTGAGGGCGTCTTCTTGTACGTCAGTGATCTTGAGAAGGGTGAGTTCGTTCGCATGCAAGAAGCACCATGACTTGCCGACGACATGTACTGATCTTGACAAGGTACTGTCGGTGCTTTCGAATACACTTGATCGCAGCTGCGAGGATCTCGAGGATGGAACGGACAAGTATACGATATCACAGCGGAGAGCAAACGTGGCATTCTCAAAGGATCGACACACTTCAATAAAACGTCCCCAACCAAAGCAGCCACGATGAAGCCGTGTCGAGTGGAAGGAAGAACAAGAAGCGAGAGCCGCGCGCCTCAGAAATATCAACTAATCCGTACCAAAGAACCACAATATAACGACTTGCTGAACATCAACCCGCGCACCGCGTGCCAGATTACTCGCATATATCCTCCCCTCCCCCGCCGTCCCATCATCCATGTGCTGCAACAGTAAGCAGGGAAGCACCAAACTGCAGCCCCGTTGCGTGCTTTCCACGGTACACTCTCAAGCGCGTACCGTACAAACGCGACGAACTTGTGGTCTCAGTTCCCGGATGCATGATACTATAAAAACATACATACAGACAAGCAACAATGATAAGGCAGGAAGCTCGACACTAAACACCCGTTGACAAGACACGCGGGAGAAAACAAGCGACTCGAGTTGAGTGGTGGGACGCCTCTTTCTCGTCTGCTCCCGTCTATCTCAGCCTCAAATGTGTATTGACCTAAACTAGCAAAGCTCCCTTGAGACGTGATTGACCCTGCGTGTGAATTTCCCTTTTCCAAACCAAAGGGACTGACTGACTGTGATGATGAGCACCGAGGGAACAGAGACACAGAGGCGCAGAGAGAGTCGGTGTTTGGATTAAGCTTTTCCGGACCTGCATGCAGGTATATGCAGGAGCAGGAGTGTGGAAAGGAAAGGCTTGCAGCTTCTTGCAGACATGCGGGAGAGGCGTCTGCTTTCTTTCTCTCGTTGGGTCGCGTTGTGGACTCGACTCGACGTGTTGGATGGGAAAGTGAGAGCTGCAGATTCCGAAAGCTGAAGAAGAAGATGCTGGTGTTGCGAGGCGAGGGATGTTCGGCATGTGAAGGGGTTCGTTCAGCTTCGATGTCAAGGCAAAGTAGAAGCTGTCATTGTGTAACCCGCCTACCCGTCTCGTGGACTCAATTGATTGATTGATGCACATGCAGTGTCACAAAGGCGTCCAGCAGGCTGATATCATCTTGAACATCCTCTCTTGTGTTGTGCTACAGAGGTAAAATATATATATACTACTGCAACTTCTCATTTCGGCAGTTGTGCTCGAAGTATAGTGTCGTAGAGAAAGACCTGCTCGAAGTCAACAGACCGATCCTTTTTCCCTTCCCTTCCTTTCCAGCGCCATCGCTTTGCTTTTCGCTTTTCGCTTTCCATATTTCCTCCCAAACAATCGACCCTTTGTTGCAGTTTTTTTCGTCGATGTCAATGACCTCAAAGCCATTTGTTGCAAGTAACAAAGTAGAAACCACAGCTTTCTCGGTGTCGTCAGAAAATCGACACCTGTCTGTGGAACAAGCTCCAGAATTCGTACAACATCTTCCCGCCGTGAATGTTTTCAATGTGCCCATCCCATCTATACCCATGTCGTTTCCCCAACGCCTTGCAGGAAGAATTTGAACGCCCAATCGTTAGTGATACAAATAAAAGAAGTCGTGAATCATTTCGCTCCAAAATAGCCAGATTGCTGTCGAAGTGTTAGTCTTTTTGAGAATGTAATCGTTTTCGACGGCGACAACGTACCAAACACATCTCGCAAGGATCACCAGGTTCCCCTCCCATCACCCAGCCATTGCAGTTGCGAGCGGCGTAGTAATAGCATCGTTGGCAGTTTAGCTCTGCTCCCGAGATGCTCGACTGCTGACGTTTAAGCTTTGGTCGAGCAACCTCAGGCTTCGGCTGCGGTTGCGGTGCTTGCTGTCCAGGCACTGCAGGTAAAGGCTTCTTCGCATAAGTGCTTATCGCTCGAGGTGGTGGAAAGTTGGTCTGAATTTTGGGCAACGACGGCCGTCGCCCAGTCGCCGGTACAGGTGTTGACGCATTGCTATCGTTCGCTGACGGCGGTGAAGAAGGTGGAGGCGGTGGCGACGATGGCTCTGATTGAGGCGTCGGCCGCCCGGTTGATGGTCGCGAGAACTCCAGATCGTCGGATTGTGGATATGTCCGTCTGTGGAGAATGGAACCCAGCTTGAATCTCCGTGGGGTCAAGAAAGACTTCTTGCTGCGCACACTAAAACTATCGCTTTTGTCCTCTTCAACAGCCGGCGTCAATGGCCTGGAGGCGTGGTATGCGGATCGAAGGTCATAGTTGGAGGCAGTGGATGCGCATGAGATACTGCTGGTCGAAGAATGAATGCTCGGTGTGGTAGGTGCGTCTCTAAAGAGGTTGTCGAGATATGCAGGTCGTGTTCCAACAGCCGAAGGGCGAGGCAAGGACATGGTCATGTTTGCGGTTGCTGCGACCCTCCACAGCCTGTGACCGAAAGTGTCGGTGGAAAGAGAGAGTGTTTCGTTGAGAAGAGGGACGCGAGGGCCTGAATCAGACGGAGGGGTAGGATCTGGAGGTCATCGACAGGTGTTGGTGAAGTCGTGGTGGGATGCGGTGGGAGATAGGCGACCAGACGGTCAATTGGAGGGCGAGTATGGTAGTTGTGTATGCCGCCGACGACTCCCTCCTCCCGACGGTGATCTAAGCTCCCAGAACCGTGTCTTAGCTCTCTGCGCCATAACTCAAAACGCTCTAAAGATTGCACTTCGATGGAGCAGCTCTGAGACCGGCATGGATCGCCCGTCGCTAAAGGCAGACGACGCTGCGGGATGACGAGAACGGCCCACGGCCACGGCCTCAAGACGGCACTTGGACCGTCGGGTTGGCGTGCAGCGTGCTCGAGGAGCGTCGTGACAACAACGGGGGCACCGCTGGCTGCTGCTGGGGAGACTTGGCCATGGCAGTTTGTTCGGCGGATGGTGATCTACCGGATGGCCCGCGCTAGGCACCTTTAGTCGCCTGGGAGCAGCCGTCGCTGCAGGGGCATCCCGCGATATTAATATCCATAGGGAAAGGTACGCCCCAAGTAGGCAGTCTGCGCTTTATTCTCCGGTTGTGTTTATTGCGCTGCTGTCGACGCGCGAATGTGGCAGAGCCCTTCTCTCCACGCCTGCGGTGCAGACCAGCCGCATCCCTGGCAGATCTGATACACCTAGCTGCAGCAGACCAAGCTACCGACCACGAAGCTGTCCCTGGCTAGTTTCGCATGCGGCTACGCTCCTGAGAGAGAGGTGAGGCTACTGCAGAACTAGCGTGCATGTGGCCGAATGGAAGACTAGCCTTGCCGTCGCTCGCACGTCTTCTTCGACCTTTCCCTCGCGAGGCAGTACCACAACGCTCGAGCAGAGTCCGTCTTGCTCCGCATACGTATGCTACCCTAGCAGCAGAGGGGTACGCGGGAATAGGGAGTGACAGGCTCTGGGATAGGACGGCGGAGACTTTCTGGCCGAGGAAGCCTCGCCATGTGATGCGTGATGAAGACAGCGGTCTTGCTCTGGGGTTCGCGGTGCTGGTTGCTGCCGCATTCTCTGTCGTACATTTCGTACAGGCAGACCTCGTGTCCAGCAAACGCGGAGACAGGCGGTCGCTGGGCATTCATGCAATCTGAGCTCCCACATCCCGGCGGAAGTCCAGCCGAACCTGGTGATGTCTCAGGCGCGATGCACGATGCAGAGGCCGGTGCTTTTGGGCAAGCAGAGCCGCACGGCGCAGGCGGGCGCCCACCGTTAACGAGGCCATGAATTGTTGAGGCACGAGGCCCATATTGATACGCCCCATATCATAAGCTTTGCTTCTGCTGTGCCTCCTTTGCCGGCCACGCGATGAAGAGATTTCACCACGGCCGCATGCACAACAGGATGCTCCCTCGTGCATTAGGATGATGGGGATGATGAGTACGAGGTCGTCCAGCTCAGGAGGTCCAGGTCCGTCGACGTCTCCACACGTCCTGTCCGCGGGCAAGGACAGCGCCGTTTCCCCCGCCGTCATGGTCTTTGGGACGCAGAAGACTTGCTGTCTCTGCATTCTCCACTCCACGACCCGGCGTCTCGCAACGCGTTCCTGGCTAGCCGTCCGTTGAAGGAAATCCCCGCGGCCAAGACGCGTGAGATAGCAGTGAGTGATAGCACGTCCCGCCGCAACGACACGGCAAACGGAGTTCTACGCCGTGTCTACGTCCAAACGGCGGGTCGTGAAGATCGCAGGAGCCGCTAGCTGAGAGCTCAATGCGGTGGCGTGCCTGAGGCTTCACCCTGAAACTCAAGAGCTCCTATCACGTTTGATAGCTTTTCCAGCACAATTGTGCTTGCGAAAGATCATCACGAACAGATCATCAAACGCGCTTGGAAAAGTTGGAATCGACGATTGTCTGCAGCTACAGGGTTGGGCACAAACGTTACGAACCCCTACTAGTCTAACTGCCTATACTATACCTATCTTAATCTTTATAATAACGCGCTCTCTACTATACTACGCGTTCTTCTTATTCGTTTAATTAATACTATAGGTAGAGGTAAGGTATTTAGCCCTTTTAAAAAGGGCTAGATCTAGGCCCTTTATAAGTACGTATACTAGCTATTATTACGGATTACTAAGGCACTAGATATATTAAAATCTACTAAGCTAAAACTACTCTATAGGGTTTATATAGGTATCAAATATAGTAGAAGTAACTAAATTAATAAATAATAGTAGGAACTAACTTAGGTATAATTATATTAGTTAGTTATAGGAAGTAGGAGAACTAAGGTAAAATAAGCTCCTTTTAGTTACGTATAATAGGGAGTTATAGTAATATATAGAACTCTAATTAACCTAGTACTAGGTTAAGCGTAGAATAAACTTCTACTTTCTCTATCCTCATATACGGCGAGTATAAAATACGTACTAGGGAATTACATATACTATTACGTAGAGAAAGTTTACCTCGGTCCCTTTTAGGTTTCTAAATATCTCTTAGTATTCTTTTATAATTACCTCCCTCTCTAGGGAGAGCTAACCCTAGCTCGTTTCCGAATCGCCTACGTACCGTATTATCGTCGTAGGGAA